AACCCCCTAGTAATCGCTCTTTTCTCAGATGTGTCCAGATATGCCACTCCCCAGGGAAAAGTATAACATCAGCCAAAAAACTTAATTGTGTGTGTGAAATATCAATTTTTACACCATCAAGAAAGTAACCCAAACCGGGTTCTAATTGCCTGAAAAGGCTGTGTGATATGTGTTCCAGATCCTCGCTCCAGCTTCTTAAGTATCCTTAGTGGAAGACTTTCTCACATTAACAAAATCGCATGTGACACACATATTAATGTAATTCTGTGGAATGAAAGGTTGTGGTATTGGAGACAGAGAGACTGATTATAATGCAGACTCCGGCACTTTCTAGCTGGAAGGCATTGGTTGCGTTACTTCTACTTTCTGAGCATGGGATTCTGTCTGTAACATGGTGTTAAGAATGCCTAGCATATATGATTATTCTGAGGACTGGAACATGACATTTGTTAAGTGTCTGTGTTAAGTGGATAATCAAGGACAGTAGTTGTTTCCACTATCATCACTGTGGCCACCTTTGAGAATGTTTTCCACAAATCCAGCTAAACCCACAAAAAGAAAAGTAAATCTTTCTCCCCACTAGCTTGGCAGTATTTTCTCACATTTCTTCTCTTGAGGGCTGTGGGTCATGGCTCTTAGGCTTGAACAACACATGCATTAGCTGGATTGCTCATTCTGCTTAACATTTAGGATACAAATTAAAGCCAGATTGTTGACCTCAAGTTCTATTTCATGAGTATAGTTTAAATCCAACTTGTTTAATGAAATGGGTTTTTCATCAAAATCATGACCTTTGTATGTATCAAACTCATGTTACAAAAGTTTCTTTAAACTTTCTTTGCAGTTCTTTAAAACTGTCTACAGTACCTGAGTATGTCAAGTGCAGGCATTATGAAATATTACACTGTCTTGACTCATTAGGGTTACACTGCAATAGTGAATACTAATATTAATTAAAACAGATTTCACATATAAATTCTTTATTTGCATTAAGGAGTCAAGTATTACTTTTTCCACTTTACAGATGAGAAAATTGAGGTTTGGAAATGTTAAGTAACTGACTCAACGTTGCATTTAACATTTATCCCCAGGTCTGGCTCAAAGTCCAAGTTATATTCAGCCCTGAATGGTCCTGATTCTCATAAGTAACTTAACAAGTTCTGCAAAATTCATATGTACAGGTTTGCTTTTTATATTTTACTGTATTTCATCTTTTATAGATGAGAAAGGAAGGCTGTGGTTATGGCATGGAGATGCAGGGAGCAGTAACCTGGGGAAGGACTCACTGCAAATTAAGCTTCCTGGGAATTTAAAAATGAATACCCTCTATACAAGGGAGGAATTACCATCCTCCAGGTGCTTTAAAATAAATATCACTGCATCATTTTAATTTCTTGTCTCTGGACTTTTTATATAACCATTTTATGAATTAGAAAAATATTTTTTAAATTCAAGTTTCTATTTGGAGTGCTTGACAAAAAAAGTTGGCAGTCTGGGATGCCGGTGAGTCTCAGAATCAGAAAAGAGTTGGTTTTCTTTTCTTTTTCTTCAGTTCTTTCTCTCATTTCTTCTATTTATCATCCATGTCTTAGTTTCGGGAAGGAATCCTTGACTATCCAGGTTGAAGGCTGAGAAATCCATTTTACTTTAGAGCAGTTCAAAAACCATAGGATGGACACTAAGAGGAAGAGGAATCAGGCGTGAGGGTGGAAAAGAAATGAGACAGGAATGCTGGTGGGTGAAGTGGCTCAGGATGAAAACTGGACTCATTGAGCTGTTCAATCTAAAGGGTCCTTGTTGCCTTTTTTTTTAACCTTCTTAATTTGAATTTTTTGGGGATGTATGGTTTTCCCTACATGACTGAAATATAATCAACATCTAACATGTATAAGTTTTAGATGTAAAAAGTGTGTTGATTATGGTGACCACACCTGAAGGGAAAAATCACATATTGCCCAAAATTAACAACAAAGTAAGAAAAAAGTACTTCATTCCACATCTGATAAGCAGTGACTATCCTAAGTGTATAAAGAACTGATCCAATTTAACAACAAAAAACAAATAACCCAATTAAAAAATGTGTAGAAGATCTGACTAGAACTCATATACAGAGGGCCAGCAGACTTATGAAAAAAATCTTTATCATCACTTTTCATTAGGGAAATAAAAATCAAAACTGCAATGTGGTATACCTCACACTTGTGGGAATAGCATTACATAAAAAGACTGCTGATCAGGCCTCCCCTGGTGGCGCAGTGGTTGAGCGCTGGGCTGTGAAGCTGCCTGTGGCCTCTGTAGCACCGGTTCGATCCCCGGCCAACAGCAAGGGTCCCGCATCGTGCGACAGACCTCTCCTGCCGCCTGCTGCTCCCCTCAGCAGTGTATTTCGTCAGTCTGCCTGTTCTGTTCCCCACTCTGGCTCTGGTGAATTCTCTCACCCTCCCTGTATCAAGTGCTTGTATAAATAAATCTTTAAAAAAAAAAAAAGACAGCTGACCACAGGTGTTGCCAAGTATGTGAATGAAGAACGTTTGTGCACCACTGGCAGAAATATAAGTTAGTGCAGACATTTTGGAAAGCGTATGGACCTGCCTCAAAAAAATAAAAAAGGACCTACCATATGACCCAGCAATCTCATTTTTAATAGCAATCCAAAAAATATAAAATCATCAACTGAAAGCTTAACAGGTGCCTCATTGTTTTTCAAAGCATTATTTACAATGGCTAAGATATGGAAAGAAATTCAGTACAAGTTGATAAATGAATGGATAAAGATGTGGTATAGATACACAATAGAATACTATTCAGCCACAAGGAATGATGAAATTTTGCCACCTGCAGTAAAATAAGGAACTTGAGGGGATTATGTGAAGTAAAATTAGTCAGAAAAGATAAAGACAAATATTGGATAATTGTACCTACTGATACAATGTATGGAAACAAAGATAATGACAGACATAACAGATAAAAATGAGCACATTAATACCCAAACTAAAGTTATCAGAGAGGATGATGGTGGGAGGATGTAGGAGCAAGGAGGTGTGGGGGTATACTCAATGGTGGTCACTGTGTTGTTTTGGGGTTTTTTTTTTCTTTAAAAAAAATAAAACATATGATGTAAGTCTAGTGCCATCAAAAATTTTCCTAACTAAGAAAGGATAAAACCCAATTTGGGACTTTTATCTTCAAACCAAGGAAAATAAAATAAAATCTACTTACAGATAACTTATCACGTTAATATAGTTCTAAGAATTCATCCTATAAAAGGAAACATGTTCGGAGGAGTAACAAAATATTTATAAAAGGTCTGTGTTTTTATATTGGTTTTAAAAGAAAGATTTCCAAAACCAAATGATGGAGACACTAATTTAATGTGTTTGATTGGGGAGTGCTTTGCCAAGAAAGGACTCCATGCATCGATAAATCAAGCAAATTCACTGAACAAATCTTTAGAATTGCCGTTTTCAGAACTTCAGGAATCATGAAGGAATCTAGGTGTGTAACCGCACAGGATCTCAGCCTCAGCCCTTTGCCAAAACATATAAATACTTCTAGACACTCCTTCCACATGCACAAGAACCCTACACAAATGTGACTTTCAGAGAATGCCTCTTTTAGATACATTCACCTGGACATGTTTTATAGACTAAGTCATTCCATTTGATGGACAGAGACTAAACTGAGATTTTAAGCAAATATAAGTTTTGTGTAAAAAAAAAAAAAGAATGTGGAAGGAATTTAAGGTCCCACACCTACACTTATACAGAGAAAATAATTTCCTTATTCTTGAGCAGTAAAGCTACCCTGAGCTAAAGCTGTACCTTGTTGGAGAAGTGAATCTTCCAGACAAGTGCTAGCTAACCTAGTGGGTAAGTTGTACCCCAAATACCAGTGAATGCCAAATGTGTTGTCCTTCATTGTATGGGATCTAAGGGGTTGCTACGTCATATAACTCAGTCTTGAGAGAAACCACGGAGTTGGCCATGTGTCTAAATCAGGAACAGTTTCGGGGTATCAGCCTCTCTTCTTTGCTGAAAATTTAATGGCTTCCTATTGCTCTCCTGCTAAGGCATGAAATTCTTAGTCTGAGAAAAAAGTGATGATTTAGTTCATTTAGTTCATTTTTGTTTACCTCTCCAACTTCATGTGTTAAACAATCTCCCCAAGCTTAAGAGTGTATACACACACACACACACATATCTGTAATCATACAAAACTACATGCAAGAATGATAGTGCCCCAATTCTCTTCATCTCTGCTTGCAATAGCTTTCCTTCCCTCATGCCCTGGCTAATTTACCTTTTCCCTCCTCGGGAAAGTTTTCCCTATCCCTCAAGTCTCCTTATTTATCTATCCTTTGTGCTCCCATAGGGCTCTGTAAATACCCCCATTAAAGCATGCACTATAGGTTCTTATTTGGTTATATTTCCTCCCAATATGTTATTGACTCTTCCAGGACAAAACCTCAAACCTGGCCCAGTAAAGACATGTTAACTAAACAAACACCAGATGTTAACTCATCTTTCTCCTAACCATCCTTAGGCTTTCTTTGCCGCTGTCCACCTGAACAGGTTCAAACATACAGTTATCATATATTAAATAAAAGGAGACTACTATAGTCACAATACTTCAATTTCAATTTCAGATGATTCTTGATGTCCTTTAGATTTGTGCCTTCAGATTCTGAAACAACTGGACAATCTACTAAACCATCAGGGCAGACTGTGTTCAGGTTATAGGAATGTTCAGAAAAGGATGCTTCTAATATGGGAAGGTTTGATGAAGCTTCCCAGGTTTTGATGCAAGTAATGGACAAGGAAGATATCAGTGAAGGGAAATAGGTGCAGAATAGGTAGAATGTAGATAGTGGGAGTGGAGGGGGGATGGGGAAAACACTAAAAAAGCTGGCTTGTCTGACAGGCATGGAAATTGTCAGCAGCAAAGGAGCCACTTGGTGAGGAATCTATTGTGCTAACAAGCAGCACTAGACAAATCCTTACCCTCTGGCCTGGGGAGCCATCACGTCCTGGTGAACCAACACCGCCTGGCACACCCTAGGCAGAGCAGGACAGAAATGAGTCAGGTCCAAGGAGATCAATTTCCCTCTCACCCAGCTTCCCTGAAATATATCAAGGCCTCCCAACAAGGCTTGCCTGATAGCATAAAGGCAAGGCCTCAGTGACTGAGAATGCAGACCCCAGGAGAAGTTCATGGAAAAGGAGTGCCCCCCATCAGCCCACCAATTCCTTGACTAATATGAGGCATCTTAAGGTAAATAAATACACACAACAGTCTTAGCTATAAAAACCACTTATTGCTAGGATTATAGGTAACTTCAGAAGCTACAAACTTGTTTCTTGGCAAAATTGAGTGCAATGAACTATAAAGTAAATAAAAATAATACCTGTGGGCCAGGAAGACCAGACTCTCCTTTTTCTCCTTTCTTGCCTGGCATTCCCTAAATATCCAAAAGTACATGGGGTTAAATTCCCATAGGAAAATTCTTCAACTTTTCGTTTTTTTCCACTGACAGTTCCAACATTAAATGGCTTTCATGTACCATCTAAATGCTGCTTATTGCACGTCTCGCATATGCAATGCAATGCCACTTATGTAAACATTCCTATGGAGCTGGATGTTTATGTGTCCAAATAGTTTAAACACAGAATATACAGTTTGATATGGCTAAGGCTGTCCTACTATAAATATGTGGAGGGGAGTCTTGAACATTTCAATGTTATTTATAATTTAGAATTTTAAAGCTCATATCTCTATAGAGTTTTGTTTTGTTTTGCCTAGAAATTTATAACATCAATAAAGCAAACATAGAGACTAGCTGGTAGCAAAACCTCAAGAAAGGCCTAGGAAGAGTAGTAATAATTATACAAATTGGCATGTTAATGCTTTCTAAAATGTAAAGATAACCCTGGAATGGTAAACTTCTTAGCTAGAGAGACACAATCACATACACAGATTCTGGTAGAAATGTTCTTAAAAAAAATCTGTCTGCTTCAAATATCAATTTGAATAAATAGATTGGCTTTATTCTTTTAAATCTAAATCTCCTACAAAGAATATGCATTGGAGCAAAGAAAGTTTGTTCAGTAAATGGTGCTGGGAAAACTGGGTTGCTACATGCAAAAGAATGAAGCTTGACTACTACCTAACACCATACACAAAAACCAACTCAAAATGGATTAAAGAACTAGACATAAGACCTGAAACCATAAAATACATAGAAGGAAATATAGGCGAAACACTATGTGAAATGCACATCAAAGACATCTTTACAGACACATCACCCAAAGCAGTGATACCAAAGGCAAAGATAAACAGCTGGGACTACATCAAATTAAAGAGCTTCTGCACAGCAAAAGAGACAATAACCAAAATAAAGAGAAACCCCACCGACTGGGAGAACATTTTTGCACACAACACTAATGATAAAGGACTGATCACAAAAATCTACAAAGAGCTGATGAGACTCAACAAAAACAAAGAAAATAATCCAGTCAAAAAATGGGCAGAAGAGCTAAAAAGAAACGTCTCTGAGGAGGAAATGCAAATGGCCAACAGGCATATGAAAAAATGTTCAACATCACTTGTAATCAGGGAAATGCAAATCAAAACTACCATGAGATACCATCTTACACCAGTGAGAATGGCACATATTAAAAAAACTAGCAACAACAAATGTTGGCGAGGGTGTGGAGAAAAAGGAACTCTTCTGCACTGTTGGTGGGAGTGCAAACTGGTCCAACCACTATGGAGAGCTGTGTGGAGATTTCTGGACCTACTAAACATAGAGCTTCCATAGGATCCAGCAATTCCACTCCTAGGTATTTACCCAAAGGACACAGAAACATTAATTCCAAAGGGCACCTGCACCCCTATGTTTATAGCAGCACTGTTTACAATAGCTAAGCTTTGGAAACAACCCAAATGCCCAAAAATAGATGACTGGATCAAGAAGATGTGGTACATATACATCATGGATTATTACTCAGCATTCAAAAAAGATAAACACATGCAATTTGCAGCAACATGGATGGCGCTGGAAGGGATCATGCTCAGCGAAATAAGCCAGAAAGAAAACGAAAAATACCGGATGGTCTCACTCATAGCAGGAATCTAGAAAACTTAAATAAGGGACCAGGAAAAAGAATAACTATAAGAAAGAAAATATCAAAATCAACAAGCAACTATGAACCAGAGACACTCTATGGGGGCTGGGGGGGTGGGGAAAGGAGGGCTTGGGGTCAAAATATGGGGGTTGTAATCGTATGGGGAATATAAAATAAAATTTAAATAAAATAAAAAAAGAAACAACCCCAAATTATAAAACATATGAGCACAGAAATAAAAGATTATGCCTTTCAAAAAATAAATAAATAAAAATAAATCTAAATCTCCTAGAGTAAGATTAATGAGAATCAATGAATGGAATTAAATTTGTTTTCAATGGAACAGATAGCTTTTACAAGAACATGCAAAATATGCAATGTGTGCTATCTGCAATCTAAAACTCACAGCCTGGACACCACACTTGGATGCAACTTGAGATAAAGATTATGACTAAATGACCTTCATGAATCAATATCCACAATTCCTACCAATGAATAATGAAGACTTAAATTTGCGTAACACTGGTTATTTTTTAGATTTTATCATCTCTATTAAGGACTCAGTCAAACAAGAAAAAGGGCGGTGCATGTCATGCTCTGTTTTTCTTTGACAGATAAATTGCTTGTGGATATAAAGATTCCTCTGGCATGTATCTGTTTGCCAAAGACCCCCATCGTTGAACAAAAACATTGTCTAATGTACAGACTCTCATAATTATTTCATTTCTTAATTCTTATTTTTACGAATGGAAAGGACTGAGGGAGGCTTGTTATGAAGACACAAGATCATTGCTTGTCTCTCATGGAGAAGTGGTAACAGTGAGACCCATGTGAATGTTTACATACAACTCACAGGCATTCCTTGAATGGACAGACCACTTGGTCCTTGGGGCCCGGGGGGACCCTGAGGTCCAGGAGGACCTACTGATCCTCGAGGGCCATCTGGTCCCTGGAAAGAAAGAAAAGGAAAGTTAGACCCTCTGGTCGCCAGAAGATATTTCTGCTTAGGGTGTATACAATTTATTTCCTTAAATAAAATTTTCTAAGACATGAAACACTTACGGAATAATAAGATGTGATGCCTGGATGATTCACATCCCAGGCAAAATGTCATCAATAAAACAAAAGAGTAAACACAGAGAGTTGCTACAACTTTAATTTTTGCTTCCATAAACAAGAAGCTGTGCCAATTATGAGTAACCAGACCCCCCACACTCCATAACAAACCCAAAAGACGTAAGTGGTTCAAGACCACCCTCTTGGTGGGGGGAGATTCAACCCTCCCAGGTGAATTATATCCTCTCCATCTTCACCACTGCCAACGACCTGCTTGAGGGGCACTCCTCTGCATTTTTTTAAAGATTTAGTTATTTATGCATACAAGAGCTGGGGTACAGGCCAGAGATGGGAAAAGGTGAGAGGATTCACCAGAGACAGAGTGGGGAACAGAACAGGCAGATTGAATGAAATGCACTGCTGAGGGGAGCAGCAGGCGAGTCAGAAGAGGTCTGCTGCTCCATGTGGGTCAGCTCCCTGGCCGGAAATCGAACTCATGCTGCAGTGGCTGCAGATAGCTTCATATATGTTGTGTCTCAACCCCTTACGCCACCAGGGAGGCCCTCCTCTGCATTTATTAAGGACTTTGCACCAACACTCTCTTTTCTTCCTCACCTTGATCTTCCATCCCCCGTTCCTCTTCAGTTTTACTGAATGATCTGCCATTGGCTCACCGTTATTTGATATCACTTCATCTCAGGATCAGGCATTCCTTTCTCTTTAGCAACTCTTACTTCTATAGTTTGAACCTTATTGTGGCCCAGCTAAAACAATACCACCTCTATGATCTTAGAGCCAAAAAACCTATTTATTTTCAACCTCTTTTCCTTTCCCTTCTCTTGATCTGGGGTATGGTATCCTCCAGCAAATTCTCAAATACCTGACTGCAGTCAAGAGTATGATATGATCCAGCATAACATTAGAGAAATACATCTGGGGGCAGATGTGAAGAATCAATGAGAAAACTAACATACTGGAGCTAGGAGACCAGTAAGAAGATTTGTCCAAAGCTGGACAAAAGGTGGTGAAGCCTGAATTCAATTTGTACCTAGCCTTCTGCCACTCCTTAAGGAGCCTTCGTGAAAAGATTAAAAATGTGTGGTGGCCTCCCCAGTGGTGCAGTGGTTGAGCACTGGGTTGTGAGGCTGCCCGCAGCCTCTGCAACACCGGTTCGGTCCCTGGCTGCCAGGTGAGGGTCCCACATGGCACGCAGACCTCTCCTGCAGCCCCTGCTCCCCTCAGCAGTGTATTTCGTCAGTCTGCCTGTTCTGCTCTTTGCTCTGCCTCTGGTGAACTCTCTCACCCTCCCGCGCTTCTGACTGTACCCAGTGCTTGCATAAATAAATAAATAAATCTTTAAAAAAAAAGATTAAAAATGTGTGCTTTGATACAGCTTGGCACAGCATGGCGCTCTTGGTTGGTGCCTGTGCACAGTGGACAACCTGAACCACCACACTTGCTGCCTTGGGCAATGAGAATAGAAAACAGAGCTATGAGCTTGAATAGACATAGTGGAGAGGGAGAAGAAAGAATCTAAAACCTGAGAAATTACCTGGCTGGGACTGTGGCCTAATTGTAATTCAGTTGCTACCCCTCCCCAAAGAGACATCTACATCTTTGATGTAGATAGAGCAAGAGAGGAATGTTCTAGAATGAACTACCTTGGACACTAAACCACTCAGAACAGTGACTATTCCTGACCCAGAATATTTTCTGTTTGATGAAAAAGCAGAAAACTTCAAGAAAAAGAAAAAAATATATAGCTATAAGTTTCCTAGAATATAAAGTGCTTTTAAGATTGCAACAGGTAAATAGTAGTCAGTCCCCAAATTCTACTATAGCTGGTTATGAGAGGGAGGGCAAGAGACAGGGAGAGAAAGAGAGAGAGAGAGAGAGAGAGAGAGAGAGGAGAGAGGTCATTTCCACATTACCTTTGGGCCCTGTTCGCCTCGCTGGCCCTTGGGTCCTCGGAGCCCTGGACCACCCTGGTAAACAGATGTTCAGTATTAGCACAAAGGCAAATCATAAAGCAGTATATTTCACCCATTTTCTTTATGATTGCCGATTATGTAATTTCTATTTGTATAAAAGCCAATGCACTGTGTAATGGTATATGTTCCTCGTGATTCTTACCTGGAAATTTGCCACCCAAGCCCAAACCTCCCTACTGATGAATTCATTGTTTTAGAAAACTTGCTATGCCCAATCTTTTTAAACTGAAAAAAAAGTTAAGGATTTTTAAATTTAGCGTATGAGTACTGTTACTAATGAATACAAGTAACAAAATACACCATTAATCTAAATTTGTATATGTTTTATACCTTAACACTGAGATTTAATTATTCGATTAAGTTGCAAAAAGCATATGAAAGTACTAATAATTTAATTTTCTTCATTTAGAGGTAAGTTAGTATTTCAGTAACTTGTTATTTGCATTTTCCCTCAAGATTTTTTGACATATTACTGCTCTATCTGAACTATTATTTACTAGCATTTTTCTTTATGTAGATGCATATGAACAGACATAATAATACATATGTGTGCATATGTATTCTTTGCAAATATATTCTCTGCATCTTTGTGTGTATATCTACTCTGAATACTTTCTAAGTGACTCATGTTTCACTTAAATAAAACTACTTTTTTTAATAATAAATCTGCTTTAAAGCAATTAGTATAGCATTACAGAAGATGAAAACATGTATTACTGAGAATAGAAGTTACCCCAAAATTATACTATAAATAATGTGATTAAATTGAGCTAGATTTTTGTCTCTATTAAAGTCTATGAGCCCCAGGCTTGTTCTATGTTAAAAGGGGTGATGAATAAGTATTAGAAGAGACACATGGGGACCAAATTCAGACTACCTCTTTTAGCTGAGTAGAAGAATTAAAAGATCATTGAGATCACAGTAACAATCTCACTCTGTAATTCCAGCCTGCTTCGGGCCATGTCTATGAAGACTGAGAACCATTTTGTGTTCCATCCAAAAACACATATCATTGGGAAAAGACTGGATCAGGCCCCCTTCCAGACCTCTGCTTTGCTTAACCACTTATACTCATTCCCTTTCCCAATCTCAGTTGGTTGCTTATCTCCCAGACTTTTAAAATGCAATTATAAGATTGCATTTTATGTACACATATGTATACTTACATGTATGTATATTTCCATCATGCTTTTTATCTAGTTCTAAGTTCTTAAATGTCATATGTTTAAGAGAGTTATCCATAACATAATCATATCACTTATTCTTAATGAGTTGTATAGTTGTCTAAACCCTTCAATTTCTTCCATAATTGAAAATTGTGGGTTTTACAACAATTATTTTGTGCTTAAATAATACTACAATTAAAACCCCTAAGCACTAAGTTTAACATTTAAGCATCAACAAACTGAGTTATATATGAAATTTGATAGATATATAGACATATGATATATTGCTAATTTATTCATCTGCCTAGAGTTTAAGAAGGGCCCACTTTCTATAAATCTTTGTCAACGCTTGATATTGTCAAACTTCATGTTTTACCAGCCTGATTGGTAAAATGAATACCTTAGTCTTATTTTAATTTTCTTTTTTCTGAAAACTACCATGATTGAACATCTTTTCATAATGCATGTTCTTCTTCTTCAATGTGCAGAAATTCTGCATATATTTGGATATTATACCTTTAGCTGTTATACATGATGCAAATATTTCCCTCTCTTCTGCCCCCCATATGGCAGGCACTACTGATTGGCTATCAAAGAATCTTTCCTGATTCTTTCCTCCATTTAATTCCTCCTACTACTAAGGCTAAAAAAAATAACAGGTTTGCTTTCTAGTCTCCTTCGTAACCAGGAAAGGGCTTATTAACCAGTTTGTACCACTTTTATCAAAAAGCAATAAGCCTGAGGAAAGCAAATTGGAAGCTGCATGGGCTTGGGGCCTTCAAGAGGCTGTTGAGCAGCCTGTTTTCTATCTCCAGACAATGAATGTTCCAGTGGTTTTCACCATTGATATCAAGTTGTCTATTTTTTGCAACAAGCCCAACGCATCCCAACTGACATACCCAGTTTGACATAACTCTAATTTTGTTTGTACATCTTAAATAATTGGTTTTTAACTGAAAGGTTTGATTAAATGTGACTATTTGGCTAACAAATATCCATGCCCGAGGCACTGTGTCTAAAAGCCAGGGGTCATTTTCTACTTTAATTTATATTCTACCTTATCCCTAACCCTCCATCTTATGCACATGGCAAGAATTCAACAAATTTTTTTAAATTCTTTCAAAAAATTAATTCACTTTTTGCCCTCATAACAAGAATTCAACAGATTTTTCTGGATGTCAACATCCATCCTATTAGTAAGAAAGGGTTAGTCTAGGCTAAAGAGATACCTTCTTTCATTCATGCCTTCCTGCAGCTCTTTCAGAGTTTTACTGGTACAACTTATTACTGTGCAAGTTCTTGAATGAGAAAATAATGACAGCAATGATAAATTAAGACAGGATTTATTACATATTGTTTGGGATGCTATTTCTTAAATAATTATACTTCAAGTATTTGGAAATTTCAACAGTTTCCCTCCTAGTTAACATCTTATTTCTCTCCAAGTTAGAACTCAACCTTTGTCTTTCCCTTCTCTGTTGCTTCTTTCATACTATGAAGTTGACTTGTAGGTCCTCTGTGTATATTTCACAACTTGTTCCAGCAGTATTACAAATGAAGACAATTTGAAAACCCTCCAGATAAAAAAGCTTATTAATGTTATGCAAATTAAAAATAAACATCACTGTAATTAAGAACTGAATCCTTAAGTACAAAGGAATGAAGAAAGCATGTGGACTGAGTCTGCCCTGGAGGAGAGAGGGAAAGAGAGTTGGGGCTTGCTGCATAACTCTTGTCTTAGAGCCCACCCAAGGCAAAGAAATGTGAACTTGGGTCTATGACTGGTGGGGGGTAGAAGAGAAAACATTCTTAGGAAATATTCAGAGGAATCTGACAGATTGCAAGTTCCCTGTGAGCAATGAGCTAGCGAGGGGAAAAGCCCAGTAGCAGGTGGAGGAACCAAGATGTTTCATTTTAGCTTTGGAGGAATAGATGTCCCTGCTAAGAAATATGGCCTGGAAGCTGATTCCCAGTCTAAGGACCAGAATTCACACCATCTGTGAGGATCACACAAAGGTTTTGATTTGCATTTTCCTGATTACATGTGATGTTGGATATTTTTTTTCATATGCCTGTTGGCCATTAACCCAAAGGCAAACTTTTAACAAGGTATTTGGTTGGTTGTTTACTCAGAAGATTGGCAAAAGCAAGCAGATATTCATTGGAAGAACATAGTTCATCCACAGTTTCACTGTGTATAAACCCAAAATACACACCCCAGATAAGACATGCATGCAGAATCAAGACGACATGAGTAAAATCAGCAGAAAAACAAATGGCACATTCAGCACCCCACCCCCACTTTTCTAAAAGTGTTAAAAAAGAGAATATGCCAATGACCAGAATACTTGAAAAGGAACTGAATATAACTTCTAGATATGCTAAATATAAATATCAAAATCAGAAACACAACAGACAGCTTAAATAGCGTATTAAAACAGAGAACAATGGAGATTAAATAGGCAAGACTCACTGGTGGGCCTGCCGGTCCCAGAGGCCCTTTGCTGGCCTCAGAACAGGAGCAGGAATGTGGAAGCTCTGGGCAGGTCTCCTCATTTCTCTGGGAGAAAAAACAATAACATAACAGTTCATAAGATAGTTTAAAGACATAAAGAAAATGATTTTATTTAATATAGTAAAAGCCCCTTTAAGTGAACATTAGTCTAGAAAGGCAGAGAGTATTCTCTCTTGACCGTAAAATCTTTCCTTTAAGGAAAAATGAACAGGTATTTAGTGAATCATTGATAATTATCATCATCCAAGGATGCTAATAAAACTGCTTGGGGTCCAGGGAAAGAAAGAAAATCAGAAATGGGTGCAAAAATATCCTGGATTATTCTATCAAAACAATTGTGACTATACTCAAACAAAGAAACATAATAAAATAATACATCATATAAATTACTGCACACATTAACCATCATATAAATTACTGCACACATCCTTGGAGTGATAATAAGAAAAACATCCCAGCATCAATCTGAAGCTTTGGGATAGGAAGTCAAGTTTTCTTTTCTTGGCAATGTCTGTTGCTATGTGATATTACCAGACAGATGAATTTCAAGCTTAACATATCTGAATGAATTACTGAAGAGCAGAGAACGACAGAACACCTGCTGACAGCTACTGAACAACTTGCAAATATCCCACTGGGAGCTGTAGCCAAAAAGAAGTCTTTACTGTGATAAAAAATTGTAGAAATCCCCAGGGTTCATCAGAACCTTGGATGGAGAGAATAGGATAAGACTAGAGAAATGTAAAGTTAGAGCTAAATATAGCAGAGATGTTAAATCACCAAGTTGAAAATAACCATCATCATTGAAATATTCACAACAGAAATTCCAAAAAAATTCAGGAAATGGCCTGTATATATTTGTCTTTAAATGTTGGGACAATAGTCACACATTTCAGCTTGGAAACTTCCCCTGCAAACACATACTGCCTGATACCTGACCAGCTAGAATAAAAGTATCCTCAAAGATCTCCCAAACAAGGCTGACAGCAGCCCCTCTGTGACCAGAGACTTTGCAGTGGTTTGCTGATTGCTGTTGACCTGTCTCCATCCACAACTTCCTACCATAGAATTTACACTTATCCCACAATAAGCTTTAAAAGAAAGCTTCTGAGAACAACTGGGTCCTTCTAGGAGAATTGGTGATCACATATTGCTTAATCCACCACAGCATTCTGAGGGTTTCCCCTTCCAATGTCCAATCATCCGTGTCTGTGATTTAATTCCTCACCAGTTCAATGGAAACCAATTTGGACGAAAAATGAGTAAGTTACTTGCTTCTCAAACATAGTCATATACTTATGATTGTTATGTGGATCTGGTGTAAGGAAGGCCTAAAAAAGGCAAATCTCTTAGACTTTAGGAACGCTTCTTTCTCCATGCCCATTATCCAAGTTTCATTATTAACACATAACTTCTATCCAATCATGTCATCCATTTCAGTTCACTGGCCTTAAGGATTCTAAGATATTGAATCTTCTTTTTTTGTAAATATGTATATGCCCTCATGAATTATACTTGGGGTTACTGATGAGAACAGCCTGGTTTTCTAGTAGTGTAGCATAGATTATGACTACAATTCCAAAATTGTGTGCCAAGATGCCCTGGGACTCTATAGCAAACACACAGGGAACTTGGTGAATGTTTAAAAAAAATCAAGTGAAACAATATTCAGCACCCAAAAGACATCGTGTTAACAATCAACTCAAGGTAGTGCATAATTTCCACATTCAATTTTGAAACACCTTTTAAAAATGATGTCATGTTTTTGCAAATCTGGTTCATCAGTAGTTAATATGATGAAAACAAGCACCATGGGAACAATCAATATGGGGGAAAAAAGCAAGGGTGGCAACATCTAGTGAGATTCCAATATGAGACACTGTACCTTTCTAGGCACAAACACCCCACTGGTAATTGTGGTTCTTTAAGAATAAAGGTAAGACATCATTTGTTGATTTATGTGTACGATCTTTTCATATGGCTACTAAGTTGTTAGGACACAAACATCTATTAAGATGTGTAGACCTAATTACATCATAAATGGAAATGTTAGGTGTTTCTTTTGACTCAGGCAATGTTATGAAAAAAAAAAAAAAGTCACTGAGATGCTAAAGGTTTCATGAACCATAAAAGTGGGGAACCTCTGGGCCATGTGTAAACGGCTCCCCCTGGAATTTTGCGATTCCCACAACATACTCAGTGTGTCCCACTGATTCACACATGCCTCCTTCTTAAAATCTTTCTCATTTTTATTAGCACTATTTATAATAAAAGTGTTGAGAAATAGCATTTCATTTTTGGAGGAAATTGTAACTCTAAAAAGTTTCAATCTGTAATAACTAAATAATGAAAGAAAAATTCTTACCAGGCCTGGAAGCTCACAGCATTTGTCTCTATTGGACCATGATGTGGAACAAACAATATCAAACATCTGAAGCTGAAACTGCAATACAGAAAGAAAATTATCATTTAATGAAGAACATATAGATCCTTTGTGTTTATAATTATAGCCATTCCATATTCCACAAAACACCAATCCATTTACAAGTTAACATTACTGTAAATAATGAGTTTTGTTTCTCATGTACACAGTGATAGAAGAAGAATGTGTCTAGTTTTATTCCACCTACTCTCCACAACACCCCGAGAGTCTGTCCCTATGAGTGTTCCTTATTTATCACAAACTGCCCCTTCCCTTCTGGAGTAAGGAGCAAAGGCAGTGCCTCTGTTGAAGCTTTTCCTGTACTATCCATCACAGTTCTCTGTTAGCTCACACACTCCATCTGGGTCTTATAAAAGCACATCTCTTGCCAAACAATACCATGATGTATATTTCTTCCTCCTCTAACTGTGAGCTCTGTGCTTCCTATCACAGTATATGACATGTAGCAGGTCTTCATGGAGGTTTTTCTGAATTAATTCTGAATTCTGTTATATATGCGTATACTCAGCACATTTTTCTTTAGCTTATCATGCAAGCCAAGTATTATGTAGACCATTAGGATATGAACAAGAAAAGGCATGAAACCACAGTCCTGCCCACAAAGAACTACAGAGACGGAGAGACAGGCACTTAAATGCTGTTTACAATATAAATGCCATGACAGATGCTCATATGGTATCCTGATGGCCTGTGCTAGTTGTATTTTCATGTATGTCATTGATCACATCCTAAATATTTAAGCAGTCTTGTTCTACTCATGTTTGTTGGCAAAAACACTATATATATTTTGAAATAAACAGAAAAATCATTATATTATCATTAAGGAATAACACTAGCTCCATGAGCTAATCATCTTTAATATCATTATTTTCAAATATTAAAAGTCTCATCAATTACAGAATGGGGAGAAGAATGAGGTACTTTTCACTTTAAATCTGCAACCTCCTTTTGGCAAATGGTATTTTCAGCAAGAGCTAGAAAATGTATACCTTTTGTGTCCTCAAGGAATACAACCCATCCCTGATCAGGGTCCTCTTGAGGAAAATGAGAACACATAGGTAGATAGTGCTACTGAAGTCTGTGACTAGCAATGCATGCAATATCTCCAAGATGCACATCCTATCCAGCAGTAAAGAGAATGCCAGCGGCCTTCTCTTCTTGTATCCAAGAACAACTATGGCTTGCTGAAAACATCCTTCCCCAAGTGGGTTTTTGCCAGATTAATAAAATAACTCTTAAATGTTGAAGGCAGATATATGAACCAAAGCATCATTATTTTTTCATATCTATAAAAACTACTGTGTTTGAAGATTAGAAAAATTCCCAATTTTTTCTTCTTCCTATGGGCTGAAGAACAACATCATGACCATTAGAAAATTAAGTTTTTAAAATTAAAACATTTTTAAAAGAATAGGGCTTTTGATTTTCATGCAACAAGAGCAACACAAACATGTCAATCAAGAAGCATAAGAATCAGGAAGCTATGGCGTTAGGTTGTCTGGATATAATCATTGCATCCTAAGTCATTTTGAACAATTTTTTAATGCATTGGAGTCTCCCATTTCCTCATCTGTAAAATAATGGTGGTAGATATTTATCAGTATAATAATAGTAGGTGTAGCAATAAAATAAGTTAACAGGAACATGTTTAGAACAAGAATATTTGGATCATAGCTATTATCAAATATGGGATTATTTTAATGCAACACACACACTCTTTTATAATTGAATTCTAGAAGGTGCATCAGTATATAATAATACAGAGGCCAAAAAAGGAGAATCAAAAAGAAAGTGATACAGTATTGAGGGGAAATAGAATAACAGTGTTATACAACAATCATCCCTTGAATGTTTTGATTGAGAAAAATCATAGCAAGTACCAACAGTTGGTACTTGCAGAAGCAACCAACACGTTGCTGAAAACCTACTATATGCCCAGCACTAACCTAAGGACTTTGCCTTTATCACTCAATTCTCAGATCACTATAATGAGTTATGATAAAGGCAATGTCAGCTCCACTCTGTAGATTAGGATCTGGGATGAAAGAGCCTTAGTAATTTAAGCACATGTTGAAAGCTGAGCTCTGGTTGGGGTTGGGACAACACACCTCATTTTCTTGTTCATTTTGCAGCAAAGAGAACTTTGATCTAATGTTGAAAATGCAGTTATCCCTGCCTAACTTGACAATGTCATTTGTCTGGGGACATTTATTAAATGGGTCCCATTATGACAGCAGGAGATAGATTCCATGAAATCTGTAAGTCATTCATCCATTAAGAAACTTTCCATTTCTGAATAGAGCCCTCAGTGTAAAGACATTTTAGTGAATGGAAAGATTTATTTAAAGCAAAGGCCTTTTCACTAGCCCCAGTATGCACTAGGCTTTCTTGAAGTTTTTCAAATAAACATTCACCACCCAATCGCCTATAAAGGTAAGTCTACGTGCAAACATTTGGCTGAACTTTTGCCCTATTGAGTTAATGGGATTCTTATGAGTTCGTTTTATTTATTCAAAGGATTGAAATCCTACTAAGTGCTGAAGTGAAAACTATCATTTGAAGAATGCTCGTGGGCTGCCTTTTTTCCCCTTCAAGTTAGATGAAGTCAGCAGCCTTTTTTTATGAGCACAACAAATTTATTCACAATTGTTTTGCATTTATAATAGTTTACATTCTTCAGCTTTTATTTGAGGGTTTCTTTTCCAAGGCACATTTCTAGAGATTGATTAAAAACTCTCTGGTTTTTATTCCAAAAGCAATGACACACATATTTATACAAATTATGTAGGGAACAGTATTGAGATAATATGTTGAAAGATTTGATATTGGAGTGCCTGAAAATGCAAGATATTATAGGTGACAATAAAGCACAGTTCTAGCAATTGATACAAGAGGCGGTCCTTCTAACTTTTGTAACTTTATTTTTCGTTCCTGACTGAATATTATAAAAAAGTATATCTGTGCAAAAAAGGAAAAGGAGGGTGCCCAACATCCTACTTTCACTTTTTATACTCTCTTTCAAGGGATTACTTAACCAATTACAAATGCTAATTTTTCATTACTGGACATTTTTGTCTGGGTGTAGCACAAAAGGCAAGTCATTTGGGGTCAAATGTTAGGATGAAAATAAGATGACTTCCCAGCAGTTGAGTCACTATGATGTGTGAATGGAAATTAACATGTATCCCAGGCCCTACTTTTCTACTCAGTACCAGATTTTATGCTCTGACTTTTTCTGGCATAACATAATTAAGCTTGTCATTTTAGGTCAACCTGAACGTATATACAAATAATTGCAAAGACCTAAACCATCTTCTGCTCTTAACTTGGTGTTTAAATTCCATTGACTCCATCTCAAAATAAGATTTATTAAACATTTACTATTTATCTGCTACTGAACACGTGTTTTCAATTCACTGAATCTAAGAAAAACCATGGCACTAATTCAAGTAAGAAAGGAAAATTAGCAGCAGTTGTTGATAATAATTAGAATAGTTAGGGGCAGATACACTTTGATGGGGAGGACATTCTGATCACATTTACTTTTTAAATCATAAATTAGGGCCTCCCCTGGTGGCGCAGCGGTTGAGAGCTGGGCTGAGAAGCTGCCCGCAGCCTCTGCAGCGCCGGTTCGATCCCTGGCACACTGGCGAGGACCCACATGGCGCGCAGACCTCTCCTGCCACACCCGCTGCTTCCCTCAGCAGTGTACTTCGGTCCTTCTGCCTGTTCTTCTCCCTGCTCTGGCTCTGGTGAATTCTCTCACCCTCCCGCGCTTCTGACTGTACCCATTGCTTGTATAAATAAATAAATCTTAATAAATAAATAAATCATAAATTAAATAATGGTGAGTCTCTGAACTTTTCAGTTAACAGATAGGCATATGGTCACTAAAACCAGACTCCTTCCTCCGTCTTAAGATTTACAATCATCAGTCTCACCCCCTCCAAGAAAGCACTAGAATGAAAGCAAATCAGACATAGTCCCATGGGGGGGTGGATCTCAGGGGTACAGCATTTGACCATAGATGGATACATTCTCATGTCTTACTGCCCCCACTTTTTGAAAAGGGATCCCTCCATAACTTCTTTAAACTTCAGCTTCTGGATCTATCAAATAGGAATAGTATTAGTATCTCTTCATAAGGTTAGGAGAGGATAAAATGAGATAATCTCAGAAAAGTACACATAGCCTAGTCCACAGTTGACATGCATTTAATATTGGCTATCTTGCTCATTTAAAGTTTTAAGAGACATAATCCATGTGCAAACACAGTCATTTTCTCATTTAAAAACCTGCATTTCTGTAGGATCACTGACTACTCTTATTTCTACATAAAATCTTTGAGTCAGTGAATAAAATAATAAGCAACTCCAATTTATATTTTTCTTTATTTACATAGTAGAGGGGTAAGCAGATGTCAATTGAATAATTCTAGAAGTGTTAGACTTGAAAAGATGAAAAAATACATTAAGAAACATGCTGTTAGTATAGAAGCTCAAAATCTTTCTATAGCAATCTCTGACAGGCAACATCTACTAATTTCAATAGGTATCAGAAACAATAGAAGAAACATTTATCTTAGCCTAGGAATCAAGTCATCCTTGAGTCCTTCATTTTGGACAATAGAAGACAGTGACTCTGGCATTTCTGAGTTAGATACAAGAAACTTCTTAGGAGAAAAAAAGATTGGAAAGCAGAAGCACAGTTGGTTAAGTTTCCTACCACATGTGTTTTGATGGCCAAGTTAAGTTTGCTTATTAGTTTAGTCCCGCTAGGGACTATTCCTGCCTAGAAAAATCTAGCATTGCTCCACACATGTTGTTTTTGTTACCAATGTAATTTCAGCGCAGTAGTTACTATATCCGTAAATTCATTAATCTCTCCTCTACTTAACTTTGGTTTAAAGAGGATATATTTTCTTTAAAGACTAAATCTTTAGCGTTTTCCATCATCATCTGACATTTTTTAATCACAGTTAAATTTCTGGGAAAACACTAGCCTATAAGCTACTAATCTCTCTTAAATGATAATTAATCCTCCTGAAATAACCCCACACTTGCACATTATACATTTCCTTTTGCAGGCTATTGGAGAACAGATGTATATCAAAATGTGTCAGCAATCTGTGATTTCTAAATTGGAAACTAAAAAGTGAGCATCTTTCTTGCCTTGTACTGAAACAAGTAGGCAATAAAATATTAACCAAAAAGTGAGTTTCCAATCATATTCTTAAGATCTAATCTAATATCCATTTCAACATAATCACATTCTTCAATAAGTGGGCAGATTGAAAATCCACTTAGCAATCCTTTGTAGACTTCTAGATTTTAACAAAAGTCATGACTTTTTTGACTGGGTTACAAAGAACTCTTTTGACTTATTGACTTCCATAAATTCCCCTTTGTCTACTACTTGTTGGAAGTTGCCACAGAGGGTAGTCTGTTTGATTGCCTTTCTTTCATGGCCAAAAGTAAAGATTTATAGCGGGTAGGTCTGAAACCCACAGGCACTTTTGCTTTCAGAAATAAATTTTTTATATTTCATTGTTCCTATATTTGGAGTACAATTACTACCTAGTGTGCAATTTGAAACACAATTACTGTAATTATAATTCTAAAATTCAAATTGTAACATATAAATTAATATTAGATGATATGATATTTATTACTGAACTGTTGTCACTGTCCCACAAGAAATAATCTAAACGGATAGCAAAATTTTTTTGAAAAAGATGCTGCAATTCAAAAAGACATGATTCTGTTAAATTTCTTTCATGCTTGTAGATTTACTCTGTTCATACACATTTGTTAAATACTGTGTGTATGGTAGAAGGAGTTAGTTGCAAATGAAGACCATAACACACTCTTCTTTTGAGGGATTTAAGCTCTGGTTAAAGTGGTAAATGTAAATATATGAAAAGATAAGAAAATAATACTTGATTACAAATAACCAACTGTTAAACAAGTACTAGAGGTTTGGAAAGGTGGGCTGGAAAAGATACTACTGACATCTTTCAATAATAATAACTGGCGGGCCTCCCTGGTGGTGCAAGGGGTTAAGTAGCGCACTATGAAGCAATTCGCAGCCTCTGCAGCACAAGTTGGATCCCCGGCCAGCCAGGGAGCAACCCACATGGCACAGCAGACCTCTCCTGTCTTGCCCACTGCTCCTCTCAGCAGTGTACTTCAGTCAGTCTGCCTGTTACTTCTGTTCCCTACTCTGTCTCTGGTGAATCCTCTCACCCCCCAATCTCTGGCCTGTACCCCAGTTCTTGTATGCATAAATAAATAAATCTTTAAAGGAAAAAAATAATAACTGGTCTACATTGAATGACTATTAAGTATCAGAGATTTTTGTGTTCATTATTTCTAAAATTTTATATAAATAACTATATATATATATATATATATGACTAAGTGCTTTGGGCCTAGAATCTCAAGCACATAGAATTGTTTGTTTTGCTTACAGTAGCAACATAGAATTGTTTGTTTTGCTTACAGTAACATCACTTATTAATCTAAGCATCCTGATGTACACCTTCATTTATCCATACATGATTTCTTAGTTTCCTAATTCTGAAGGCTTATAAATTCTTGGATGTGCCAATTTAAATGTGTCTCCCATGAAGCAATGGTGGTGTATTTCTATACACCACACATCAGGAGGAAATAACTCCTGAGTACCATGTAAACATTCATAAAAGTCTCTTACCATAACCGAAAACAAGAGAAACTTCCATGGTATGTATGTTGTGTCTTCAAACATCTCACCCATAGTCCCCCAAAGCAAAGCAGAGACAAAGATACTTTTTAAAATGCTGAAGTACTTGAAAGAGATTGCAAAGCTAAGTGTTAAATGAATTAGCACACATCCATCTAAGTGTGTGTCCCCTTTGTACCCAGAAATTTCACACCTATTTTTACCACAAAAAGAAAAGCTATGAAATAGAAAATTGTCCCAAAAGTAAGGCACTTCACTACTCTGAGCCTGTTTCCTGGTGTATGAGGTGAATGGGACATACTAGAAGAGTCAAATTAGAACTGTGTTCCCGGAAACTCCCTGAGGAATAATCAGCAGGTGGGCGCACCTGCTACTCTGTGTCTCTCTTCTTTGCCAATCAGCACAGGCCTATTTTCAAGTTATTTACTCACTGGACATGTATAAAATTTGATTTTGTACAAAACGATCTTCATTTTACGAAGATTTGGAGAACTAGCAAGGCTTTCCATAGAGCCGGCTGGTTTTACAGGTCTGTGAAAGCACAAGACAATAACAGTGACTTGCAATTACCTTGATTTTTCTCTTACATAGAAGAGACATGTAGAGGAGAATAGTTGCAATTGTTTAAAAGAATAAAAAAAACGCTTTGGGCTAATTGGTTCTAATTAGAGAATGACTCAAATTAGATAATGCTGCTAATTAATTGTGAATGCACAGTGTTAAAACAAAAGCTGTTTACACTCTCCTTTTTTGTGGGTAGTGAGTGAAGGGAATATGATTACTTTGGCAACTGGAAGTCTCCCAGTCTTGAATTCCATGGTGTACAATAAAAAATAAATGATCTTGGAATGATTTGTTATTGAAACAACTATTAATAAAGGGTAAACTCCATTAGCAGGAATAAAAATAAATTTTTATGACGCCCAAATCTAACCCAAATGAGATGCTTATGTCAATTTCTTAACAGTAATAATCACATATCTTGTACGGATTTGTATTTTTTATATAAATGACATCCATTTACAGTTTTCAATCTCATTAACACCATTCATGCCACAAACTGTACAATGAATAACTTTTACTTTTTGAATTTTAAATGCATTGAAAAAATAAACTAGCCTAACTCCTTGGAGATTATCCTTCTAATACAGCAGGAGCATATTTTGTCAAGAGGTTTGAATGTACAGGATTAGTTCCTTTAATGAGGCCATTATCTACATATCCATCCACCCATCCACCCATCCACCCATTCACCCATCCACCCATCCACCCATCCACCCATCCATCCATCCATTTAATATTATACCAACATTTCCTGCTGAAAAATAGGTATTTATATTTTAAAAAAAATTTTGTAACAATAACACAACTTCTTCACTTACTGGTGCAGAGTTTCCATTTGGTCCTCTTGATCTCACCATTCTCCCTAGGACTTCTACACCATCTGATGTGATATTAGCTGATGCATTTATTGCCTTCTCACCCACTTGCTTGCAGTCTATAACCACTTTGACCAAAGTCTTGCTGATAACAATATGTAGCTGGGTAAACGTAAAGATATTTCAGGAGTTAAGAAGCAGAAAGAAATACCAATAACCTTATATAATTGCATGACTCATCACAGAAAGTATGAAAGAGAACTGGATCTGTCTCTATGCATTGTGCTAGAGAAGAAATGTTCCACTTTTACCAATTCCATAATTGTCCTATATTGTCCATTCTATTTATATTTAATGATGCTTTTCTTTAAAAAGATTTTGAAAGAATTTATTTTTCAAAATCTCATCTTCCTGACTGGATCAAATGCATTGAAAACATAAACTAGCCTAACTCCTTGGAGATTCTCCTTCTAATATAGCAGGAGCATATTTTGGAATATTACTCAGCAATGGAATATTACTCAGCAATCAAAAAAGATAAACTCATGCAATTTTCAGCAACATGGATGGAGCTGGAAGGGATCATGCTCCACGAAATAAGCCAGAGAGAAAAAGAAAAATACCAGATGGTCTCACTCATAGCAGGGATTTAGAAAACCTAAATAAGGGACCAGAAAAAAGACTAATTATAATGAAGTAAAAATCAAAATCAGCAAGTAACTATAGAGACACACTACAGTGGGGGTTGGGGGGAGGAGAAGAGGGATTAGGGTCAGAATAAGGGGGGTGGGAATTGTGTGGGGAATATAACCAAAATGAAAATGCATACATTATGCAAAAATGAAAAATGATGTAAGAATTATATAAAATAAAATAAGAGCAGTAACATTTTGAAATCACAGGATTGCTGTGCTAGTTATGCTTTTTCTAGAAGCAAAATAAAATAGATGTGAAAATATTTTAATAATAAATTATGCTGGATGATTTACGAGAAAAATATCTAAGGTACCATCACACTTTGACAATTTTATATAACAGAAGATAAGAAAAGAAAGTATAGAATCTGAAGGGAAGGAGGAAGGCTTTCTGATGAACTCCAAAGGAAAGAAACCCTTAGCCTAAAGCATGGTATAGTAGTCTCGAACTGGAATTGCTATCATGTGGAAACCCATAGTAATATAGTCAGTTTACACATTCTTTGTTTAAAAAAAAAAAACTGTGTTATCATGCAGGGGATAGTCAAAGAGAAATATATTCTAGATGAACTATTCTAGATAACCACATGCAAGTAAATTCTGCAGGGAAATTTCAGTGCTCATATTGCATTTCAATTTGTGCTGATATTTGGCTCATGAGCATTGGTTATTTGTGGCAGAGCTACCTGTTTAATGAGCTAATGTAGAATTAATAGGCAAATAATGATTTCATATCAAGTGAAAGCCAAAAGACATTATAAATAGCTTCCAAAGGGACGGTAGCATAGCAATGGAAAGAGAAAAATTATTGAACAATGCGAATCCTGCTTAGGGGAGTGAAAGTAGTGGGTACTGAATTTGCATTGTAAGCAGAGGTTGAAGGTCAACTTTCATATTAAATTAGTACAAGTTTTAATTTTACTGGCTTTATTCAATCTTTACATTGGTTTCATTATTTCATAGGAACTAATCGTAGAACTAAAAACATAAGGAATAGACCAATTTTTGTTTAATATTTTACTTAAATGACATCACGATGATAGAAATAACTTAAGTCAACAATGGAGGCTCTTAAGAATTCTTTTTCCTGCAAAAAGAAGTTAACCATTACCCCGCTGGGGAACCATGGCTGAGCCCTACATTACTTTCTTCAAATTGACATCTCTTTTATGATCATATAGAAGGGTATAATTTTACTTTTGTGTGTTTTTGAGTCTTGGAATATTTTTCATTATTATAAATTATAGAAATTTTCATGTTCAGTACCAGACAACCTAGAATGCAATATTCATGCTTTAAGAACAGTTAACTTGTGAGAACATTCAAGTTTTACTTTAAAGAACAACTTTGCTTTACAAAAGCAGACATTGAAAGTTTTCAAAAATATTTTTCTTCTTTGACTTCATTTAAGAATCCATTTATAAAATTATTAACTTTTTTAGGCCACACTTCATACCCAAAGTGTAAAAACTAAAGCCAACTTCAAATCAATGAGAAATAAAGATTATTTACTCAATTATAATAAGGTCTATGAACAAATCAAATTTGATCTCTGCAAATTGAATATGCACCAAGATTTTCCATTAATAGAGCTATAAATAAAGTAGTTTGTTGCATGACAAATGCTTTCTTTTTTGTTTGTTTGGGTATCTGGTTTTGCTAACAACACTCAGTAAAGGAACATTTTTCTTCATATAACTTGAGAAAATTCGGAGGTGTATAAATTTGAGGCCAGTTTTTCATGAACCTTACTTACAGTTCTTTGAGTTCTTTTGGTAAGATAAATAAAACTTAGCATTTGCCCAAGATTTATAAAGGATCCTTTGGGATAAGAATTACAAGTTCATGCCAATACCACAACCTAAAATGACAATTTTTTTTTCAGCAACCACGAAGTCTTACATGTTTTTCATCTCCCCTTTAATTTTTCTTAACTACTTTGCAATAGACTCTGCCAAGCCAAGAAAAAAATCACATCGCGAAGAACTTGGTGAGTAAATGACAATCACCTCAAAGAGATATTAATGGAACTCTTTAGAACCAATAACGAACAAATTTCCTCCTGGACCTAATGCATTTTTTAAAAGAACTTGTATTCCTAGTTGTATAGTCCTATTAAGCTAGAAAAATAGAATATTTTAGTACAAATTTTCTTGTGCAAAAAAGAGTAAGAATTTTGTTATGCAATTGTTATTGTACAATTCTGGTATTCGAAACCCCAGAAAATAGCAAAGTCGTGTGAATTAGATGGATTTGACCACACTCTAGGTCAGAAGACCAAAAGACCAAAAGAGAAGATGAAGACAGCTGTGCAACCAATATCCCTTCCCTCATACTAGCAGGGCACGGATAGCTGATTCTTTGCAGCACCGTCCAGTAAATTCTCTGTTCTCCTTTCAGTCTTGGTGTTGTTGCATCCCTTATCAGTCCAGATATCACTAGGGTAATTAACCAAACACAAAGGAAATCGTGAATGTTGGAAGGATGCATGTCTATACCAAAACCAAGTGTTTCAAAGATGTGAAATGCCAAGGACAGAGTCTTTCACAAACTAGGTTAAAAGAACGACTAAAATCAGGTTTTACAAAATTCTTCTTTAGAGGAACTTTTATGCAATCCCTCTTCACATTTTAACATGGTTTAACTGATATCCGTTCATCTACATCCATGACCAGGTAGACCAGCAATCCTTTCCACATCACATAAAATGTAGTGAATGAAAACTGTCTGCTGAATAATAAGTCATCTCTAATACATTGTTTCTCAGTGTGGGATCCTGGACTACTTCTATCAATATTTTCTAGGGTGTCAGCTAGAAAGGTATATTTCAGGGTCCCTTTTCAGAACCACCAAATCTTTATCTCTGGCCATTGTTAACAAAATTTGCAAATAATTCTTTTTCATTTGAAATACTCTAAGGATTTTTTTTAAATCTCTGTTGTTGGGGGTATAGCTCAGTGGTAGAGCATTTGACTGCATAAATCTCTGTTGCTTTACCCACAGAAAATAAAATAAATTTATGTGTATGAGGTGGTACTGACCTTGTGAAAACTTCCATAAAAAATTTTCTGGATTTCAGGTCCTTCAAAAGTGACAGTTTGAAAATCCCCACTGTAGTCATAGTTGAAGTACGTGAGGGTTTTCCCACCGTCTAATCAAAGAAAAATGACAAAAATGAAATAATTATAGTAGATAAATATTTTTCTAAAATTCAACTCGACTGAAAATACTGCTTCCATTGTATTGAGGCTATATTTATAATAAAGGGATGAGTAAGTAAGGTAATGATCTAGGGTCCCTGGGTTGTCCAGGCGTCAGTTGGCCAGATTAACTGCCTTAACCACAATGTGATAATAGGGAGGCAAGGACCTCTACTTATTCTTCCTCTGTCCTTCCTTGCCTACACTTTCATCTCCCTTTTGGAGAGGATTGTTTGAATTTTGGAGTAGAGACAGACAAAAAGGGAGAAAGGAATTAATCAAATCTTACGAAATAGAAACCAGATACTTCATCTTATTAACTCTATGCCACAACTGGCTTGTCCTGGATATACAACTTAACCCATCCCAAAATAAATGATATTCAATGTCTCTTATTATGGACAAACAAACAAAACCTATTATTGAATGTTTCGTATTATGAAGAATATTTTATTTTAAAAAATAGGAATGTTCTTACTAGCTCATTTCTGGATTATAATTTAATTATTCACACTGTTTTCAAAAGGTACAAGCTAGTCAATCATTTTGAGACTTTTTTGTTGTTGTTTTCAATTCCTGGGCATATACTGATGCTCTTTTAAGCTACAACTTTCCCTTAGTTTCAATATTAATACAAAATGTTTTCACAACATTATATTTAGTTGTCGACTCATTTCCATGAGCTGAAAAGTCCTTTCATAAATATTACTTGAAAATAAGATTAAAAAACTTCCCTTATCCAAATGTTGGGCCACTTAACAGTGACCACCAAATTTTGGTTCCTAGCTTTGCTGAAATCCTAAACAAAAAAATGATTTAGAAAATTCAGTGGCATTAACCAAATACATCACTTAAGTGATGACCATATATGACATTCAAGAGCTTGAGGTTAAGAAGCTTCCTTTCAACATCCCAACCTCCAGACAACGGAGTTTTCTATTCTTCAGACTGATGCAATCTTTCTAGACTCACTCTTTAGATGACTTCACCCAGTATCATGGTTTATTTAAAACACAAACACAACTATCAAATTTATAACCCCATTCCCTGAGTTATTCATTTCTTCATTTTCCCTTTCTTTTGTAAATAAACATTTTATTAACAACAAAAAAAATTATAACCCCATTCCAGAATTCTTCCCAAAAATGCACTTGCCAATCTGACCATTCTTTTCCTCCGATATGAAATAAACATCCTACATATATCATACCCATATCCAAAAATGAATCTCTGGTTCCACCTCTTTGCTTGGCCCTCCCTCCCCCTCAACCTTGTTCTTTCCATAGTCTTTTTATTTTTAAAGATTTGTTTATTTATGCATGGGGTACAGGCCAGAGATGTGGGGGGGTGAAAGGATTCACCAGAGACAGAGTGGGGAACAGAACAGGCAGACTGACTGAAATACACAGGAGAGGTTTGCCTCATCATGTGGGTTGCTCCCTGACTGTCCAGGGATTGAACTCGTGCTACAGAGGCTGCAGACAGCTTCATAGTGAGGTGCTTAACCCCTTGCACCACCAGGGAGGCCCTTTCCATAGTCTTCATCATCTCAGTAATTGTCTCTCTCCACCTTGCTCACTATTTTATCCTAGAGCTTAGCATGACATATAGTAGAAGCACAGTATTTGTTGAAAGAATACTGTTACTGGGCTTCCCTGGTGGCACAAGTTGTTAAGCACTGTGCTATGAAGCAATCTGCAGCCTCTGCAGCACGAATTCGATCTCCACTGGCCTGGGAGCAGCCCACATGGTGCAGCAGACCTCTCCTGACTCACCTGCTGCTCCCCTCAGCAGTGTATTTTGGTCAGTCTGCCTGTTCTGTTCCCCACTCTGTCTCTGGTGAATCCTCTCACCCCCAACATCTCTGGCCTGTACCCCAGCTGTTGTATGCATAAATAAATAAATCTTAAAAAGAAGACAAATTTTTAAAAAAAGAATACTGTTATTGTTTCATAGTTCATAGTGTTTACATTTGGCTTAAGATAACTGAGTTACCCTGCAATATACACAAAACAAGCAAAGTAGAAAACAACACACATGTTCATACATGTGTGCACAAATGTGATATAAATAAGTATACTTACTATCTAGAATTACTCCAACCAAAGGGTCAGAATTTTTATTTAAAATCTCCCAAAGAGCAAATGGCTCCTCTGGGGTGTCAGGAAGAATCCGGAATAGAAAACTGATTGTGTAATCAGAGGGCAATCCTTCTGGATGCAAGTACCTGAAAATGAAAAAAAAAATGTTTTATTATATCCCTCCTCAAGTTATTTATCCAAATATTAAAGCAAATATACTTTCATTCTATAAAATTTGGAAAAATAAGGAAATAATAACAGCTCGCCATTAATCCCATCCAGAGGTGATGATCACGGTGTTGGTGTGGTCCAGGTTTTTTAAAATGTATGTAAATATTTGTCCAATTTATATAATAATTTTGCCAATCTCTTCTCTAAACACCATATACTATTTTATATTTCCTTAATTGTTTTATATTCCCTTAAATATTTTTAAAAGTGTATTTAATATCTACACAATCATCTTTTGGCTATTACATAATTTATCTAACTTCTCACTTCTGACTGAATATTTAAGTAGTTTCAAGAACTTGTATTATAAAAAATGTATATCTCTAGCCAATCCTTTTGCAAAACTAAATTGAGACATGGTTACTTTCTACCACATGTTATGGTTATTTGCATTGGTTATCCTGTACGGTTATCCTGTATGCACTGTATGCTGTGATATTATCATCTAGATCTATCTTCAAGAATTAAGAATGTGGGGGCCTCCCTGGTGGTGCAAAAGGTTAAGTCTCAGCACTATCAAGCTATCACCAGCCACTAGGGCACGAGTTGGATCCCCAGCCAGGGAGCTGACCCACATGGTGCAGCAGACCTCTCCTGTCTAGCCCGCTGCTCCCCTCAGCAGTGTATTTCAATAGATCTGTCTTTTCTGCTCCCCACTCTGTCTCTGTTGAATCCTCTCACTCCCTGCACCTCTGGCCTATACCCTAGTTATTATATGAGTAAATAAATAAAAATAAAACTTTTTTAAAAAGGAATTAAGAATGCACTACTCCTGCTGCTAGAAGAGGGTTCTGCAGGTGGCACTCAGATACCAACTCCCCTCAAAAATTGCCTCAGCTGAAGAAAGATGACAGTCCCAAAGTCATAGCATCTTTGGTATGGCATCCCTTTTCAATTATAGCTCTTTGAGGCACTATAAAGACCAAAACTTCCCATTCTAATGGAGATAGCTCCATTTTCAGAACTTCTGTGAGTGGGTCAGCTGAGTCTTTCAGTGAGATCATGTCACTGCTTGACCTCAAGAATGATTTTTCAAATACCCATTTTATTTGTTTGTTTAATCATTCATTTCCCCCCCCCAATTACGTTTATTAAGGTAAAGTTAGTTTACAACATTATTTGTGTTAAGGGTTATAGGTTCAAACATTTAAAAATGTATGCTTCCACACCCTGGCCACCACCAAAGCCCCAATAATCCTCCACCATGTTCCACTGGGTCCCCTTCCTACCTGATTCCCTCCGTATCACACTCCCCTTCTGATATGCCTCAGTTTTGCAGTCAGATGTCAAGGGTTTGTATTAGTTTGTTTTGTCTGACACTCTGTTTTGTTTCTCTATATTCCAGATATAAGTGTATCATCTGGTATCAAATTCCAGATACAAGTGTATCATCTGGTATCAAATACGCATTTTAATATTCATCACTACATAGTATGCAAAAAATCACCAAAAGTTATATCAGATGTTAGCTTTATCTAAAACCACATGTATTCTGTAGGTCAACTGTAATTACAACAATTTTCTAGAAAGTGAAGCTATACCTGTAACAACAAATATTTTAGCTTATTAAAAGAGGCCTACTTATTTCAAAAATCACAATAAAACACAATGTAATAATATGGGTACTACTGTAAGAGGCTAAAATTTAATAAACAATATTTTGGAAGAAGACAGAATAGTGACTTTCTAACACTTTTTTTATGGATAGATGAATTTAATGCTCTAACATGATCTCTTCCATTTTTTCATGTAAATGTGCACACAGCTATATAAATATGTGGACACTGAAAATGTTCCACATTAAAATACTGATGGCATTTTGAGAAAAAAACAAATGTTGATTAGGAATGCAAAGCAGAAGACAACATCTGGAGAGATGACTCCTTCAAGAGTTCCCAGCCTGTAACCTTAAGTACCACCATACACAGAATTTAGAACAATGTCCTGTATATTGTGATACTGTGTACGTGTCATCTATCACAGTATATTTCCTCAAATTTCAATATTAAATTTTCAAAATTAAAGTTCAAATAGGACCTCCATGATGGCTTGGGTATAAGTCTCACCACTACAGTCTTAGTCGATCCCTGGGCAGGCACATATGGCACAGCAGACCTCTCCTGTCTTATCCACTGCTCCCCTTAGCAGTGTATTTCAGTCAATCTGCCTGTTCTGCTCCCCACTCTGACTCTTGTGAATCCTCTCATCCCCCACACCTCTGGCCTACATCCCAGTTCTTCTACATACACGCAAAAATAGTTCAAATAGCATTATGTTGATGCTAATGTTTTCAAATGAAGAAGCACAAACATCATGGAAAATTCTGCGAAGAGTTATTACAGCATATTTCAAGTTGACATCATTTTCACATTCAGATACAATAAACAAAGGATTAACTTTAATATATAGTAATGGAAGCATACTTGGTTGGCTGGGAAACCAGGGCATCTTTATGAAGTCGGTAGCACGGATATACGTTGAAGGTTCCAGGTTCCATAGAAACCCCTTCCACTGATGAAAAATCCTTTTCAACTAAGCCAAACATTTCCATCATCTTAAATCCTGAAAAAAAAAACCAAACAAGCCAAGAATAGAGAATAGACAGGTACTTTAGGATCTTTAATTTTTAGCTAGTAAGCTAAAAGTATTTTTAAAAGAATCTGGACCCCATATGGCAGTTATTTAATGTATTTGTATTTGGAAAAACTGTAATAATGCATACCTGCCAGGTCAATGCCATCCTTGTGCACCATTGGGCAGGCTGGAAAACAAAACAAACAAAATATAAAACCCTATTTTTACCCAAATATAATTGTTCCCTGTCTCGAGAACAGGAAGCTACCATAATCTTTCCGGATGTCAATTGTGGAAAGAATCCAAGCCAGATGTGCCTATGGTTTTCTGTGGATTCCTAAAGCCTGATGTGCTCTAATTTCTCCTATTAAAACCAAAGGGCCACCACTTCCTTCTCCTCTCCCAAGTCTATTAAAATCGATAGTGATCACTTGAGAGCATGTGTTGGGACAGGACTCACTCTTAATGTATCACCCTGATGAGCACTCTTAACAGTCTTGAAAACTATTGACTACAGCTGTTTCATGCAGAGTTTCTTTTAAACACAGTTCAATATCACTAAGCAAAGTCTAGCAACCTAAATCTCTAAACTGGAGAGTTGTCTTCATAAGCTCAACACCACAAAGCTTAATGTCGGCACAACAGCTCTGCAAGTCCATATTCCTTCCTCAGACCAAGATGAGAGTCATTATTTAACCAGCATTCAATAGTTCAGCCTTTAAGCAACATGAGTAAATACAAATGCCAAAGGACTAACTTGCTGATGCGGTTTCACAGACAAAAGTAATCAGCTCATCTTCAATTTTCTTAAAGGCGTCGAAGTCATCCACAAAGAAGACATGGCGTGCGCTGGGCTTGCTGCCAATGCTGACCAACTCTGAGTAGTCTGCATCGGCCACGCCCACTGCAAAAATGCTGTAGCCTGTGGCAGAAGGAGAACAGGTTTCTGATTACTTAAATTGCACAAAATACACAGTGCAATAGAAGACATGTCCAAATGTTTAAAATACGTTTATTTAGGAGGGCAAGTAGTGGTGGATAATTCATTCTTTACAGTTCATCAAAATTCTGCATGTGCATATTTCATTATATGATAATGATCCCATCATTCCCTAAAGAAATTTTCCATTATAAAGAAACTCAAGAAGGCACCAATTAGTGGTTAAGAGAAAATAGCTGCAATTTGAGTAATATCTTTATGTCTGCATATTTTTAGAAGTATTTTAAAATTAAGGAATGAAGTGTCACTGAAACAGAGAAATATTATCCCAGTTATTGTTGTTTTTTCTAGATTTAGAAACCAAGATGTTAATATTTAGCAGCCAGAGGTGAGTCACAGGTCAATTCTTGGTAAATCAATGTTAAATTACAATCTTCTAGGCATATCTTACAAAATGGAATCATCACACCAGTCCTACGACAATCTCCATTTTACATAGGACGAGGCTGAGGAGTTTTTATGATCAGATTATTTTAATGTTTCTTTTTTATGGTATTATATTTAATTGCTAGAATTTCTTATACAAGACATCCCTTATGTAATGAAAGTATTAGAGAAAACAAAACAAAAACAATAGATTTAACAAAACTAGAGAAAACTTGGGCAGAGCAGAATATAAAAATACTTAGTTGAGGGAAAAAACATAGACTTGTAACCTGGGAAGTATTTTTTTAAATCACATTGTCGAGTTACTATTAAGAACGTTTTTAAAATATTTAAATAATGCAAAATGTAACCTTCCTTAAGACAAAAATACTAATCTAGCTACTGTTGCTTACCTATGTAAACTTACCCTCTGATTGCATCTCCCTGGAGATTTTGTTCACATCATCTTGTGACCTCCCATCCGTTATAACCACGATGACTTTTGCAACGCCTCTTCTGGTACCTGACTCTGCAGTAAACAAAGTGTCTCGCACATGTTTGATGGCTCTTCCTGAAACAAGGAAGCAAATTCAGCTCAATTTCATTCCCTTCTATTTTGTGTTGCTAGGAGGGAAGGGTAAGAACGAAGTTCTTAAATGAATGAAAAATATAAGAATATATGTAATTACTAATAATTACTTCATATCTTAACTGGGATTTTTTGGTCTTACCTGTTTTAGTATTTCCTCCTTTGTATGAAATATGTTTAATTGCATCAAGCAGAGTCTCTTTGGTTTTGTAAGCATTAAGTTTAAATTCTGTTCTGGGGTCATCAGTGAACTGAACCATTGCAACCTAGAGAAAGAGGGTGTATTTGTTTTTACATATATGCAGACTTCCTCTGGGTAGGCGAACACAGAAAATAGTATGGTACCACCCACAACTTTAATCTCTTCCTTAACCCAATCCACATTTCCTTAGTTAAAATCTCACACAATTACATAACAAATGTAATGGTTATGTTAAACAGCCTATTTCCCCTAAGTACTTTTTAGGAAGTCATTTATTTTAAAACCTCATGAAAGCACATTTTGCCATTTTATTTGGCAGAGAAAAATGGATGTGAGGTCTTGTAACTTGATAAAGGCCAGAGGCTCAGAGTTAGATTCTTCGCAAGGATTTCTTTAGAAAGCAACCCTAGGAAGAAACTACCACTAGTCTACCATTTTACAGATGAAACTGAGGCACACAAAATCAAGCAAATTGCCCAAGATCACAAGAGCGGTCACTGGGGAACCAACAGGTGAAGCCAGGTAAACGCTACTTCAAAATCTGTCTTCCTAACTACTGCAATATAACCTTGGCTCTTATTCCTGGTGATTTGGGTCCATTTAAATGTATTGGTTCTTGGGTCTCCCTGGTAGCGTAAGGGGTTAAGATGCAACCTATGAAGCTCTCCACAACCACTGCAGCATGAATTCGATCCCTTTTGATCCCCTGCCCTCCAGGGAGCAACCCACATGGTGCAGCAGACCTCTCCTGTCTCGACCGCTGCTCCCCTCAGCATGTACTTCAGTCAATCTGCCTGTTCTGTTCCACGCTGTCTCTGGTGAATCTTCTCACCCTCCACATTTTTGGCCTGTACCCCAGTTATTGTATACATAAATAAATAAATCTTTAAAAAAATAAAATAAATAAATATATTGGTTCTTGTTTGTTTGGCAGCACTGTGATGGTGTGTGGGGGGGGGTGAAGACAGCATCTTCAGAGCGCTGTCTTTGATTCCATGATTCTGAATTCCTGCCAACTTATCCTGATCTACTGCAGATGTCACTATGCTTAGGAAACCTCTTCTGATTCCTCTATTCAAGACAAATTCCTCCCTCAGTTTCACATCTATTTGTGTCTTATGATACCTCTTCCATTCAAATGCACTCAGTCACTTTTTCAAAGTAAACATTTTAATGTCTTTAAAACACACACACACACTTTTAATGTCTTTGAGGGTAGGGAAAATATTGGGACTATCCTTAAGGGAGATACTCTATCCCATCATGTAAAAGAAACATCCACTAACAGGGTCATTCTAACCTTATTTTGCTGAGCTCAATAGCTTTTAAGGATTAGTCTTTTCTCAAGCTGTAGCAACCACCAGTAAGCCACATTGTCCATTCTCTCATTTAGGGTTGGGTCCAATCATTACGGTTCTTTGCCAATATCCTCTGATTCATAACCATAATAATAGCTTGAGATAATCTTTTAATGTGTAGAATGAATTAATTATTGATCAATTAGCCTTACTTGAGTTCCATCTGCACCAATCTTGTCCAGTGCTCCAACAGTGCTATACAGAAAGTTAATGATCTTATTGAAATTGTCATCTCCAATACTCCAGGATCCATCCACCATAAATACCAGATCTGCCTTGGCTGCTCTACATACTGAAGATTAAGAATAAATTTTGAATCAGTGATAATGTGAAAACATATTATTAAATCAACAAAGCAGAGGATAGTTTTTCTGTTAATTAGAGCTCTGCCCCATAATGAAGATGCTCATCTTTTAAGATTCATATTCCAAGCTCAAGTTCATTATACTTTCTGACCATCTTGTTTCTCCTATACCCAAGGCTCCTAGTGACTATGAAGCTTCTATCAAACATGTAGAATTAGAGAAGAAAAAATTCACCGACCTCAGTCCCAAAGACTAGAAATGAAAGAACACAAAAATGTAGAACTAAAACCATTTAGAGGTTAATCCCTAGTGTCTACAGACCAGGAGGAAAGTATCACTTACTTTCTTTTCAAAGTATCACTCGGTGTACCCTGTGCTGTGCTTACTGGTTTAGAAGTTAACTTCAGAGAGATTCAATGCATTCAGACATACGTAACACAGTGGAAACAGATTAATCCTCAATTTGAAATGTGCTTAAACTAAGAGCATAAACAAACTTTAATTCTACCCTTGCTCAAAAATTCTGCCACCCATTGATATGTGTCAAGAAATGTACACTAATGCTAGCCCAGAGAAACTATTATCAGTTTGTATTACTACACACCAACAGTAAGAGACGAGCAAAAACAAACCAAAAACCAAAACCAAAACAAAACAAAACAAAAAAACCCTATTCCAATGAAAGCATTTTTAATAGTCCTTTTTTTTTGGTATCAAGACCTGTTTCAGATTATCTATGCATCACTTCCCCTTCATTAGTGTAGATCATTGTGGTTGAGGGTTTTATGATACATCAAACAATTTATTTTTTAGTAAAGCTGGGTCTTTTAATCATAGGCCAGTTGCACAACTATGAGATAATGTGCCTTTCTTTAAAAAAAAAAAAAAAAAAAAAAAGCTCATTTGATTTGTATTTTAATAGTGCAACTTAATTCCCTTAATGCTAATGTAAAATAAACCATCTCCAAATGAGATATTACTCCAGGGACAATAAGGATTGGTGAGGTTATTCTAATGAGTCTCAGGATTTATGAAGTTTTATAAATTTATGGTTTGAATTTAGGCTAATTATAAGCTTATAAAAGAAAACTTGGTTTTCTGTTTCTAAAGACAGATGAAATCAAAATTGTGAATGATCTTTGAAATGAGAGCAAAATCTATTTGAAACTATACTCAAGATGAAAATTTTACATTAATCCAAAAATATATTTCAAAACACATGAAGGATTTATCTCTGGGATAAGAAATTGTGTTTTTAATTTTCTGTCTACTTTTTTATTTTTAACTTTTGTTCAGTAAATATTCAGCATCACTTTAATGATAAAAATTTATAGTTATTCTAGTTAAATACAATCAGGACAAATAGAGTCTAAAACAAACACGGTTTTCAGGCTGCAAAATCCCCACCATATAAAATCACCCTGACAAAAATTAAGACTAATGTTTCTATCCTTAACCCCACAGACATTTCCAAACTACCTAAGTCTTCCATAAGCACATGTGTGAATGTCTCCTGAATAATATCCATACTCGACTGTAAACAAAAATATTCTGACCTTGAAGAGTTCTGAATTATCTGCATCAGAAAAGTCTTATTATCAAATTCATCCAACTAGAATGTTGTTTTACATTCCAGTAGTGAGACTCATTATATTTATTGAGACTACAGAAAGCCATACATGAAGATGGTAGAAGAGAGCTGGCATTCCACAAAGTAAATAGCATGGAAAGGTTCAGGGTAGCATAAGAATAATGTAAGGGGATGCTGAGATGTACAAATCTGTTGTCACTGAACACAGGTAAAAGATGCCATGAAGTAGGTTGATGATTAACGACTTTGCATGAATGCTGGGAGGAATATTGAATTTTGCTAGAGTTTCTCACTGTCTCTTTCCTTGACCATATCACTGCCCAGAATCTGATCTTTAAAATGACTGTAAGCTCCTGTAAACAGGAACAGCTTATTTTTATTGCATCCCTGCTAAGTAAGAAGCACTTTAAAGTGCGTGATGAATTGAACTCTTTTGATACAAATGTGAATTCTACCTCTCTCCTGTCCTTACTCTGGTTCATGATCCCCATCCACCAAAGTTAACTTTCTCCCTCATACAAACATCTCATTACAGGTTTTTTTCTGATAGGATAAAGCCCAAGCTCCTTATTCTTATTCAGACAAACCACTTCATTACTGTCTTCTCACTCTTTTCAAAATGTTGATTAAATTCATTAATCTCTTTCATGAACAATTAACCTGCAACAGCATTAACTGTTCTTATTTCTGGACTACGATAGTATAATCTCCATTTTCTTACATATTCTTTAGTGGTAACTAACCCAGCAAACACCCGTTCTCTAGCAGAACTGAGAATTAGCATAAAGTTCCAATCATTTATTATTATTGAATTCTTAGTGGCTGGCATAAGAATTTTGAGAATGAATAACAGGGTTAATAAATGTTCATTAAGTGAATAAAAAAATTAATGACCATACTGTGCTGGGATGATGTTTTAGAAAATTACCTTAACAGTCAAGTAAGATATAATAAGGGATTTTCATGGTGACAAGAAAAAAGATGTAAACTGGGAAATTATTAACCTTGCCTATAAAATCATGAACTAGATTCACATTCACCAATTATGTAACTGTTCTTTCTTGATGAGTGCTTACTACTCTGAAACCTTTGATAAAATAAGTACAATGCAGTTCTGTTAGAAAATCTACTTTCTCTATATATTCTATTATTAACTGGGTATTTATAAGGATTTATAGGGCTTGATAAGCATTCATGCTATAGAGAATACTAGGTAGCACAATAAATACCTTTTATTAATACTTTGATTTTCAAATGAACAACAAAACCAACAAAAAATCCTAAACCTAAAATCACAGCATTATTGTATTATTCTGTTACCTTCCTTTGCTGGTGGAATGGTTGGAGGAAAAGTAGGTGGTTGAGTAGGAAGTGCTTCTGTGAAGAAGAGGAAGAAAGAATATCTATTAGTCATTTTATCTATGGCAAAGAGGGTATGGTCAAGCATGCAAGTGAGTGATTTTTAAAAATTTATTTATTTATATATATTTTACATCATTGTTCATTGTTAAACAGCATTTGCTTTCTTTTTCAGGTGTAGCCCCATCAGAATTTCCACCACCAATTCACCCGTGCACCATCAATATAGTCCCTTGTGCTCCTCGCTCCCTCCTTCCGATCCCTGTCCTTCCCCCTACCCTGCAGGATGTCTCTGGTTTATAATTGTCTGTTTGTTATTGTTTTGTTTTCTTGTTTGTATTGTTATTTTTCCCCTGATGCCTCATTTTGTTCCCCTATATTCTTCCCATATGTGAAACCATTGATTTTTTTTTTTTCCTGCTGAGCAAGTCAGTAATTTTAACAATTGTCTTGTTTGAGACTTTAGTGAATTGAGTGACTACTATAAATCAGCCACCACCTTGAAAACTGGCTCCATCCACCCCTCACCTCAGACTGAAGACTTGAAATGTAATGTTGCCACCATTCGGTTTACACAGCAGGAATCAACACACACTGTCAACTACAAAGTGGTTCTAGGGCTGATTTAAGGCAGGAACTCTGCCAACCTATTTCTGATCAGTCTCCAGCTGCTTTCACATATATAATAAACTTCATTTCCATTCTGCCTTACTAAGGAGAGACCATCAATCCTTGTTCAGTAGCTATGGCCCACCCCCAGCCTGCATTCCCAGGTGTGTTCCCCAGTGGACTCTGATTCACTCCCTCTTCGGCTCAGACTGTATTGAGAAAAAATTTGGTTCTGAAGACCAAACAGCAGGACTTTAGGAAGTTTCAATGTATCAGCTCAGTTCAACCTGAAAGATGAAGGGTAAGAAGTCTACCTTAGAAGCAAAAGTGAGGTTTGGTTAAAGGACCCGGGAATAGTTCCATCAGCAAGGCGAAGATCCTATCAATTGTCATTGCAAAGCAATAGGAAATTATGGCTTCATTAAACATCCTAAGTATTATTTTCTTAAATTCTTTTTTTAAAGATTTATTTATGCATATAAGAGCTGGGGTACAGGCCAGAGGTGTGGGGGGTGAGAGGATTCACCAGAGACTGAGTGGGGAACAGAACAGGCAGACTGACTGAAATACACTGCTGAGGGGAGCAGCGGGCGAGCCAGGAGAAGTCTGCCTTGCCATGTGGTTTGCTCTCTGGCTGGCCGGGGATCAAACTCGTGCTGCAGAGGCTGCGGATTGCTTCACAGCGTGAAGTTAACAGTTATGGGGTTAAGGTTAGGGGAAGTTGAATTAGACCAGGGGTCCCAAATGCAAATGTTTTCCAACGCCAGGCAGGTAATGAGTGTGAGCAAATACCTTAACCTGAACCTAGAGGAGCAGCAACCTGAGAGCCCATGTGCTGTGTATAAGACACATCAGTTCCCTGGTTACAGCAGACAGACTGTGTGCCAGTGCTGTCAGATGATTTGAATTTTCAAATGACACAATAAAACTTAAAAGGTATGGCTAAGAAAACATGTCTTATGGTGAGATCCCTTGACAACCAGTTGGTAATAACAGTAATGATGACAACAAGGATGTGTTGAATAATATACAGGTGGAAAAGCTTTTCAACAGCTTCTCTTATTGGATCATCACTACCGCCCACAGAGGAAAGGGAGTAGGCTTGAATTTTACTAGTGAGCAAAAAAGTAGCTCATAAGTGAATAACTTCTGTTATAACTCAAGATAACTATGTTTGGAAAGGCCTCAACTGAGTCTGTTTGACTCTAAATCTTGCTCAGTAGAAAACCTCTAATAACCTATAATGATACTCTCCTCTATTCACAAAACAGAATACTAATCACCAATATGCAAAACTCCAGATACATTCTACAACATGAATTAACCTCAGAAACATAAGCTAAGTGATAGATACCAGATGCAAAAGACTACCGGTTCCTTATTTCCACTCATATGAAATGTTCAGAAAAGGCACATGTAAGAAAAGAAAGATTTGGCAGGGCTGGGTGTTGGTAAGAGGATTGGACTGTGACTGAGCATTAAAGATCTCTTTGAGTTGATGAAATATTTAAAATTGGATTGCAGTGATGACTACACAGTTCTTTAAATGGGTGAACTTTAGTTGTGTGAACACATGTGTGATACAGTGTTAAATATTCCAGTTTTATGAAGTAAAGTCTGCATTTCAGAAAAGAATAGATTATTCGATTTATTGTTCTTTCATTTTCTGTTTCTGTAGGTCACACGTTGGTGATTTCTTCCTGGAAGCGCCAGATGACCTGAGAGACCTAAGCACCAACACTTTCTAAATGTCAGATTCAGGAGAGAGGGTCTACCCAGAAAGTCCAGTGCCCACCACCGATTCCAGAGATTTCAAATTTAAGTTCAAAACACCATGTAAGTATACTAATGACCCCCAAATTTACTATAGTTCAAGTCATTTTAAAGTTCATGGCCTTTAGGTCAGGAATCCTTGATTAAAAGCCATTCTAAGATGTTAACACCCTCTTTGCTCCTTAGAACATGTAAAAAGTCCTTTGTTTTAATTTTACACTTTGCCTTTCCTTTCAATGCATCAGATCAGCAGCCAACTTGGAAAAAGAGCAAGAGTGTCTTAAGCAGGCAATAACTCTGAGGTCAACCAGTTGAAACATCTTGGCCCCATGCCCACCCTAATGGCCATGCTTATATGCCATTGTTTTAATGTCAGGACCCAGTCCTTATACTTCATTTCACACTCCACATACCACAAATGTTCCTTATGACCATAGATCACAATATAGGTCATTGTTCCAAACACTCTGTCATCCTGTGGCCTTACAGTCCCTTGTGAAACATATGGGGAATGGGAAAAAAATGTGCAGATGACATCAGTAGATCCAATGCAATGAATTCTGGGACTGGATAAGAAGAGCAAAACTTGTATTACATTAATTCCCGTGCATTCATAGACAGTATTTTTCTAAATGGAATAAGGTCTTTGAACCCAAGATGAATGCCTATAATATTTTTGCTCATGTAGATAGGAATCAGGAGAGAACACAGTTGACTCACGTGTTTTTTCCATGATGCTCACACTGGGTCCCTCAATCTCTTGGAGCTTTGTATAAACACTGATTTTGTATTCTGAATCAGGCTGAAGTCCATAGAAGCAATGACTGTTTGAGCCTCCCCCCAAAGTGGATTCTTGCTTTTGGGTATCTATAATGCAAACACAACAAAACATGCACATATGAAAATTTACAAACAGTAGACAATTTGCTTCTAAAACACTTAATACTCTTTGCCGAATCAGATAACTCCAGAATGTTTGAGATAGTCTATCATTTTTCTGAAGAACTAACATATCCACTGATTTTTTTTTATAATTGAAAACCACATTTTATATATTCAAAAATGAGATTCACTAATAAAAGACTTCTGAGGTTAACCCTCTAATGAATGATGAATTATGAATGTACATAATTATATGTACACATCTTAATTGATCTCTTGGGCAGGTGTGGAGGTGAGCACATTTTTATCTTATTTTATTTTCCAGAATTTAACTGGCATTATTAGAAATACTAATTTTACTAACTGCATTTAATATTTTGTGAATCAATCTTGTCTTTTGCCAATTTACTTATTTATTTTAATTGAGCTAACATTGCTTTACAAAAGTGCATATGATTCAGAGGTGTAGGGTCACACCTCCTTATGTTAGGGGGAAATGATGTCCTGAGCTAATCCCATGCAGGCTTTGTGGACCCCACCCCCACTCCAGACCAAAGCCATCAAGACATTGGGAAAGACAAATCCCGTCACCACCAAAGGGAGGGTGGCTGGGACCTGAGGGTGGAGTTAAGCAGCCAGGTTTGGTATAAAAACCAAACACGTGGGCCTTGGGGGGCTCACTCTCTTGCTCTCTCACTCTCTTGCTCGCCTCCTGGCTTCACGGCTCCTGGCTTGCAGCCAGCTCTCAGAGTGCTATTTGGGATTCCAGATCCGCGGATCGAGTAGGATGCATTTCAAACTTTGTCTCCCACTTTTCTCCCTGAGCTGTACATTTCCTCATTACCCCTTCCCTTGTGAATAAACCTTTTATTAACCTTTCGCGTGTGCCTGCAGTAGAGCATTGATAAGTCCTTTTAAGCGTGCAGGTGAGGACCCACAGTCAGGGAACCCGTTTTGTATTGGGGCTGCCCTGTAACACTTAGATGCATGTCTTCCCAACGCTCCCACCACCAAGGCAGCCACAGTCCTTCACCATAGTCCATTGTGCCCCCTTTTCTCCTCATTTCCACATCCCAAATCCAAATTGCTTTGCCATCCTGGGAGAATTAGAGTTGTTCCTTAGGTAGAGTCTGTGGAAGTTGAATTAATTATATTCATCATTTCCTGAGGACTTACTAAGTGCCAGATTCTGTGCTTGGTATTTAATGTAAACAATAACAAAGAATAATAGCCAACAGGGGACAAGCACTTTATAGTATTTATGATATTTCACCCTTACAATGTTTATAATTACACTAAGTCTGAAGACAAGAAACTGAGACCAGAAAAGGAAGTAAATTACCCAATAAGCAGTAGAATTGAAATTTAAATTCAGAGCTCAGAGTCTCAGAGAATGTTGCTTTAATTTCTATTAATGTACCATGAAACATGTAAGTTAATCATATGGGTATTCTAATGAAACAGTTTGGGAGCTGCTGAGCATCTAGGAAATAAGTGCCTTTCTGGACAAAATGGATGGATCTTGAGATGATATTCAGTGAAATAAGTCAGAAAGTGACAGACTGTTAGCTGAGATTCTCATTCATTTGCAGAATATAAATAACCAAAGAAAACAAACTGTCAAAACAATACGTCTTAGACTCTATGAAAAATTTATTAATTTCCAGATGAGGTGATTCCTAAAGGGTCTGGGGGAGGGAAGGCAACTGGCAGGGGTGGCTCTGGAGAGCTGGTCAAGGGGAAGGGAAACAAGTGCACATGTGGAGGTGTGACATTGCTCTCCTCAAAAATATACAGATGTGTAAACTAGTGGCAAATCAATAAGACTTGAAAAAAAATTAGCAAGTCTCAGATGAGAGGCTCCTTATGACTCAGTACTTCCCACACCATCAGACACAGCTGCCTATGTAGGTGACTTTGATGACTAAGGAGATTCACATAGATTTCTCACAGGCGCAAAGTGTTGATTTTTTTACCACATGGGCAATTGATTAAATGGAAAATCACTGCAATAACAAAAGAACAATAATGCAAATCTCCCCTTCCAGATTGATCTTCACCTGATCCATTTTGTATCCTCCTAGTCAATGCCTTATGTAGCTCTGTTTATAGGAATTTAGAAACCAGTGTTACAAAATTGTATTACTTAAATACACTACACTTATCATTTCATGGTTAGTGTTTGTGCAGAGGAGCTTATTAAGACAAAATATGGAAAATATATAAACAGACCAGATGTTTTTTAATGTACAAAATGCAGAAACATTATGATTTTTGCCTATTTTAAAATTAGATCTATTGAATTTCAATCTGTATTTTAATATATATTCAAACTGTATTTGTATACTATAGTATAAATGTATCAGAATAAACATGATATATATTTGAAATTTTGTTTATTGACAAATAATGATTTTTAAAAATATAATTAGTCATTGGTTAAATGGAATTTACATTCATTTTTATATTTGTGAATACTGAAGTGTTCCTAAAGTGAACTTTACCATAAAAACTTTAGAATATATTTGTGGAGAATGAATTAAAGTCTACTTGAATAGTTTATCATCTACTAAGCAATAAAACATTGGTAAACTGTATGCTTTGTGTTCCTGATATTCATGTTCAGTCTGTAGTTCCCAGTTTCAGAACCCCACAATAGCTGCCTCTTTCTGACCCTTAACCACCCTGTGGAGCCTCAAGCAAGCTTCTGTCACCACCTGCAAAACAGACATTTCTTAAATCCAATAATGGTTCCTAGTTTTCTCTCTCCAAAAAAGCTTCCAGAAACTCTCCAGGAATCAATTCTAGAGATGTGCTTTTCTGTCAACTAGTTTATTTTTCATGGCCCCCATGCACTTCACAGACCCTTGACAATAGAATATAAGTGGGATTTACTGCTGAAACAGTAGTTTTAAAATCTAGAAACCATTGGAAAATTGGAGCTGGCCCTTCAAAATAAATGGAAACCATATCAGTTGATTCCCAATACTAACAAGAACTGGTTGCATGAATGGGGGGGGGGTGGATATAATTCATGTTGCTTTTGGCATGGCTGATTCAGGTTTAATGACTTTGCCTTACAGGAAAACATTTGAACTGATCAAATCATGACTAATATCGTCAAGCCCTTGTGCCAAAAGCAGGGAGTTAATTTATTTTTTGGAACAGGGGGAAAAACTGTCTTATTTATGCATTCATTCAGCAGTTACCGAGATCCACAAGCAAAGACTATCTGCTATCCAAATGTTTTATTGGAATTTCATGATATAAATTGATCCACTCCCTAGGTCTCTCAACTACACTGACCTCCAATCATAGTATCACTCCTTCAAAAATTATAGACTTGAGAATAGGTTTTGTTTCATATGATCTTTTTTTGGGGGGGGTAGGGGGGTGATGGTGGTGGATTTGGTCTTTTATAAGGTAGTCCCTGCAATTTCTACCCTTGTTAAGGGATGATATTGCAAAGTTGACATTTCAGCACTTAAAGATAGAAGACAAGGTATCCATTCTTTGGAATCTTCTTAAGACAGGAAAGAAAGAAATTCACCAAGTTATGGGGGCTAGAGAGGAAATACAGTATTTTGACCCATGTATTTGTATATGTAAATACATGAACTTGAAGGGAAACACCATATTTAACTTCAGGTGCCAAGTCAACTCAAAAACAGCTGGAGAGAGAAACAGAACTCTGGACCATCCACAGAACTAATAGAAGTTCCCATGAGGTTCTGAGTTGCCCAACACCAACCAGAAGGCTCTGTCTTTGGTCTTTCCACAATTACCCAAAAGCCTACAATTTAATCTGGCAAGTGGATCACTGTTTCAAAAGCAGATTTTATTTCAGTCTATCCTGAGAGGAACTTAACCCTCTGGTAATGTTTTTTTTTAATTTCTTCTTGACTATAAAAAATGCCATAATATTTACATGGTAGAGGACATCTGTTGTTTTTGCCTGGCTTGCATTTAACTCATCTTTCTTTGACTATGTTCCTCCTCACACTTGGTCCTTATATTTGGGAAGGACTGAATAATAACCCCCTCCAGATAGTAGGGAGGGAGGTAACTTGATCCAACCAGTCTGTTTATTTCATGCTCTTGAACTCAATGATAGATTTAGAAGCATGTGGCCCAAACCAGGTTGATATGACTCAGTATCTGTGCTTTTGTTGAAATTACTGAAACACAGAAAGTTCTTTTTTTTTTTTAATTAATATGGTTAAGCCGTAATCTGGAAAAAATGTAATTCTGGATCTGACAGGGCCAATCCACAGAATCTTACAGAACAAAGGCAGAGAAGAGCAGATAAGAAGAACAGTGCAAGACTTTATCTCAATAACATTGTTTGAACATCTGGATTTATATGGGTCTGAAGCCAGATAATTTTGTACTTTTCAATCTATTACCCAATACATTGGCATTCTTGCTTAAGTCCCTTTTTATATCATTTACAAAGAAACTTGCATTATACAGTTTATCCACAAAAACCTTGGAAATTTGTAGGTATTACCTCAGATGAAGCCTTGAAAGAAGTCATTTAGAATCCTTTCTCAGCTTCAGTGAAACCCAGAGAAGAAAGTTGACAGTAGTTGTTGTTAGAGTTCAAGCCTCTCCACTGACTTCATCTGAGACACCTCCCCTCTCCTGCCCATGGGGAATATATTTTTTAAAACTGGGAAAAACTTACCTGTCAAACAGTAGGACTTTGGCTAAGGTATTAAGAAACTGGCCACCCTGGAATAATGCATTTCTCCATCACATGGAACATTGGGTCCAGTTTGTCTCCAGCATCCCACCCCCCATGGAAGCAAGGACTGAATTTTCTGTGGAGGCAGTGTGAAGTGCCAACAGGAGAGATTAGAGTATAAACAGTGGTTACTGGGACTCATCTGCCCATGGAAAAGCGAGCCTCTCAGCAAAGTACTTCAAAGGCAGTGATGACATTTCTCTGTAGGCTAAGGAAATTCAACCTAATCTCCCCAACTCCAAAGTGGAAAGACTAAACTCTAAGTTAAACTAAGTTGAAATATTTCTACATCTCCCCTACTGCTAGTCCTACATTCTCTCCCTATCCCTAACACTTCTTTTCAAAGCTGTCCATTAGAATCTGCTGCTATCCAGGAGCCACAAAAACTATGGTTATATCCATTCATTGATGAGAAAACAAGATTTGGGAAGGTTAAATAATTGGCCTAACCAGTCATCTGACTCCATATCCTGCATGATTCAACCACAGTGCTGCCTCCTCAAGAAGATGGCTCTTGTATCATGTTAATGTGTTTGTCAACAGTAATTTGCACAGAGCTCAATGCAGGAGTGCTTGGCAAAGACACACAGACAAGTTGCACTTACCCTGGAGGGATTCAATAACTACTCTGTAAGCAGTGGCATGACGCTGCACCTGCCACTGAGCACACAAGCTGTTCATCTGAATCTGGTCTGCTTGAAGATTGGTCACACCCAAAAACACTGTAAAAAAAGAGAAACATAACTATCCCATATTGTAGGCAGTGACACAAATGTTCCCAAGTCTGAGCTTTAAGATGCACAATTCTAACTCAAAGTTTCATATAGAAAGATGGGAACTCCATCAACCCACAATTAACTAGTGCACAAAAGAATTATTCTATGACTTCAAAAAGTACTTGCATCACAGCACATATCATACATTTATTTATTTGCCATTGTGAAAGGTTTCATTTTGTTTGGGAGGAGAGAGAACAAATAAACACACTTAATTGTTTACTTTAAAGACAAGAACATAAAACAATTTAAATACTCTCAGTCTTTTAAACTATATTTGGAATATTCAACTTATTTATTAAAGATGAGAAGAGGGATGGAACAGAAGATGGAAGGAGCAGAGGAAAGAAGCTAGAGGCAAAGAGTAAGAAGAAAAGAGACCAATAAAACAATCACAGAGACAGAAAACAATGGCACAGACAGGGCAATCTAGAGAAGACTATGAAGATGAAACAAAGGAAAGAGGCCATAGAAGGTGGGGAAAAGCACAAGGGTCCTGTGGTGTTCCCAAGGAAGGGCTGGGGGTCACTGTTGTAGAGGCACAACAGGCAATCAACTTGAAGCTATGGTAGAGTCCAGAACAAGGATCTTCACAACAGCCAGGAGGGTTGCAATAAGCACACAGCCCAGCTATTTTCATTTATGTATCACATTGGCATTATCTTGAATAGGTATTAAAAATATTGATTTTCTGTTTAGAGTAATTCTATGGATTTTGAGAAGTATTTAAGTAAATATTTAAAAAACTCTGTAAGTCGACTTAAATCTGCTACGCAGGTGGTGGGAAGTTAAAGCAAATGTCAGCAATATGGAAAACACGTGCTGGAGTGTGGAAAACATTGCATCGTGCCTGGGTGTTTGGGAGTGGTAAATGCCCAGGGAAAGTCCCAGATGGTGTGCCAGGGCATGAAGACCCTGAAAAGGTAGTGAAGTGAGTCTTTGGCGTGGTTCAAGCATCTATTATGGATGGCGTGTGTTCATGTATGTGTGCATATAAGAGTGTGTGTGTGTGTGTGTGTGTGTGTGTGTGTATAAGACATAGGGCTAAGGCTTTGAGAAAAGGAAGATTTCCCCACCAGCCCACTCTGACTTTGTTGGCCATGTCAGGCTACAGGCTGCTTGGAAAGTTTCATCTAATTTGTAAAATGCCAACAAAGGCTTTCCAGGAAAAAATCCCATATGCTACCACCAGGTCCATTTGAATGTGTGGTGCTGACCTGCCACCTGCCAACCAGGACTCTGAAAGACAGCCCCAAATGAGGAGCATACCTTTCTTTCCATGGAACATTACTCAGAAAGGGAAATGCAGAGGGAAAAAAAATCCCAACAGCCAAATTCAAGCATGGATTGAGTTACAGTGAGAACACGACAGCAGAATCACACACAGGACATCAATCTTACTTGTTCTCACCACTCCTGTCAGAGCATCACTGAAGCCTGAGGCCTGGGAGGCAAATATTTTCACATTGTAGTCCATCCCGCTGAGGAGGTTGGTGATAAGAATGGTGTTAATGTCCGCTCCCACAAAAGTTTCCAGAGTCTGGCCAGACACTGTAGGAGAAAGAGTATATTTCAATTACAAATGAATATGGGAAATCTGAAGCCAATTGTACTTATTATACAGAGGGCAAATGGCAGGGCTGGGGTTTGAACTTAAGTCTCTTCAGGCTCCAACACCTGCATACCTGACCACCAAGGTTATTTTAGGTGTCAGTCCTCTCCTCAGATATAGTTTTTCCTCTGGTGCTTACTCACAGAAGCTGGTTCAGTTCATAATCCACCATCCACCATATTGTGAGGCTTTCACAAACAGACACTATGTGGCCAAAGGCTATCCAGCACTTGCCAAATTGAAGAAGTCCTCTCAATTGACCTTTCTGAGACACCCATTTTGTCCCCAGCAGGCATGTAAATTGCAGCAAATTCTATCTATGCTGTAACTTATCACATGTGGGAGCCAACACTTATGCTACCATGGCAAGTTCTCTGATATTTTTTATTAAATTTTTAAATTTTCTTATATCATTGTTCATTTTTGTACAATATTTATTTTCTCCCTGCAGGTGTAGGTCCTTGTAAATCTCCCACCGCCACATCAGAGGACACTCTTATCCCAAGATCCTTGACTAGCTGGCTTCTTCAAGTCTTTACATTTTCTCCTTGTATCAAGGAGTTTTTGAGTTAGCATCATTAAAAACATTCCTTGCTAATTTATCCAAATTTATTTACCTCCTGCCTTTTCCTAGATGTGCTCATTCCTTAAGAACTTTGAATCAGCAACAACTTCCTAAATACTAACTAATTTACCTCAGAACTCTCTTTCCAACAATATATTTAAAAATTTATATATTTTTATATGTGTTTTCGCAGTAGCACATTCCCACCCCCAGGCTCTCAATGCAAATAATCATATACAGTTCTCCAACTTGACCTAGGACAGGATTTCTTAACCTTGCATTGTTGACATTTAAACAGGAAAATTTTTGATTCTGGAGCACTGGGATGGGGGAGGGGAGTGGACTATAAATTGTAGGATACTTAACTGTCCCCAGTAGATGCCAAAAGCCAGTTGAGACAATCTAAAATACTTCTGTTGAGCAGCAAAATTGTACTAATTGAGAAATCACTGACATAAAACAAAGCTATTTTCCCCTGGAAATTTTTGATAAATATAAAATGGGCCAAAGAACAAATTTGGAAAGACTGTCTTGCAAATTAACACAGGCCTTAGAATTAAGCAAGGAGACCCCATAAAAGGTGATGGGTCCCAAGAAATCAGTCTGGAGTAGATTAGTGTATTCTAATGCATCCATCGTCTAGTCTTGCTATTTCGCGCTCATGCTTCTCAGAGATGAAACATGGAGGTGGGAATATTTGTGGGAGTACTATGGACCTGGAAACAACAGTCAACAGATAATGGAACACAGTAGAAAAGACTGAAAAGTGATATAAAGATTTTTGTAACATCTTAGATAACAGGGTGAGACTAACATTTTCGAGGGCAGATAGTTTTTTAATAGTCTTATAGTGCCCATGTTAACCTCCTGCCTAATCTTCACAGAAGGGCAAAGTGTCGAGAAATGATACTACCACGGGGGCTGATGCACACGGCTCCTCTCCACTGGCCTACAAACCAAGGGCGCAATTGCCCCTATTGGCATGAGTCTCTTGCCTTCGGGGTATAATTATGTGGAGGTAGGAGGGAGGGGGTCTCCTGATCAAGGTGGCTAAAAAGTTAATAGAAAATCCTTTCATGATCATAATCTTAGGACTTTGATGAATTTTATACTCAACAGAGTTTCTAAAATGATGGGACAGAGAAGTTGGTAAAGGAAATTTTCCCTTTCATCCAATTGATAAGAGATTAGTAAGAGGTAGAAGAATTACAAAACAGAGATTTTGAATAGTTAGACTATTATATATCTCTACAGAGTCATTGAGTCATAGGTGCCTCCTACTCCTGTAGAGTCAAGACTGTTCCTTAGGCAGTTATTTGCCTGGGTGAGTGAATATTCTGTTTATTAATGTGCCCCCTTGTTTTTTTGCAGGGGTCTTAATTTTATGATTTTGATCAAATCTATCCTCACACTGACCATACTAATAAAGCTTTTCAAAACAGGTCAGAAGCCCTTCCCACCTTTTCAAACCAAAGAAAGTCGAAACAAAAACTAATTTATCTTAAAAGACACTTTAGATCCTAGTCATGGCCACATATTTTTAAAAAGGATTCCTTACCACTGACAGGTTTGTAGACGATCCTGTAGCCCTTCGCAGGGGAGGGTGGGGGATCCCAAGTAATGCGCAGCCTGTTGTACCATTCTTCTGAGACCCGTAAGTTTTGGGGACCAGATGGTGGCACTGAGTTGGAGGGAAGGAAAAACAGAGGCTTAGTGTGATATCTACGTTTATGACCAACACTAACAAAATCTAAGATATCTTTCTATAATGTTAAAAATTTTTAACAAATGTGCTAAAACAAAAAACAAGACTTTGAGAATCTTTGGTTGTCTTAAACGTTAAATATATAGTAAATAATTGTTTTGTGGTGACTTTTTTTGTTCATTCATTGTTTTTGTTTTTTTTTTTTTTGGTTCCTTTTTCTTTGGTTAATTTTAAGTAAAACTAAACTGAATAGTATTTATTAAAATTTTCTGTCCAGATGACACTGGGTCCCACTATCAAAGTGTGTGTGTACATCAATGTCAAGGGCCATGATCACAGTATTGATGAAGGTGACTCTCACAGGGAAGACTCTCATCAGTTATTTGGTTCTCATCTTCATACCACCTACATTATTTAGAATTTTATATTATTATTTGCCCATTTTTTCTTTTTCTTTTTTTAAAAATTTATTTTTATTTATTTATGCATATAACATCTGGGGTGTAGGCCAGAGGCGCAGGGCGGATGGTGAGAGGACTCATCAGAGTCAGAGTAGGGAACAGAACAGGTGGAACTAAACTGAAATACACTGCTGAGGGGAGTAGTGGGTGAGACAGGAGAGGTCTGCTGCGCCATGTGGGGTTAGCTCCCTGGTGGGTGATCGAACTCATGCCACAGTGGCTGGCGATAGCTTGATAGCACTGAGACTTCAACCCCTGTGCCACCAGGGAGGCCCCTCATTTGTTAATTTTTTCAAAGAATCACAGCCATGTATTTGGAAGATCTTTGTAAACTATTATGCACATTGATGGATATTATTACCAATCTCATTTTGTTCTTAATAGAATGTAGTTGTGTTGACCACTGCTTAAAACAAGTAGACCATCCATTAACACTTTGAAATAAGTTTACTATGTAGATGTTGTTACATGTAATGAATGGTATGTCTATAATGAGACTTAAGTCTTATTTCTATAGGAATAGTCTTTAAATCATTATTATTTGTGTGATTACATCTATAGTAGAATATTTTACAAATTAAGCTAACTTTTAACATATAAAGGTGGAAAGTAGACCTATAAGGCTGTTTAACTAGCCACAAGACGGAGGGGTTTTATTTTCTCACCTCCTTCCTCCTCTCCCCTCTCCCTTACCCCTCCCTTCAGCTCCACTCCCCACTGTGATAGGGTTCACATTAAATTTATGGAAGATTAGGGCCTCCCCAGTGGCGCAGCAGTTGAGCGCTGGGAGCGCTGGGTTGTGAAGCTGCCCGCAGCCTCTGCAGCACCGGTTCGATCCCCGGCTGCTCCCCGGCCACCAGAGGAGGGTCCCACATGGCGCGCAGACCTCTCCTGCCGCCTGCTGCTCCCTTCTGCCTGCTCTGCTCCCCGCTCTGGCTCTGGTGAATTCTCTCGCCCTTCCGTGCTTCTGACTGTACCCAGTGCTTGTATAAATCAGTAAATCAATCAATAAATCAATCTTTTGTAAAAATAAATAAATGAATGAATAAATTTATGGAATATTAGAATGTTAAACAAGATGGCTTAAAACCAACTTAGAATAGCAGAATATATTATGCTTATTTAAATCATCCTTGTCTGCTTTTTTTAACAACCTAGATTTAAGACAAAGAAGGATGATGTATTTAAAGCACATAGTAGGTACTCCATAAATGCTAAATGAATACTACTCAATTTTCTTCTTTAAGAATTGTTTAGGTATGTGGTTCTCAGAATTTATTTTGAAACAAAATACCAAACATACTAGAAATTCCAACATGTAGATTAAGCTGAGATCAAGTCAAGATCCCACTGCACTGGCATAAGTGGAGTGAAGAGCTGGGTGCCCACCCACTGTCACACCACTGTTTTTTGTTTTTTTTTTTCTTTTTCCTCTTTGCTTCAGTAGGATCTCAAAAGGAATAACAGTAGGAACTCGTAAGACTCACAATACTCTGGATGTTTAGCAAAATGTGCAAGCATGGTGGGAGTCTGGGTGGAGGCATTCCCCATGCAGGCACAGGAAGGAGGGATAGATGCTGTCACATAAGGAGAAGCCAATTTGCTTTGCTGAGAAGAATCAGAAGCTGGGCTGTAGAATTTTAATAACTTGGACAGACTTAGTTGAAAAATCTCCAGCTGGGTGTCCAGGTCTAGAATTCCATCCTAGCCATCATCCTCTAACCACATCCCCTCATCACATATCACCATGGTAAGTGTGGTACATGAAAGATGGCATAGATTTCTTTGACTGTCCTCCCATTGAGCAGTAAAGGTTGTGACTCTCTTTGAATCTGGGAGTGTCCCATGACCACAGCAGACAGCTGTGGATCTACAGACAAGAGCAGAAGTGATGTGGACTAGCCCAGACATAGCTCTGTAGTGTCCTAGCAGTCTCCACTTTCTGCCTCTTAGAATTCTTGAGTCACCATGTAAGAACTAGGACTATCCAGATATCCCCCCAAGATGCCAACATGTGGGTTTAGTTGTCTTGGTGCCTCCAGATCAACACTGCCACCAGCTTACTGTAACCCACACTATGTGAAATAAAAGGATTTCTCGGCAAGCCCTGTCTAATTTTCTGACCTACAAAATCATGTGAAATAACAAAATGGTGACTATTTTAAACCACCAGGATAATCTACAGATAAATATAGACAATCAGTCATGAAGACACCAAGATTTGAGTGCTTTAATGAGGGGTTTCCATGCCAACCCCTCACTTGATCATCACAGCCAAGTTCATCTAGAACAAACATTCTTCATGCCTCCTCTGTGCCACACCGCAGTGTGCAGTGGGGAACAGTACAGAGGAGGTCCTGGGCTTTCCAGAGACGGGAGACAAGTAAGAACATGCCATACAGTAAATAGTGCCACCGTCTGATCAAAACAAGCAAGCAACCCAATCAAAACTATGATGGTATCGTCAAGAGTGGGAGCTACTTTGTGTTGTCACAAAGTCTGAGATGACACTGAACTGAAACCAAAATGACAAGTGTCAGAAATGCAAGCATCTGAAAAAAGAAGATAGAAGGACTCTTCTGTGTGGAAGGGACAAAGGTCCTGAGGCAGGAGATTAAAGTTTCCAGAAAAGAGTAGGAAAGAAAGTCAGGTTGGGCAATCGTTAGATGATGGGATGTGAGAGACCAGCAGGGTCTAGGTCACATAGGACCTTAGAGGTCCGTGGGAGGCTGTTGGAATTTATCTGGATACAACAGGAAGTCACTGGCATACTTGAGAGAGGCACAACATGAGAAAATTTTTGCTTTGTAAAGCTCCTCCAGCTCCTGTGAGGAGAATGAAGTGTCCCAGAGTGGAAGCAAGAGGAAGCTCTAAGCACTCATTGTAGTGAGTGTGACACAAATAGGAACAGAACACTTAAACGAAGAGAAAGTTGACTGGCACATAGAAGGCATTTTGGAGAATCAACAAGACTTGGGATAAATTAGATGTTGGAGGGTAGATGTAGGTTTTTTAAGTTTTAAATATAAGAACATTGAAGCCCAGAGCAGTCAAGCAATTTGCCCCATGTCACACAGCTTGCATGCGTGAGGACAGGATTCAAACACAGATCTTCTGTCTCCACGTAGTCTTTTGCTCTCTCACCACACTCGGTGTGGTTTTCCGGATGTGTTACAGGAAACAAGCATTTTCAATTCATTACTATCTTCAGGGAGAAAACTTCACTCACAAGTTTTTCCAGGAGCGGAGACACTGACACCTTCTCCGTCATCGTAGATGGGGGTCACTGTGACTTTGTATTCGGTGTTGGAAAGCAGAGGCTTCAGAAGGAGATGGTTCTGGCTTCCAGGCACCATAACCTGGGCACAAAAGCAAAGGACGGTGGTTTTAGTCATCAGCACTGTCGGCACTCTGAAATAATCAGAAGCAAGATGTGCTTGGAGAGTGATGAGAAAAAAAGAGCATTCATGCAAAAGCATTTCTCTCTGAAATTCCCCTCTCAACATCCCTTCATTTACAATCACTAATGTAGGATTAAATGTGAAGCATTCTAGACGCTAGGGAATAGTATTTTCTCATCATCTTCTCAGCACTTGTAAAGTATCCAGAAGAGAGAATAATCATTTATTTGGAAAGCAGGTGTTGATCACTTAGGAGTGTTCCTTGTATAACCCAGCTTGCTTGACATTTTTGATTCTACTTAAGAATCCTCTTGGAAATTCAGCCTTCCAGTACTCACCCTTTCAGAGAAACTAATCGCAGCACTTTTAAAAAGGACAGATGCTAGCCAAAAACAACAGAACACACATTAAACACAAGTTTTCTGAGTCAAAACATTCATCAGCAACACTAAGAAATGTGGCCATCTTTTCATTTCTGCAAGGAGATGTCCTTCTCAATCTGAAGCCACCATCATTCCATCTCTTAAGTTTGCAAAAAATGAAATGCCAACATGGGGTAGACACCACACGACTATCAGTTCCAATTCTGGCATCCCTAGAAGAATCTATGGACCTGAAAAGCCACGTTTCCATGCTCAAACCACAAACCTCTGCCTGTGCTCCAGTAGTAAGATACTGGCATGTCCCCGGGCCATTTAAAGAGCTTAATCATGGCTGGAAAAATGCTAGGGTGTAAGAACTGACCCAAGAGCGTTTGAGGAGTCACAAGACTGAGACAGCTGGAGCTAGTTGCTTTTCGATTCAAGGGCTGGGTAAAGTGCCAGCAGGCAAAAGGACTGTGCCGTGTATGTCTGGATGAGGGTAGGAAACAATAAATCATGAAATAAGCCATAGAAAGCCTTGAGATGAACTCAGAAGGAGCGGTTGCTAAGATATTTCTAAACTCTAAAAGCAATACTTTTTAAAATTTATATATGAAAAAATAGGAAGTCTGAATTAGGTATTTTTATATTGGATTCACATGATTTTGCTCCTCATATGAAATGACGCTGAAATATTACACGGTTGTATTGATATGGTACTGTGGGTGTTGAGGGGAGACTTTTTATTGGGAACTCTGTTGTATTCTAGAGTGAGTTAGGTAGCCTGGACACTAAGGACATGTAAAGGAAGAATTGTGGTTGCCCTGACTTATATTAACTCCGTCAACACAGCTTCTTCGGGTGTTTCATTTCAATATAACTTGTCCATGGCACAGAGCCTGGGCATTCGTTCCAAGTTGACTGTCTGATACACCATCCAGGTTGATGTTCCTTAAATATTTTCATCTCTCAAACTGAGAAGTACAAGACCTTGGAATCAACCAAATTTAGCCTGTGGAGTACTAAAAAGCAATTGTACCATCTTGGAGGACTCATTTAACTTCCCAGGAAGTACTTGCTATGGTTTATAATAATAGTCATCATTTGCCCAGCATTATTATGTGCCAGGTGCTACTCTAAGAATTCTAATAGAGTATCATTACACTGATTTTATAGTGGGGGGAATTCCGGCCCACATGGCTATTAAGTAAAGGAGCTATATTGACAATTGATTTCCTACATAATGGATCAGAGGAACCTCACTTTACCCACCACCCACCTCCCCACATGCCTGCATGGCTTGCAAGCAATGCATCCTTCTTTATCCTAATGATCCTCCTTCCCCAGGAGAAAATGCAAGTCTCTTATGCCAAGTTCCTTCTGCTTGGCCTCTGCTTGTTTGCACAAAGCAGGGTAAAGATAGGCTTCTACTGAAAACAGATGCTACAGGTCTTAGCAGATGGTGGTTGTGTTTATAAAACAATTCTATAAAAGATGTGCATAATTACATGAGATGCAAATCTAGCCAGCAAACTTCATGTTTTCAATATTTTCTGAGATGCAACTTCATGTCTGGCTCCATTACCGCTCACAACTCCTCCGAGCAGCCTGGATCCCTCCCTACAAGCTGTTTCCTCCGTAGAAGGAGGATTCCCTGCTCCTTATTATGTCCCTGTATCAAAAAGTTCTGTCTCTAGATAGTGATTCTCATGCCACGTAGTGAAATTCTGAGAGCAATTGCTTTAAACCCCATCCATTGAAGACATTCATTTTATAAAATGCAATAAAACAAAATTGCTAGGAAAAAATGATCTTGTTCTTGGGTCTGGCAGCAATGTCAATTTGCTACCAATGTATCTAGAAGCTTAATCTTAATATCTGAACTTAAATTGTAGGAGACTAAGCCACACTTGGAATATCCCCGCTCTAGAACATGTCTTGCTGCTAAGAATTCAAGTCATAGTTATGGATTTTGACATCTAATTTCCAGAAAAGCCTGAAATCCTGATCAGCCTTTCACAAATAAAGATGTGTGATCCTAACAACAAATTTCAGGGCAATGTCAGTTCACTCTTCCGTAACTCAGAGGAGAGTTGAAAGCCAGCCTATGTGAAATATTTGAGAGGTAGTTTTAATGTTCCAGGAGCCCAAAAGATTTTTATTGAAAGTATTTGGTAGGTTTGATTACTCTAAGAAAAAATATAAATTCTTCACTTACCTTAACCTGAAAAGTAAACTTAATTGCCCTTGACTTTGGTTTACAAAGTTATATACACATACTACTTGTCAACTCCAATACTCTATCTTATTATTTCCTTGTGTACATTTAATCAGCTTTTACAACTAATGAAAATTTGAAGACATAGTAAAAAGACTTTCTTCTAATCCGGACTCAATTCCTATTTTATTTTATAATATATGTTAGTCATGTCTTTCCCTGTCATGCATTACTATTTTAAGATATTCACGGGGATTTAAGGATAAAAGGATTTCACTGTAAATTTTGATATAGATCTGCAACTGCCTGTTCTACCTTAGTTTCATAATCTAAATCTTGATCTATCCTGATACTAACATTACATTTACATAGTGGTGACACTTTATAAAAACACTGAGATACAAATTCTCAATTAATCCTCAGTGGCATACCTGAAAAAAATGCCTGTAAATTAGTGTGCACAAATTAGTGTGCACAAATTAGTGAGCACTGGACTAACTGCTAGATAGTCTTCTATCTAGCAGTTTCCTCTAGATAGCAGAAATACTTCTGCATAATCACCACCAAATTTATCATTATTTTTCATTTTCATTGAGTTTATTTAACTAGGGCACATGTGTGTTTAAGACTTTTGATCTTTTTTTTTTTCCTTCATGTACATTTCTGAGTGTTTCCAAATAAACAGTGTAAAATGAAAGAAACTAGCAAGAAGAAAATTATCAAGAAACAATCCAAAGTCAATATTATTATTATTTTACCTTGGATAGCTAGCAACTGCACATATGAGATTAAATTGGTACTCTTTCCAAATTAGCAGGAATAATTTACCAAGAAACTGAATGTGCTTCTTGGAAAGAGTGAAACAGTAAAAACCAAAAATAAAACTTTTACTCTGGGAAGTTTTCATGGGTCTTATTTTTTAGGAACTAAATCAAAACACAAGGACAATAGCAAGAGAAAGAAAACATATAAATTCATTTTTAGTTGCTATCCCTAAACCAACTATAAAATTTATTTGAATTTGTTAGTCACGAACTACTTGAAATATATGGTGTGAGTGAAATTGTAATTCAACCTTTTTTGTTCAAGTGCCCACTAACTTTCCATGTTTTCCATGACCAACATAATGGGCCTTCCAGCTTCTCAGGGTTATCACTGTATATTCTGTCTCCCCCATCAGCCTGAAATAAAGAACTTCCTTCAGAGAATTTTGGGCTCAAAAAATGATTTCTGTAAGCATGCAAATTAAAATTTCATCACAGGCTTTGTAAGTAAGGAAGAAGAAGAAAGGATAATAATGTTATTCTTGAGCAATGATAAATTTGTAGGTATTTCCTAGAATGTCTTAAAAATAATGCGGCAGTGGATAAGACATGCAAATAGCAAGGCTAACTAGGGCATATTCATAATCCATGACTAAAAGAAAATTTTCTTTTGGACCCAAATTGGAACTATCTGCTCTGAATAGGAAACATGCCTATGAAATAATTTTCAGGTTCTAGATGAAAAGGGATGATATGGTAGAAATTAAGAAAATATGGGAAAGCCATGATTTTTAAGCCTGTACCCAGATTTCCCATCTAGAAAAAGAAATACAGCTGAAATGACTTAAAGAAACCTCAACATATAAAATTCTAAATTCCTGAAGGGAGATACTCTTATGATTAAGAATAAGTTAAACTTGATTATTAATCTGCTCAAAATGACTGGATGTCAGTAAAAAACATATAGCTCTGTTAACAGCTGGTATTTTATTAGCAACACTTGAGCATAACACCTTCTGTGTATGCTTTACTTAAAAAGAAATGATCAGGGGTCTCCCTGGTAGAGCAAGGGGTTAAGCACCGCACTATGAAGCAATCCGCAGCCTCTGCAGCATGAGTTCAATCCCCAGCCGGCCAGGGAGCAACACACATGGTGCAGTAGACCTCTCCTGTCTCACCCGCTGCTCCCCTCAGCAGTGTATTTCAGTCAGTCTGCCTGTTCTGTTCCCCACTCTGTCTCTGGTGAATCCTCTCATCCCCCACCCCACACCTCTGGCCTGTACCCCAGCTCTTGTATGCATAAATAAATAAAATCTTTCAAAAAAAAGGATCAGATTCCTAAGGGCAAAAAAAGCTTTACACATACACATACACACACACACACACACACACACACACACACAAATATATGTTTAAATGTATGTTAAAATTTCTACTAAAATATATAATTTATAATATCTATTTTACTATATATGCACACACACATGAGCATATAATGGACTTTTTATGGCCCAACTTCGATGCCTCACAGTTGTCAAGGCAATAGAAGCAACACAGAGAACAAGGATCAGAAGCTTTGTCAATATGAAGCAGGTTATAGATGTGGCATGTTTTAGAGACAGGAAGGACATCAAGCAATGAGCAAATTTGAATTGACCAAAAACACTTGTTTCTGGAGATGGTAGGGTCACGAGAAATGAAGAGTCAATCAAGTTGCATTCATCTCCAGCGATAGCCTTGTTAGCTTGGTTAGTCAGGGGAGTGGCGAAGGTTCTAGGGGGCAGGATTTATACAGACCGTTCCTACCACTTCTTCCGTGGGGTCCCCTTGAGCAGTCAGGTAGGTGACCCTGAACTGCTGCACACTGCTGTCTGAAATGTCCCATGTTACCCGCAGGCTAGAAGTGGTTTCATCATCTACAACCAGGTTTCTGATTCCTGTCCGGAAAACTGGAATAAACACAACCAAGGATTAAAGAATTTTTAATCCATCATAGTCCAAAATGAGTTACAGAGGTGATGTGTGGATGTGGCAACAAGTATTTCATGTATCTCTCATGTAGACCCAAACAAAGTCAGAGCAGCTTCCTGTTCTTCTAACCTCAGCTTAGTGTTAATGGAAACCATGATGTCCAAGAGCAAGCAAAATTAGGCTTAAGAGATGCTTACAAGTTGAGACTATAACCTCCAAACTGACAGTTCTGTATACCTACCAGTCAGGGGAACTGAGAAGTCCCCAGACTCAGCCCAAAGGGAAACCCAAAGAGGCCCCTATTGATGAACATTTCTTGCTAGTTTGGTGGAGAAGTTGACATGGTGGACCAGATATGGTCAGCCCTGTGAGCAATCCAGCACCCATCATACATATCATTCATCTCTTCCTGCCATTGTTTCATTGCTTGGCACTCAAAGCACAGCTCTTTCATCATGGCTGCCCCTATCCATTCAGGCCACACAGGTAGTATCCCTTCTCTCATATCTGACCAAAACTCCTTCACCGTGGTCTCTGATATATTCTTTCTCATCTCCCAAGGTGCCTGCTCCCTCATTTGTACTGTTTTTTTCCTCCTCCCTTCTGTCCTGACTTCATTTTGTTCATTCCTACTGACTCACTCTTCTCTTCATGAATCATTCATTCAGCAAACATTTGCTGTGCTTTTCCTGTGTCAGTGTGTTTTAGGACCTGGAGATACACAGTGATTACTTCTTGACGTAAATAGTAAAAGCATCACAGTGGTGGGGAAGGTTGTCATTGACCAGGCAAAGCTGGAGAAGGGTAACAGGCAATGGATGAGGAACTGGATGGCAGGAGGAAAGCATGAAAATATAGTTGAGGCCAAGTAGGAAAGCAAGATATCAGGAAGGACCTTGGGTGTTACGATAAAGACATTTGGGGGAACAGGAAGTACCCGATAAAAATTAACTGAAGAATGAAAAGAATCAGTGAATGAATGGGTAATGAAAAGATACTAAAGGATTTTAGGAGAGAAATAAATAGTATCAAATTTATGTTTTACCTAGCTGACTATGCAAGCTACTTGGGAGGTACAAGACAGTGGAGGATAAAGTGAAGCTGAGAGAGGAAACAGCTGATGTTAGAAAAACAATAGACCAACCATGCCTCTGTAAGCAACTGAAATGCAAGGAAACCATGATATAAATAATTCTGCAAAGAGCCCAGAGCTCACTAAGATAGAGATCTATCACTAAGATAGAGTGATCTGGGGGTTGCTGTGGTAACGTCCTCTGAAAGTCTAAATGAGACCTCCCTAAGTTAAGATGGAGGAGGTAGATGGATATAATAGTGGGAACAGTAAACTAGAAGACACACTGACATTTAGGGGAAAGAAAAGGTTGAGAGGCTTTAGGAGGAGTAAAATTTGAACTGGCATGGCCCATTTCTAATTAATGATATCATATGCATAAAACTAGTATAACACAACCTCTGTTCAAAGAAAAATTTTCTCATGGATAAATGGGCTTCTGTTTGTTCTTACCTGAAGTCACAGTTTTAGTAGGCGCTATTGTCGTGGCTATTTCTGTCCAAACACTGTCAACTAATGAAAAGAATAATGTTACTTAAAAAGTCTGTCATGATAATAACTCCATACATTCATGTAGAGCATTTCAAGCATTCAAAGAAAATTTGACGTATGTTATCTCACTTGCTGCTCATAATAACCTTGGCTATGGTTACAAGACTAAAGAAGTGAATTATAAATAAGACAGATATTCTCTCTAGTCCACAGATAAGGCAACTAAAACCCAAATAAGATAAATGTTCTAATGAGGACTACCGGTATAATAAACCTTTGAATTATACCTGCAAAATTGTGAATCCTCTCGATTACTTTGAAATGATGATAGCCATGATCATTAAAGGAAATTAGACAGTACTATCAATCAGGTTGTGAAAGGGCTACCAAATAAAACCAAAAGGAAGGCAATATGCTTAGGCAAGAAGCACCTCTTCTATTTCCAGTATCCCAGTTGGGCATCCAAGGGAAATGAGTGGCTGGATGGTGTTCCATTCTTGAAGGTCAATATATTTATGTACCACTTCTGGACAACTCGCTGCCATTAACTCAGAGCTTTAGGAACTGCCTCAACTGAGGTCAGAGACTGTCAAGGGTACCTTCAATGAGTAGGGATGTAAACCCCTTTGTGTCAGCTGGGACAACTCAAAAGGGTCCTCCAAACTCCCGAGTTTCTAATAAAATCAGCTGAGTATTCAGTTTCAGCTTCTCCCTAAGTCTTATGCTACGCTCTTTTTGTCCTTCCAGATGTACCCCCCACTACCTCCTATATGCAATTTTCTCTCTCAAAACTTGATTTCAGTGAACCCAATAAATAATAATTTAATAGTGGTTAATACTTCACAAGAAACTAAGGGATGAATAAATCAGCAAGTGAATTTTGCACAAGATTCTTAGAACAAAGATCAACTTGGAAATTCAAGAAACTCTTGGACACGTTAGTTATCAGTTTGTTCATTTATTCACTGAAATGTTATTTAATCTATCCATCCATCAATCCATCCAACCACCCATCCATTCAGTAACTATCTACTGTTTAGTTAAAATATGCCAAGTACTATGCTAAGTACTTGGAATATTATGGTAAATAAAACCATTGGTACCTCTGCCTTCATGGAGATAATAGTCTAGGATTCTAAAATGATACGTTAGTTTCATTGCAGGTAAAAATATACAAAGAATCCTAGGGGACCAATGAAAATTGAGTCTCTATTTTCTGGGATAAGGCATATGGGGAAGGAATCTGAAGGAGTGAAGTGGGTGTCAGAAGCTGAAGAAATCCATCTCGGCCACACCAAAACTTACGTGTGGTCCCCACAGCAGTCACCACCTCGCTCTCACTGCCGTCCTCCAGCACAGCCAACAGTGAAACTTCATATTCAGTGCCTGGATCCAGACCTTCAATAACATGGGAATCTTGGTCTTCTTGTAGGACAACCTAAAAATATTTGGAGCTTGGTTACTGGTGCTTAGTTACTTGAATAACAGTAAGGGAAAAAAGGAAAAAAATATAAAAAGGAAAATATTACCCTGAGTATAAGCAAGAAACAGCTAAGTATAAAGAACCCCAGAGCTGCTAAATTCAATTTTAAAGTCCAACTAGAGATCTGAGTCTTTTCAATTCCCTTGGATATAAACTATTAATATAGCAAAAGTAACATTTTGGAGTTGTATTCAATGCCATTTATGAAAGTCAAAGAATCTGATAATATACCACATGATTGACATTTACAAACTTTCATGTCATGCAAAATACTAATTAATTCTGGTATTTTTAATCTATCCTACAGTCAAAAACAACTCAGATAAAATGCTCTGGGTTTATTGTCATTGTCTCAGACAACTCACTTCTCCAGTCTTCCCACCGTAGACTGGAATCCACATCAACTTGTGTTGCCCTTCATCAGCCGAGAGAGGATGCCAGGTCACTCGAAAACTATCTGTCGCCACCTCATCAATTTCCAGGTATTGCTCGGCTGGAACTTCCTCTGTAAGCCAAGGAAGGAGATTTTGACAGGGACATGAGAAGGCAAGAAAGCCAAGACTCAAACAGTTCCTGGGGCCACAGGAGAAAACTTTTTGAGGACTCTCTTTAGGGAAGGAAGCACATGGAAGCAGGGAAAGCCATCAGTCCAGTGCTATCGTGTTTCTGTTTCCCACATTTACCCAAAGCATGAACTAGGAAGACGATGTAAACAACAGATTTTTTGAAAGTTTTCCAGTATTTTCTAGAACTCTTAAATTCTCTATCCGATTCTTTTCATTAACTACAAATCAGAGTGTCGTATTCATTACATGACAGAGATATTATTTCCCAAGTATTTTGAGGAAATTAACAAATTTCTGAGGTCTGAGAAGTGTTCCTTTGAGCTCTATTAGTTTTCATGCTTAGTAATAAGTTAAATCCTTCATCCCTTCAACTTGTACATGTGGTGGCCATCAGAAGTGAAAAGATAATTTATCAGATGTTCCACAATTACATGCTTTACACACTTTGTGATGTACAACAGAGAGAGCAATACATGTAACCTACACAAAATGAACTGCAAACCAATTATATTTATTATCTGAAATCAAGGATTTTTAAAACTCTTTGAGAGGACACCACAAAAATTCCTACTCGAGTTAGTCCTTGGAAGGTTTTGAGAAATTGCTGAACTTTTTTCTGGGAATATAATTTCTCAACCCATTTTGTTTCTCATCTCTCTCCGAATTATCTTCTCATTTCCTCAATCAAGCACTGAATTGGCTTCCAAGTGTAATCAATGATAGGTTCCGAAAGCAAACCATACAAGTGTTGTCGCCAGATGCAAAAAAGTTTGATATTTATTGAGTAACAATAGGGTGACATAATAGAAAAGGAAATTAATGTTTTTGTGCCTTATTTTTCATTTTATTACTTAAAACATCACATATTGTATTAATATTTCAGGCTGCATGAAAATACACTATTGACTGAAGTATTAGGTTAAACAGCATGAAATTCATTTTTGTAGGTTGAAAACTGTTGGATATCAGCCATTTTAGAAGTTCAGTTTAATATACACACATGAATGGAAGATGTGAAAATTTTACACAAGCTAGGAAAAAACAATGTGAGATTAGGAAGAAAACAACACACACTTTTATTTAACTGAAACCTTTGAATTTACATGGTCTTTTTCTCTTTTCCTTGCTCTCCTGGAAAACAGCCAGCACCCATCCTAATTGTTATTTCTCTATAATATAAAACAAAATGCAATCTTTTCAAAATTACAGTTGAAGGAGAGGTTCCAGTGTCTGGTTGCTACAGACTTAGCCTTGGAAACTTTTCAAGCATAATTTACCTGTGGTAAAAGTCCCAGTTAGAGGCTCTGACTGTCCTTCATCATAGATGGAGAAAATGGCAATGGAATATTCAGTGAGGGGCGTCAAGCCTTTCAGAGGGAATGTAGTAATAGGGTCAACTTCAATCTACAAGGGAGAGAAGTCACACAGCTGTATCATATGCTTTCTAATTACAGGAAATAAAACCCATTTTACTATTGTCTGTAATTCACTTGGCAGGGAACAGGGCTATAAATACTGCCCCAAGAAATTAAATTATGAAACTCATTAGTTTATGTATATGCATGTGTGTGTATACAGTTTTCCTTTTTTATATACACATCAGTGTAAGTATTTATCTTTTCAACACATATATCTGCCTAAATGATTTAGTTTATTCAAACATTTTGATACTAGACAGTCCCTATTTTATGCATAAATCACTGGTGATTTCACTAAATAAGTTTGGGGTATAACTTATTTTTACTAGTTATGATATTATGTTTTAGACTAAGTTCTGGAATTGATTTTATTGGTGGTATTTTTAAGATATAGGAGGAGAACCAGGAAAATGATAATAAATGGCCACGGCAACTATTTTTGAGAATAATTTTTCAAATAGTCCAACAGCTTGCCTTCAGCCTTGTCCTGGAAGGGATGGAGAGAGGGCTTGGTGAGGCGAGAGGGGCTGGCACTCAGCCCAGGCGGGGCTCTGCTATCAAATCCATCATGGCTATCAGGACCAGGAGCTGGCCCTCATCTAAACACCATGACCTTTCACTTGTAAAGCTCAAATGGCAGCACTTAATTCTCTCCCCTGTTTGCACATTTCTACCAAATCCTTTCCCAGTGCCTGCTATCTGTGTTAAAGAGTTGACAAGTCACTCTCGGGCATATTTGCTAAGGCAGAAGTGCATGGAGATGGTCTCTGCATCTCTTGAGAACACTTGCGGGTTCAGGGGAAGCAGCACCCTGTGTCAGCTGCCATCATCACCTTCATCAGCATCATCGACATGTAAGTGTTCTGTTTTATTTTCCTTCCTTGGTTTCCAAAAAGTTGGCGGGGGGGCTCCTTTGTGGCACAGGGGTTAAAATCTCAGAGCTATCAAGCTTTTGCCAGCCACTGCAGAATGAGTTCCATGCCCGGCCAGGGAGCAACCCACATGGCACAGCAGACCTCTCCTGGCTTGCCCGCTGCTCCCCTCAGCAGTGTATTTCAGTAGATTCACCTGTTCTCCCCACTCTGTCTCTAGTGAATCCAATCTCCTACTGTACCTCTGGCCTATACCCCAGTTCTTGTATGCGTAAATAAATAAAAATACCTCTTCAAAAAAAAAGTTAAGGGGGAGGAGTAATATAGAAAACTCAGTGGGGGAAAAAAAGAGAAAGTGAAGGAAGATGGGACAGAGGAAATGAAGCAGGGAAGTAGAAACTAAATTGAAAGCAAAGTTTCACAATCAGCTACTAAGTAAAATGTACTTGGGACACTTTAAAACTCATTCCAGAATGTCTGGAGAATTTTTTAAAAGCCCAGTCGTAGCATTATCTAATAATAAAAGTGGAAATTAATAGAAGTCAAAGCAAAACCTGCTTATTTCACTTTAGGGTCACAGGTGGCCAGAACCTATCCAGGTAACTCAGAGCACAGGGTGGGACCCAAGCCAGGGCAGGACGCCCTTCCACCACAGGGGGCATACACACACACACACACACACACACACACACACACACACACTCTCTCTCTCTCTCTCTCTTTCTCTCTCTGACTGGGACAATGGAAATGTGTCAATGATATCAATAATCTTCACATACACACTATGGGACATGCCAACATGGGAAAACCAATGCAAACATGGGAAGAACATGCACCTTCCACACACAGTCACCCCAGTCAGGAATCAGGTTTTTTCCCCGCCCCCATCAATGTTATAGTGAAACAATATTGAAAGAAATGAGTTCAAGCACTGACTGTAGCTTATTATTTATTACAGAAAGATACGAATAGTTCAATGGTTTTTGTTTCAATCTTTTTACTACTCCAGACTAGTCTTCAAAAGCAGGACAACTGGTCTCAATGATCCTATCTCATCAGAAATATTTGTCCTCAGCATTTATAAAGGCTGAATGAAAGAACTCGAAGAGCAGTTCTGAATTGTTAACAAATGTGCAGCTATTGTCTGGTCATTACCCAATGTCACGTAGGAGAGTGCATTCTGCAAAACACTCTCAGATTTAATTGTAGGAAAAACCTTGTCTGTGCATATGAAAATACTTCTTTATTTGGTTGCAGAATAGAAATGATGTAATCTAACACATTTCCCTCTGTGTCTTAGTTTTCTTGGACCAAGATAAGGAAAAATTTTAAAAATAACCCCGCTGTATCTATCCCACTGAAATATATTTCCAAGGAAAGAATTTCTGTAAAATATTAGTCACTGAGTACAAATACTGTATCTTCATGGATTTCATAAGTTCTAGTATTTGAAATTATCTTCCACACAAAAATTGAATTATTCATTTTTCAAATTAAGTTTATCTACCCGGGACCTTTCATATGTCAGTTTACTCATTGAAGAGGGATAAACTACAGAACACTGACATTAGTCTAGTTTAGCACTACCATGACAATACAGACTTCCATACCTGTACTAGGGCAGATTATATTTTGTGAAGATGCTACATCAACAAAAGTCTCCCATCTCATAGCTCCCACCATGATGGCATCTGTATTCTTCTCTTTCTTGAATCCAGGGAGGGACTTATGATAGCCCCTTCCAACAGAGTATGGGGGACATGATATCTTGTTGAACTTCTCAAATGCTATGAGTCACTGAATGGCAGGTGTGCACCAAACTGGTCCAACCACTATGCTGTGTGGAGATTTCTGGACCTACTAAACATAGAGCTTCCATATGATCCAGCAATTCCACTCCTAGGAGGACACAGATTCCAAAGAGCACCTGCACTCCTATGTTTATAGCAGCACTGTTTACAATAGCTAAGCTTTGGAAACAACCCAAATGCCCAAAAATAGATGACTGGGAAGATGTGGTACATATATACCATGGAATATTACTCAGCATTCAAAAAAGATAAACACATGCAATTTGCAGCAACATGGATGGCACTGGAAGGGATCATGCTCAGCGAAATAAGCCAAAAAGAAAAAGAAAAATACCGGATGGTCTCACTCATAGCAGGAATCTAGAAAACTTAAATAAGGGACCAGGAAAATGAATATAAGAAAGTGAAAATCAAAATCAACAAAAAACTATGAACCAGAGACACCGGGAGGGGAAGGATTGGGGTCAGAACTATAAGTTAAAAAAAGAAGTTCTAGTGATGCTGTCTCCAGCACTATGTGGCTAGCATTTCACCAGCAACCCCAAGCCAGGACTATACATCCAAGCCCTAACTCCTGACCCACTGAAATGTGAGAGAAAATAAATCAGTATTGTTTTAAGCCACTATGTTTTGGGGAGATGGGTTATACACCCAGTAACAAATTAATATACAATCATGGGAAACAGACATCGAGTTCCATGGCTTACCTCATTGATTTCAGTCCGATCCTCACTGTTGTACACAATTCGATAACCACTGATCTTTTTTGAAGCTGGGTCCCAGGCTAACCGAGCACTGTTAGAGCCAACATTGGAGATTCTCAAGTTTCTTGGTGGACTTAATGGCACTTTGCGGTAAATGGAATAGAAAATGATTAAAAATATGAAACATGTAAAAAAAGACAACTCAATATACTTGACTTCTGAACTACTTACACATGAAAGACTTCACCCAGGTAATAACTTATAACCCCAAAATAACCAGTGAATTATCTCATAAGAATCAATAATGCATTCAAATTTACAACAAAAAAGTCTTTCTTGTAGAGGACAAATAGTAGAAATAAATTACATATACTTAATTAGTAAGATTAAAGGAAATTTTCCCTTCCCTTCTTACATGGTCATGCTAATATTATAGCCTCATGTAAATATGAAACCAATGGATCAGAAAGCAGAACACCTGACCAGATATTAATTCTTACTCTACTCAGTTTTCATATGATTCTAGCAAAGTCACTGTACATTTCCTTCCCGGGAATAAAATAATGAATTTTCTTATATTACAATGAACTCTAGATATTTCCCCCTAAACCAGTATTTCCAGTTCAGAATTCTGCCATTTACTCCCATTCTCTTTACTGTAGCATTCCATCCAAGTGACACAACTACTCACGTGTTGTTTCTTGTCCAGTAACAGGATCACTGGCCTCTTCCCCAAACATAGCATAAACCGTGACCGTGTATTCTGTGTTGGGCAACAATGCTCTTAGTTCAATGTCTGTGCTGGTCTCTCCAATTTTCATCTGAAAAGAGCACCCATTATCTGTCAGTTTGCTGACGTGTATTGTTCATGCTGAATGGAAGTGAATAAAGGTGAGACTCTGGAATGAAAATGTGTCTCCTGGGGCCTCTCTGGCAGTGTAGGGATTAATTGTCAGCGCTGTAATTGTTATGGCCTGAGTTCAATCCCCAGTCAGGAAGATGACACATACGGCGCAGCAGACCTCTCCTGTCTCGCCTGCTGCTCCCCTCAGCAGTGTATTTCAGTAGATCTACCCGTTCTGCTCCCCACTCTGTTTCTGGTGAATCCTCTCATATCCCCCCTACCTCTGGCCTACACCCCAGTTCTTCTATGCATAAATAAATAAATCTTGAAAAAAAAAAAAGCATGTGTATCCTCTCTACTCCTGGATGAAACATCACAATTTTTGATCCATGTCAATTGATACTAGGAGCAGCTACTATGGAACCACATAAAACTGAACACACCCCATGTGCTCTTTTCAGATAACTCTTTACATCTAGATAAGGGGCAACAATGTCGTAAGCCAATGTTACCTCGATAAAATAATTAACTGACTTAAAAAGAAAATTACCCTATGGGGAAAAAATGAATTGAAGAAGACTATTAACCAACTGCTAACAAAGGCTCTAGGTGGTGGGATTATAAGTCTTTTGTTCCCTTTTGTTAATGTGGATTTCCTAAATTTTACATATAAATATTTATAATTTTTTTAAAAAAGTCTATTTCAAGGAAGTCAGAGTTTACAGGACCCTGATGGGCAGTGGGTAGTTACCTCTTTTTCATCCCCAGCCAGACCTTCCGTGAGAGGCGCATAGAGGACCAGGTATCCCGAGGCCCCCTCCACCGCATTCCACTTCACCCTCAGGCTGTTCTCAGTCACGTCGTACAGTTCAAGGTTGGAAGCCATGGGCAGAGAGACTGCAAGAGGAGATTTTAGGGAAACGTTCAACCAGTGGTCCATATGCTTGCTTATTTCAAAGTAGCTATGGGTTAGCATCTATAAAGTAAACATAGCTTGTTTTCCAGGTGATTTTTATTTTTAAATCTGTTACATATACTTAATTAGTATATTTAAATCTGTATAATTAAATTAGTATAATTTAAATCTGTTCATGTAGCCATGTCAGCCTCTTCTGGGAAGGTAAAAAAAGTGAATGCTGTGGCCGCCCTGGTGACCTAAGGGTTAAGTCTCAGCACTATCTCTCTGCTGCCTGAGTTTGATCCCTGGCCTGGGAGCTGACCCACATGGCACAGCAGACCTCTCCTGTCTTGCCTGGTGCTCCCCTCAGCAGTGTATACCAGTAGATATGCCTGTTCTGCTCCACGCTGTGTCTCCGGTGAATCTTCTCACCCCCTGCCTCTCTGGCCTACACCCCAGTTCATGTATGCATAAATAAATAAATAATTTTTTTAAAATAATGTAAGAATATAGTGAATGCTTAAAAGAACAAATGACACTTTTGACTTTCTTATATCCCACTCTGATGCTGGGCACTTGTCTCTGGGGGCCAGCTAAGAGCAGGGAGACAATGCTGACCGAGCCCAGGCACCCATCACCAAGCACAGGACCTTGCTTGCAGCAGTCATTAAAACCCACAGTTGGGTCACCGGTCAACAACAGAAAGGATGCTTAGATGAAACGTGTACATGAATCAATATAAGTCAACACATCCAGAGGCAGTTGTGACACATGACTAAGTCAGCAGCAATAGGATTTGAGACAAATGCAATAATTAAGAAAGAAGATTGGCTATATTTGAGAAGGGAAAAGGGATTAAGGATAAATTGCCAGTTCCTGGCTTAAATGCAGCCAACAAGAACGATGAAACATTGTTTACCAGCATAATTCTAGGCCCTCCCAATCGGCCCTAACTGCTTCCCTAACTGCAAAGTCAATTCTAGCGCTTTGCTTCCAGGGCAGCCCCTGTCCTACTTGCACTGGTGTGCCTGTGGAACGTCATTGCACTAATTTCTTTTCATGTTTTGTGTTTGCAGTACTTCTCTTACGAGACTACAACATCTTAAAGAGTAGAGCTTGTCACTAAATTATTTCTGCAAGAGAGGAAGGGGCTATTAACACCTGTCCTACAGATTATCGCCATGGATAAAGCTAACAATTTGTTGGTGTGGAGTGTGGTTGCCATGATGCCTGGCACATGGCGAGGGGTGTTGTTTATACTGTGAATGCTCTAGCAGAGGCAGTTTTTAGATCATTTTTAGATCAACTTTGCATAGTGCTTATCATGTAGTAAGAACTCAATTTTTTTAAGATGATTAATTCCCAGGATTTTCTGATTATTATGAGTGTGTGTGGGGGGGTGGGTATGGGTGTGGGTGTGTGAGAGAGAGAGAGAGAGAGAGAGAGTTCATGCTTAGACAAGGAATTATTTGTATTAAGAAGTTTATTTTAATCACAGTGATATGAATAATGATGATTAATGTTATTTAATTCTGTTTACATTTTTCTACTGGGCAGGAACGCTATAGACCTCCTTCTCTACTTTACTGACAAACTGCAGCCTAGGGCTTGGTTCATAACATACCATCATTTAATATTTGCTTATTAAATGAATAGATGCATTTTGTACCATTCACCATTAAGGCTGTTCTTTCTTGGACATACCCAAGCATGGTAGCATCCTTCCCAGATTAATAGCTGCCAAACTGCAGGTTTTGCATGGTGACTTTTTCTATGAATCTGATTCCAAGTAAGCTGAATTGAAGTTTATTATAAATTACCTAAGTAACACTGTACAAAATGGTTAGTAGGGTAGAATTTAAGACGTACGTGTAGTTTCGGTTCCCCGGAGGGCTTCGCTAGCAGAGTGGGCATATATTGCAAAGACTGCTATCTGATATTCAGTTAAAGACATCAAGTTCTTCAGTACCGTGGAAGATACACTTCCATCCACCACCACCTGTTTAAAGAACATTCAAGGAATAAGAGCGTGCAAGTCCCTTATTGATTCACCACAGATAGAAATTATGTCATTCCCAGCTTAATTGTTACCTTATTCACAACAAACTAGTAACAGTTGACATGTGATAATTTTCTGTGGAAGTCTTGGAAGCACATAAAAGGCTTATTAGTGATGAAATAGAGCTAATGGAAGCACTCTGATTTTTTAGTCCATAAATTTAAACCTCCATAGCCTACTACTCTAATACTTTAAAAAAAACATGAATCCTAGCACAATACAAAGGAAAACTGAGAAACTTGCTGAGGTCAACCAGAGGTCAGAACAACAAACATCAGCACTTCCAAAAAAAGGAAGGGTAGATTTCATTACTTTTTAACATATTGCCTACAAATTGTTATGTCAAAAAATGGGAAATGGAAGGATCCAATTGTTCAGTAAATAGGCATTTCCTATTTTGTACACATGTGTTGACCAACCCATTAAAAAAAAAAAAAACTAAATACTTTCTTAAGGCTTCCCTGTTCCACTAATCCCCGCAGTTGTCGAAGAGACCCCAAACTCTGGAGGAAAATGGACTCTTTGACTGCGTAATGTGGAGTACATAGGCTACATTAAGGCAGAAACTTCAGACCACCCCCCAAATACAGAATACATGAAAAGCAGAAAGGATCCTGGCCAGAGCATTAAGTACTGATTCTTTCTGTTTTGAAACTCATTAACCTTTTTTTTAAGTCAAAATAAGCCAGTTATGAATGGATGCAGGACCAATTCTAAGGCTTGTTTAGCAGAGGTGAAAGGAGATATAAATATCACACCAGAAAGATGGGAGAAGATCGTAGGGACATGGAAATGTACTTCTGTGAAATAATATTAAATGTTTGTGACAGAATAATGTCCTTGTCATATATTTCCATCTTGTTCTACTATTGTAGAAGGCTTGAGAGGCTGAAAATGGTTTGAAAATACTGTCTCATTACCTCATCTGGTTTTCCACCCCTGGTAGGATAATACACAACTCTGTATTTTTGCACATTTCCTGGGGAATGAGTCCAGTTAACCATGAAGCTTCTGGCAGTGACTTCAGAAATAATCAGCTCCGTAGGTGGCCCAATGGTGGCAAGGGCTGAGGCTAAATTAAAAAAACACATAAAATGAAGAGTTTTCTGAAAGTTATTTCTTATGAACTTAAAGAGCTCTGTTAGTCAGAAGTGACTGTTGATTTTATGTTACCTCTAAGATTTTCACCTCTAGATCAGTTGATTCAGTTATTCATTCTCCATTTATTCATAGAAACATTTAAGTGTCTATTAGGTACCAACCACTGTGCTCGGTTCTCAAGATATACACTTAAATTAGACATAGTCCTTGATGCCAAGAAACTTTCTCAAAGTCAATACTATAGAACAGCCAAAACAAAAACGAAACTACAACTTGAGCACATTTGTATCTATAGCTACTCTTCTGAGTTCTTCAGAGGTATTATCTCATTTAATTCTCAATATTTAATTATTACTAGAAGCCGTAAAACCAAGGTGATGAAGTTAAAGACTTGCTAATCTTCACATTAGTTAAGTATCAGAGCAAAAATTGATATTGGGCTTGTAGGGGAAATAAAAGCTTATATTATTAAGCATCAGAAATACAGTGTCTATACTTCAGTTCAATTAAGGACCAACATCTAAAAGTAAAAAGAGAAAGCAACATATATTAAAAGCCCACTATGAGCTAGACACTCTATAAGCACTTTGTGTGTGTTACGTACATGTTAGAGTAAATAATTCATTAACAGATTTGTGATATAGAAAGTTTAAAGTCCTTGAACCTTAGGATTCTCTTATCTTCTGGGATCACTTACTCAGAAGGACTTTAGTAACATAATAGTGGAAACACATAGTTATTAAACACCAACTTTGGCCAGAAACTGGTAGGAGTGGCTATATCAATATCAGAAAAAGTAGAATTAAGAGCAAAGAAAATTACCAGAGAAAGAGAGTGACATTACAAGATGATAGTTAGTGTACCAAGAAGACAAAACCTTCTAAATATGTATACAACAAAGAAATATAATGTATATAAAGTGGAAATTGATAGAATTCAAATAGACAAATCCACAATTGTAGATGGAGATTTTAACATCCCTCCTCCTCCATTACTGAAAAGACAACTAGACAAAAAAGTTAGTAAGATTTATCAACCATCAGGATCTATTCAAAACTTACATCACATAAGACTACATATCCTTTACAAACACCCATAGGCCAAATACAAAGATAAATCATATGCTTAGTCATAATACAAATCTCAGCAAATTTAAAACAACTGAAATCATATTCTCTTAGGAGAATAAATGACTCTTTAAAATGTCAACATAAAAAATGGTAAAAACTTTCATTAATCCACCATAGACTTTTTTGTACAGGGTAATAACCACAGGCACAGAATGGATGACTTCTGTCACACTTTTACCTTTGATCTCCTTGTCCTGTTCTTCCACCCTGGAGCAGACCGTCCTGGTCAGGCTCTCCACAACTGTGTGCATCAGGTCAAACTCAGCAACGTTGTAGACATGTGTGCTGTCAGGCTCAGAGGCAATCTCCTGTAGCTCATTCTCATCCGCGTTTTTCACCCCTGGTATTGGAGAGAACAGGGACAGTGGTGACATTCATGCTCCATTTGAAAAGGCAGCTTCTGTTGCCTCGTCTCAAGAGATTCAGCTGGTTAGTCTCCTCTATAACTAAGTATCTGCTCATTTAAAGGGGAATCCATCATGTCAGATAGTTTCTAAAAGTCACATTCAGAATTACTTTTCAATAATTAGATCTTAATTTCATTCAGTATATACTCACAGGAAGATAATCAATGAAATTAATTTCTGTCTTGCATGAATGTTGCAGAATAATAGTAATAAACCATTCTTCTAGACTATCAGGGCTTCAGCTTTAAATCTATAAAATTAATTAAACTGAAAGATACTGTCAGGACAAAACATATGCATATAGTCATTATCATTATTATCACTATATAGCCTTAAGAGGAGGCTTGGAAAATTATAACATACTCAAATGCAATTGGCTAAGACCACTGTGATTTTGCTAACAGAAATGTAGATGCTCTAGTTCTTCCACAACATTTATTGAATTCCAGTACTACAGGTCAAGCTCAATGCTGGATGTTTGGAAGACAGCAGAAACAAAGAGCTTATCCAACATTTCCAGTCTATCTTCACACACTATGTGCTTGCTATATCCAAGCACTGCAGTGCTTTACATCTATAAAAACAGTTAATCCTCACCACCAAACCTATATGTTTGGTGCTATTGTTTCACCCACATTACACGCGTAAGCTGATGCACAGAGAGGCTAATTAATCTGCTCATGGAAACACAGGCAGGTGATCTAACTCCAAAGTCAGGCTTTTAACCCCTATATCATATTGTCTCTTGAAGATTTGCATTAAATGAATATTTACCCAAAAGCAGAAATAGAAAGGGAGAGACATAGGATTGGGTTTTATGGTACATAAATGTATTGGAGGTACTTTTCTCTTAAGCAATCAAGGAGAATTTCTTTATGAATCTCCGTCTTTCCAATCATCTGAGGATGTTAAGAAGAAATTACGGAAGCAGTGAAGATTACCTGGGGCAACATAAATTAATCTTAGATGCCTGCTATACAATTTAATTTAACTTCCAACTTCCACATATTTAGTAACAAAGCAATGGTTGTCTCTGATTATTGGGACCACTGATAATAGCCAATATGAAATGTCTTCAGAACCCTGTTTGGAACTTGCTGGGGCATTTTGACTTGTATCTCAGTGTTGCTTAGGAATCAGACTTTCTTTTTCTGCTGAGAAAGTTTTCCAGTGTCTACTAAAGAGAAAACCTCCCCACTGCCAAAGAAAACGAAAACATTTTAATCAAGAGGAAAGTTGCATCATCTACTATTTTGGAGTTCTGAATTTGCACCACATACATCCTTCCACACAAGAATAATACTTTATTCAGGACTATTTTCAAAGAACTAATACTGCATATCTAGGACTTTTTGCTTTCTTTAAATATAGCCGCAGCACCTTATTCCTTGAAAATGATAAATTAATTCTTCCCTATATTACCAGAGAAGAGAGAGCTGTAAAGTGATACTAAAGAGAAAGTCTTGACTAATGGAAAGGTAACAAGCACCTACCTAGCTTTTGCACACTACTTTATGTTTTTCACATTTTATGTTTGATCGCTCACACTATAGGATTCATGGTGGTAATCTTCACTTCCATTTTAAGGAGTAAGAAGTTGAGCGCAGGTCACATGACTGGTTATGATTAAAGTCAGAACCAGAAAGTCCTTGCTCTCCAGAAGGAGTCCTTCGCCCTACAAATGGTCTTAAGGAGTCTATTTTTACTGTTGAAACATGCCCTAGGTAACACGTACCTATGGCAAACAGTTCTACACCAGAATCGCGAAGGTTTCTGGATGGTGGAATAATATCATCTTGGGACTTTCCATCTGTGATTAAAATGCCAATTTTGGATACTCCAGTCCTTGCTCCTGCTTCTGGTTTAAAGCTATTTTCAAAGATGTAGTTCAAGGCAAGACCTAGAAGAAAACAAGACAAAAATAAACAAAACCAACCATGGCTTATAAAAATTCTTCCAATTCTACAACATGAAACCACAAGAGGAATGACTTTATTGAGAGCTAAGAGAGTTTTTATTACATGTGAACTCTCATCTTTTCTTTTTGCAACAAACTTTTTCTTGACAGATCTGATGGAAGAAGTAAAAATCAACCAGAATAGAGGTAATAACAATAATTAAATTTTGCATCACTTCAGAAATTAATATCATTTATAGAGAAAAAGTCATTCAATCCATGGCCAGAGGAGGCTGACAGGTTTGTACACAAGGAAATTTAAGTCTTTATAAGTTTACGATGAAGAAAGTCAGTCTCAGCTGCAAATATTATCACTATGCTTTCAATTTTGTTCATCGTGTTCTAAAGAATTAAAAATTCTTTCCTTTGCTCTAATTTTTTAGGAGTTGTGTGGGCAGCTTTAACGTGGTAATTGAATTTCTACTTTTTGAGTGTGCTACTTTTCACCCAGAAAAAAATAAGAAATGTTGCAATATTATAGGATATATGTTTAATAACTCTTTGTTGTATTAACAAGAATTTCATTAGCTTATGCCTCAAGCGGGGGATTGATCAGATTTTAGTGATCTGTTTCATCAGCATCTACATTGTTTAAACTGAGCACCCAGGGACCTCTCTGGTGGCACAAGGGATTGAGCACAGCACTATGAAGCAATCTACAGGCTCTGCAGCATGAGTTCGATGGCTGGATGGCCAGGGAGCAACCCACATGGCACAGCAGACCTCTCCTGTCTCGCCTGCTGCTTCCCTCAGCAGTGTATTTCTACTATTCTACTCCCCACTCTGTCTCTGGTGAATCCTCTCACCAACCCTCATCTCTGCCCTGTACACAGCTTTTGTATGCATAATAAATCCTTAAAAAAATTTTAAAAATATTAATAAACTGAGCACTCACATGGTGTGCCTGGAAGGAAACGGAATGTAGTGAGGTTAAAGTCTGTGCTGTCTTCCTGTCTTCCTTGATTGAGAATTACAATCTAAATATTCTTACATTACTCCTTTATCAAAAATAGCAGTGAGCCAAAGATTCACAAATATTTTCATGATAACTAATAATTGCAGAAAAAGGGCCAAGAAAATACCTTGGAAATAAAGTAGAGATAAAGTAGACATTTGCTTTCACTTAGATGCAGGGTGGTTGGAGGAGAAAAGAGGTGAAATGAGAGGAGGGAAAATGAACTGACAGGCTGAAACGGCTATGGAAGGGTGTCAGCCTTTAGGCTTGCTCAGTTTTCTTTCAGCCCAGGAAGTCACATCATATTCACCTGGGAAAAGGAATGAGATGTCTGGGTTTTAACTCTTGGAGTCGAGTTTGGGGTAAGTGTGATCTAAGAATTTTAAAGGCTAGCTGGGTTTTAAAAAGCGCTATCCTAAGGCTTACCAAGTGGCAAAAGAAATGATGACTCATCTTTATGATCATTAAGATATGTGGCTAAAACTCAGACTGAACAAAACATACCTGTTAGTGTATTTCCTCCCTTGTATGGGAGATTGCGGACAGCCTCGATCACCTCATCTTTTGTGCTGAAAGCATTCAAGTGCCATTCTATCCTGGGGTCACCGCTGTACTGTGCAAGACCTGGAAAAGAAAGATGAGAAGCCCCCAGAAAAGCCATGTGTTACTCAACGATCTAGTGGGCTATTCTAGAAAATAAAATGATGAAGGATCTAATCCTTATATTTTCTTCTCTGGCTTACTATGTGCTTTCAAATAGAATTCCTAACATAAATTTAAGGAATTAGTTTGGATATATGTGGGGGCAGGAGGAAAGTAAACAGTTTCTAGTCATTTAGAAGTAAACATCCAATTGGATACCTGGCAGTTCAAAAACAGATCTGATCATGTTTGTAGGTAACAAGCCTTGATATGTTTGTTTTTATTTCAAAGGAATGATTTTTCTTTTAATGGCTATTTCCTATTAATGACTATTTAAAAGTTAAATTATAGATCTTTATATAACAAAGTGGATATATGATCAAAGATTAACAATATTTTTTTGCTTTTTATTAGAAATAATTTAGCAAAGATTATCTTGAACTAAAACATGACTACCTAGTTCTAATTTTCTTAATTCAACATTTCAACAGATTCAACTGTTTCTTTTAAATGAAAACTTCTTCCTGATAATTTCTTATACCAACTGTAACTTTAAGAGTTTCATTACTGCTACTATGATTATTATGCAGAGATTTTGACTTTTCAGAAAATCAAAATGCGTTCAATAATGAACTGAATGTCAGTGTCAAGACAAAATTAGTAGAAATATTTATCAATCTAAACTGGAGCATTTGGGAACATCACTATATGGATCTTATTGTGTGGAAAGTCACTTTGGAAAGAGCTTTTGAGATTTCTCAAGAAATTTTCCAGGGACCTCCCTGGTGGTGCAAGGGGTTAAGGAATGCACTATGAAGCAATCCAAAGCCTCTGCAGCATGAGTTCAATCCCCAGGGAGCTACCCACATGGTACTGTGGACCTCTCCTGTCTCTCCCACTGCTCCCTTCAGCAGTGTATTTCAGTGGATCTGCCTGTTCTGCTCCCCACTCTGTATCTCGTGAATCTTCTCACCCCCCCACATCTCCAGCCTAAACTCCAGCTCTTGTATGCATAAATAAATAAATCTTAAAAAGAAAAATTTTCCAGCAGTTTTACACCAAGAACTGAATCCTGTCCCTAAGAGATGTACCAATACGTGTCTTCTCTGAGCCCACGTTGAAAGCTGTAACTAGGTTTTCTAAGAAAAGCCGAACCAATCTGAAGTTGAATCTTCCAATACTCCAGGAACCATCAACCAGGATGACAATATCAGCAATAGCTGGAGTTTCACAGAAAAACTTCACTTCTGTAGAGTACAAACCAGAAAAGCAAGTATGATACTTTGGAAACTTTTAAAACAATGAGTCTATTTTAATGTCTTTCAGATAGTTTAGTGCTAATACAATAAAATTCCCATTAAGGCAACCATATTTTTACAACCCTTCTCTTAAATGTATTTTTACAAGGAAAAATTTTGGTAACAGTCAGCCCCAGAGGCAGTGTTCTGGAAATAGTTAGCAAAACACTGGCAGGTTCACACCCTCCTGGCAACTCAAACCTTCTGGTATTTCAGAGAGTAGTGTCTGTGCAAAATCATCCAGCTTTGCATTTTAGCCTGCAGATTCTTTTCAGGAAAGGCCTTAGCAACACCAATGTGGGAGAGTCAGCAGAGATGGGAAGATAGCCAGGAAGCTCTCCTGCTCTGATAAGTCTGCTGCAGGAAGTGATAGGAGAGAAACACAGGCTTCCTGAATTCAAGGAAAAGTCAGTGCCCTGCGGAGATCTTTGCTGAAGTGGGAAGAAGCAAATCAAAAAAGAACCCAAGACCTTCCCCCAATTCAAATTCTTTTAGTTACAAATCTGTTGACAGTAACATTTTGTTCCTAAAAATCATTTAAGTAATTGATTTTTAAAATGGCTCAGTTAGGTCTCAAAATAGGGATCTAGAAAAGGACATCTAGAACTAGTAGCACTACTCTAACTTTAGGATTTTTTTTCCTTTTTTTTTTAATTGAGATAGCAGTGGTTTACAGCTGTATATCATTGAAGGTTACACATCATACGCCTTTTCAGATAAATGTCATTATCCCATCCCTGACACCAAAGCCCCCACAGTCCTCCAGCACAGCCCATTCCACAATTTGCTCCCCTAAACTTTACCTTCAGGGAAAGCTCCAGCAGCTGCTATCAGGATTGATGAGCAGGGGAACCCACAGAGGGGGAACTGGCTGATGATATAAAGTATTAACTGGGTGATAACCACTGCTTGCGTTCATAGAACCAAGGTACTAAAATATTCCTAAAACATTTAAGAATTCTTAAAAATTTCAGAGTATTGTTAGTCCCTGTAGTAGCAATAATTTGTACTTTAGCTTGTGCTAAAGAGGAGAGCTTAAATGCACTGAAATTTTATTTTAGGCCTAGAGATCATGTGTGTGTGTGTGTGTGTGTACATGTACATGTACACACATGCATGCATCCCTTCGTGTTCATTTCAACTCCTTGAAACTGTTCAGCAAATACCTAGTTTTTTTCTAACATCACATTGACAATAAAGTATTTCAAATATAACTTTTATAGTGAACCCCAAAATATGGAAGTATTCATAAATAAATGGAATATATTGTTTTCCTAAGGGAAAAATATTTAAATGTCTATAGTTTATTATATCTCTGCACTTACCAGGCCACATTTTACCAAACAGACCTTGGTTTTTTCCTAGACAAAACTGCATGGAATACCTAGATCCTTTTACCAGATGGGGAAAAATGTATTTGCCAATGAAATACTCAGATACTCAGTAGGGCAGCTAAGCAGAACAGTTCAATCCAAAGTTTACATATTACATGTGTGGGCACCAACTTGTCTTTCTTTAATATAACCAAATACAAAGTCGCCCCCAATCCTACTATTTTAAAACAGAATAATGCAGGAAATTATAGGATAGAAATGAATTTGTTTTTTAGAAATATTCAAGGAAAAATGACGTCTTATAAAGCTTTAAGAACCCATTTATCACAACTTTGATAAAGAAACTTACCTCAAATGAAGAGTAGTTTTCCTTCTCCCAAAATTATTGGGAATATTATTTCACTTTTTAAATAATTATTTGGATAATTGTGGATAGGGTCTCAGAAAAGGAGCAACTTCTCTGTGCTTATTTAAAAGAGAACCATAAAAATTGGTGTTTTCTTTAGGGTTTTTTTTTTCTCATGAATAACTTAAAAATATTTAATATCTTTAAATTTATTTTTTAATTTATAACCACATGATTTCTATCTTAGAGTGGAACGGTTACATATGAATTTTATGGTTACTGATCAAAATGACTTGAATGAGCTAAATGAAATTGGATACAATTTTAAAGTAGGATTTCATGAGTCAAAATGTTTTCAGTCCTAGGTGCTTATGTGAAAAACACATAAACCACTAATTTTTTTTTTGCTGTTATCCAGTTTGTTAAAATTTTATTTTTTTTAATTTTCTTTTTATTTATATATTTTTACATAATTGTTTATTTTTAAACAATGTTTGCTCCCCGCCCCCGTGTAGTCCCCACAGAATTTACTTCACCAATGCACCCCTGCACCATCACCTCAGTCCCCTGTGCTCCTCCCTCCCTCCCTCTGATCCCTCTCCCTCCTCCTCCCCTGCAGGATGTCTCTAAAAACCACTAATTTGAAGGGATAGATGCACTCCTATGTTCACTGAAGCTTTACTTACAATAACCAAGTTATGGAACCAGCCAAAGCGCCCATGGATGGAGGGATGGATAAGAAAAATGTGGTACATGCACAATGGAATAGTACTTATCCATTAAAAAGATGAACTTTTGGGCCTCCCTGGTGGCGCAAGAGGTTAAGATGCAACCTATGAAGCTATCTCCAGCCACTGCAGCACGAGTTCGATCCCCGGCCAGGGAGCTACCCACATGGCGCAGCAGACCTCTCCTGACTTGCCTGCTGTTCCCCTCAGCAGTGCATTTCAGGCAATCTGCCTGCTCTGTTCCCCACTCTGTCTCTGGGGAATCCTCTCACCCCCCACACCTCTGGCCTGTACCCCACTTCTTGTATGCATAAATAAATAAATCTTTAAAAAAAAAAAAAGGGCCTCCCCAGTGGCGCAGTGGTTGAGCACGGGGTTGCGAAGCTGCCGGCAGCCTCTGCAGCGCCGGTTTGATCCCCGGCTGCAGGCGAGGGTCCTAAATGTCGCGAAGACCTCTCCTGCCGCCCGCTGCTCCCCTCAGCAGTGTACTTCATCAGTCTGTCTGTTCTGCTCTCCGCTCTGGCTCTAGTGAATTCTCTCACCCTCCCATGCTTCCGACTGTACCCAGTGCTTGTATAAATAAATCAATAAATCTTTAAAAAAAAAAAAAAAAGATGAACTTTTACCATTTGCGGCAACACGGATGAAACTAAAGGGGATTATGCTAAGTGAAATAAGCCAAAAAAAGAAAGACAAATACTGGATGGTTTCACATATATGAATATAGAGAAACAAAACAAACAGTCAGATAAAACCACACCAATAACAACCCTAGAAAACTGACTATGGAATCAAGCTTGAAAGGGAGAAGGGGAAACAGTGTGTGAGGGGGGAGAGGACAATGGTCTAAGGCTGCCTTGGTGGTGGGTGTGGTGTGAGGATGCCCACTGAGGAGGTGTGACCCTATGCCTCTGAGTCCCGATCAATATTATAAAACAATGTCACCTCAATAAAAATAATTCTTCTGTCCACATAATTCACATTTCCAGCAGGGCACTAGAAAAATGCGCCATGATGACAGCTCAATGGAATATGACCTCTTCTCCCTGGCACACCACTAATTTGAGAGAGTGGATGACATTTTTAGGAGTCAGACATTGAGCCAGGTTTACCTGTCTTCCTAGAAATTTTCCCAATGCTGGATGCTAATCTGGATAGAAGAGAAGCCTATACTATTTTACTCACATTATTTTATTAAGTGGTCAGAAGATCTCATGATGATTTCAGGTCTGCTCTATGATTTATTTAGTGGCTTTGAATTATTTTTCTCTATGCCACTAGCAAAATATCTAGCTAGGTTATTCATGATGTCAAAAGAGAAACTGTGGCCACAAAACCATTTTTCACTTAAGTCTCCTGTGAGGTCAAGTTCAAGTCTCCAAACCAACAGCAAAACAAAACTGCTAAAAATGGTGCAAAACTACTGGAAGTTGGCGTCCAACCTTGACATTGGCCACATCACTGAAAATACATCTTTTAAAAGAGTTGTCGAAGAGCCTAAAAGTTCTCAAGTGTTTTTCAATACACTACACATCCTGATTCTTACACCATTCCCATAAGGAGTCGTTATTTGTCCTCGTTTTTTAGGAAATAAAATTGAGATTCAGAGAGACAAGTGAAAGGCTCAGTGGTTTATGAGCAGAAGCTGTAATTGGTAGATGCAGGACTGGATACCAGGTCTTCTAAATGCTTGCTCCATAGGCCTTGTTCAGTAGATAGTGCTATCACAGCTGCAGTTGTCCTCACATAACACATCGGGGAATGTCATCTGTCCTCTGGGACAATGCCATAAGTTGTCTGTCTAGCAGATGTGGAGCAAGGTCTGTATTTGGAGTTCATGTAAGTCACAAAGAGCATGCTACTGTTTTGTTCAGTCATGGGGAAGACAGACCTTTCATCCTGAGATGACTACTCTATCTAAAGCAGCTCTCCCAACCCCTCTTCCTTTATTATGCTTAATTTTTCTTCACAAAACCTCCTAGAAATATCCTCTACAACACAAAGTTGATTTTGTGTCAACTTTGACCAGACATTGGGTCAAACATTATCCTGAGTGTGTCCGTGTGGGTGTTTCTGGAGAAGGTTAGCATCTGAGTCTGTAGACTTAGTAAAGCAAATGGCCCTCCCTGAGCTAGGTGGCCCTCACCTACCCACTGAAGGTCTGAGTAAGAGAGAACTGCTCTTCCCTCCTCTTTGAGCTGAAGGATCAGTCTCTTCCTGCCTTCAGATTCAAACAAACACTGAATCTCAGGTCTGCCAGTTTGAGACTGGAACTTCCATCTTCATCACTCCTGGAACTCAGCCCTTTGGACAGGAACTGTAACCACTGGCTCTTGTGCCTGCCGACTGCAGAGGTTGGGAATTCTTAGCCTCCACAATCCCATGGAGGTTATAATATGATAGGCCATATATTATATATGATATATATTATATATATAATATTACTATATTACATGCTATCTTGGGCTTGACAGGGCTTGGCAGTCCTACCTTCCCTCCTTCCTTCCAAATATTTTCCTTCTGTGATAGGAGTTTACTGGCACAGTAGCTAAATAAATCATGGGTACTTAAGGCTGTTTCCATAACTTGGTTGCTGTAATATTATATAATATATCATTATATATATTACACATATTATAATAAGTCAATAATATGACTATTTATACAGTAAACAGTAATTTATTTATTGACTATGGCAGATGCTTTTTATTGCCTTTTTTTTCCCTTTGCAACAAGGAGATTAGTGACTTCTTTTGTCAGATACTTTGCATATATCTCTCCCACTTAAGCCTGTTATCAATCCCGTAATGTAGGTATTATTCTCACTTCAAAAAGGAAAGTTTAAGTAACGAGAAAGGTTAAATAAACTGCCCATCATCACACGCAGAGCATGTGGGAAAGCTGGAATTCAAATTCAGGACTACTCCAAAATCTGAACCCTTTCGTTACTGTGCCAATAAACTCCTATCACAGAAGAGAAATGTTTGGAAGGAAGGGGAGGGGAGAGAAAAGGGGGGAGCGAAGGAGGGAAGGCAGGCAGGCAGGAAGGCTGAGTTTTGTAATTAAAGATAGCATGTAATTAAAGTCACCCACTTGTCTTATATCCAACCTCAGATGAATAACATCATGACAACTTGCGGGCATGTGAAGTCAAATCTCTGCAACACAGCCAAAAGAGCATTTCAGCTGTCACTCAAAGCCCTGCATCTTACCAGTCACTGCCAATACCCAAACACCACATTTGTCACATTTCTCCTCTGCTCATAAACTGTAAGGGACAAGGGGGAGACATGACAGCTGTCTTCAAATATTTACAGGGCTATCAGACAAAGGAGGATTAAGATGTTCTGTATGTTCACAAGGAAATATATTTCAACTCAGTTCAAGAAAGCCCTTCTTGACAGTCAAGATGTCCAAAGACCACTGACTTGGTAAGTGGTGAGATCTCTGCCAATGAAAGAAAAGCTGGTCAGCCCTCAGTGGCATGAATGAAGAGCCTCCACGATCCTCTTAATGGGTCAACAATGAATGGAAGAACCCTGGCTCATTTGAAGAGTATAAATTTGAACGCCTAATACATAATGGACACTGGTCCGTGATTATGAATTCTCAAGGGGACTGTTCCCCCGACTCAGTGCACAGATATAAACAGAGGGTCTCCCTCACATTCTCCCTGTGTCAATCAATGAGAAGAGATTTTCTAGTTGACCTAGTGTTGTTGCTGGTACATGTCAACTGCCTAGATAATAACAATTACAATCATAATGAGAATAAGGAGGGGGAGGAAAGAAGTAGAAGAAAAAAGAAAACAATGATGAAAGAGAAGAAGGAAAAGAAAAGAAACACTAAATATTTACAGACCACACTCTGGGCCAGGCATCCTTCTAAACCTTTCAATCCATGAATTTCAGCCCACGACCTGATCCCAAAGTCCAATTAGGACCAAATTACTTCCTCCCCCTCACTTCTAAAAGTCAAGATCTAGCCAGCATTGACCTACAAAGCCTACCTGTCCCCTATGTGTTAATTGTTATTCTGACTCCTGCCTCATAGAAATTGAATTTTCCCACCAGTCCCATTCTTACCAAACTGAACTCACAGTCTTAGGCTTGGCAGAGCAAAGACTTAGAATAGTGATGGAAAATGTGTGAAATTTTAAATTGGTCTTTTAACTGTGAACCAAGAATCCTAAAAGTATTAATGGGAAGTAAATAATTCCAGTAAGTGAAAATACACTTTGAGAATAATTATGTGTCTTGGTTCTGCTCAGCTGTAAGGGCTGGACATAATTCAAAAAGGGTTTTTCTTTAATAGGGTGCATGTGTTGAGACCTTACTGGATCATGTACATCTCATGAGGGTAGAAGCATGCTTTCTGTGATCACAAATGACTAACTCAGAGCTTAGCACAAGGGGCTCATCACCAAAATTCCTCTCTGCATTTATTGTTAAATGAATAAAATAAAAAATGTTGTTCTGAGTGCATGACTTCATGCAAACTATACAGTCTAATACTAACAGCAAATACTTATGTAAGCACTTGCTATGGTCTAAAAACCTTATTCCTTATTACTCAGCATTTAAAAAAGATAAACACATGCAATTTGCAGCAACATGGATGGCGCTGGAAGGGATCATGCTCAGCGAAATAAGCCAAAAAGAAAAAGAAAAATACCGGATGGTCTCACTCATAGCAGGAATCTAGAAAACTTAAATAAGGGACCAGGAAAATGAATATAAGAAAGTGAAAATCAAAATCAACAAAAAACTATGAACCAGAGACACTTTTTGGGGGGTGGGGGGCGGGAGGCGAGGGATTGGGGTCAGAATGGGGGGGCTGTAATTGTATGGGGAATATAAAAATAAAATTTATTATTTAAAAAAAAAAATAAAAACCTTATTCCTATTCATACATTTCATTCTCACACTTTTGAGAATTCTCATGTTTCAGGTAAAAATATATCAACTTCAATTGTAAAAAGCAATATAAAGGATGAACTTTTGTGTGAGGAGCCAGAGGGGAGCGGAGAAGTTCACCCAAGATGCTGGCCAGTCCCAGTAACACAGTGTCTGAATGCATACGACAAATTAGAAAACTTTAAACATTCTAAAGGAAAGATCAGCAAACTTTTCTGAGAAAGGCAACATAGAAAATATTTTCCTTTTTGCAGCCCAACGATCTGTATTACATCTGCTCTGCTCTGATATTGCGGTAGAAGAGCTACAGATAATATGCAAAGGAATGAGCGTAGCTGTGTTTTAATAAGATCTTATTTAGAGGCGAGGCAGACCTCTCCTGTCTCGCCTGCTGCTCCCCTCAGCAGTGCCTTCGGTCCGTCTGCCTGTTCTGCTCCCCGCTCTGTCTCTGGTGAATCCTCTCACCCTCCTGTGCCTCTGGCCTGTACCCCAGCTCTTGTATAAATAAAAATCAATCTTTAAAAAAGATCTTATTTAGAAATCAGACAGAGGCTTGGACTTGGCATATGGGCCAGAGTTTGCCATAAAATGCGAAGACTGGGACTCTCCTCTTATCTTCTCATTGAAGAGAACTTTTTTAAAAATTCCACTGAAAGGCAAAAAGAGGGTCAGAGATCTTAATTGAAAAACCATTAAGAGAAAAAAAAACAGACTTTCTGCTACTTTTTCATCTGTCTCATAATCTTTTTCAATCAGGTTTTGCATTCTTGAGCAAAACACCAAAAATAGCTGGAGCTGTTTGGCCAACAAAAGAGAAATAGTCATTGATGCAAATGTGCCAATATTATGCCCAAAGGCAAATACCACTTTTGTTTGGGAGTTTGTTTTGGATTATTGAAGAAATATGTACAGTAGATTGAAAACAAAGTAACTATTTAATAGCACAGCAACTTCAGTTAAGGAGCTTGGTTCTTTACATTTACACTAATTCTAAACTATGTGAAATATGCCTGATTCTATCTGAGCCACCATCAATGTAGACTCTTATACCAAAAAAATTGTAGATTGTAAGGAAAACAAAGAGCAGCATAGTTTGACATGAATCATGGGAGCGACACCTCTTGGAAGAGGGACTATAGCAAGTGGTGCATTGCGGTTGGGTGGGGAAGAACTTTTTATCCCCAAGATCCCATTAATGACCCCCTACTTCCTCTTGGGAGCCCTCGCTCTATGCTGTATTGGCACCATTGCTTAAAACTCATTTTTTTTTAAATATTACATTTATTGAGGTAATCCTGGTTTACAATACTGTGCATGTTTTAGGGGTTCAGGGTCACACTTCTTCAGGGGGAGAGTCCCACAGAGCCCAGCAGATGTTGACATTGTGTGGAGAGACTGCAATTGGACAAGGGTCTACGAGAAGGCCACAGGGTTAGGCAGCAGTGACTGCTGTGAAGTGAGGGAGCTGGGTGGGTTAGCAGCCTACATGGAGCCTTTGATGTCTTGTTAAGGATTCTGACCTCCGTTCTTAGAGTAGTAAGAAGCCACTGAAGGGGATTTAAGGTGTGTAGAGAAGAGCAAAAGTGGGATTTGTCTTGAAAAAATTGTTCTAATGTCTAAGTAGAGAACAGGGGAAATGCTGCTAATATTATATACCAGGAACGGGACATCAGGTCTGAATACTGGCCACAGATGTGGAAAGAAATGAACAGATTCTCATCAGTATTTCAACAGAAGATAAATTCACTGGAACTTCGTGGAGTCTTAATTGCAGGAGAGTAAGGAAGAAGGAAATGTTGGCCGTCATTACTAGTGAAAAAGGAAGGCAATTGTGAAAAGGGAGATTTTTGTACCAGATCTGTGTCTCTTTCATCTACAGTGATATAGGTGTGTGTATTGTCTGTGAATTTAAAATAATAAAATAATTCAATCCCCAAATAAGCAAATTTTTTAAAAAACTGACCTTCTGAGGATGATCTACTTCCATTTCCTTTGTCCACAACCTTAACTCTGGGTTTTGTGTCCTTTCTTTTTTCTAAATCGTTAACTGGAAGAAAAGCAGAAACACAGCAATGTGCATGTTAACATGTATATTAAAGTCAAAAAGAAAATTTTTCATGTGCTTTACTAAAACCTGACAAGTATTGAAAATACTAAGTAGAAATGAACTCCATGGTAGAATCTTATTCCTCCAAATTGGATATGTTGTTTATTTTTCCCCTGGTCATGGAAAATTGTGGGAAATAGTTATGGAATTACTTTGATGAAGGATTTACTATAGATTGATATGTCAAATAAATTTAATCCTTATACCTACCATAAAATGGGTGTGGGGATCCCTATTTTACACGAGAGAACAAAAGACTGGATGCTACATAATTAAAACATATCTCATAAAACCAAAGTGCAGGCACAAGATTCAGGCTATTTCTTCAGGGCCCTGCGCAACACTAGAGACTTGAAGATATGAGCTGAACTGACCCTATTCTAAAAAGATCTTAGCCACAAATATCCTCATTTGGAATTGTTCTATATGCCATGGAAGGCGGATAATCTCACGATTTCCTTTCAAATTTCTAAGTTTCTCTACTAATACACATCCCTGTTTCCTTGTCACTTCCATTATGAAATATCCAGGGATCCAGAGTGCCCCTGGGCCTGAAATATATTCATGTAATATGTTCTACACTATTTGCTTCACCTTCTACTGAATTTTCTGCTCAAAACTCCACTGCAGCTTCCCTGCTATTGTCTGGCACTTCATACTACGTGAGTCAGTTGAGACCACTGCCAAGTAGCAAAGGTTTCTGCACAAATAAAAATACCCTTTGAAAAAGTGTAAGTTATCCTGTGGCAGGAGATTTCATTTCATGGTTACATTCACTTCATAGAGACCAACAAGAGTGGACTATTTAGGGGAAGCAAAGATTTCCTTTGAACCATCCTTCCTGCCTTCTCTAAGACATTTTTCCATTAATCCTGTGTTTATCACAACCTCCCTTCTTTCCACTGGCTTCCATCCTTTGCTGAAAGGATGTGAGACTTGCCATCTGCCAAGATCATGTTACTCTAATTCTATTATTCCTCTCCTTAGAAACCTTCCTTGGATTTCTGGCACCTAGAGATCAAATTCCAAGATTAAAAAAAAAACAATAATAATAAATACAAGATGCCTTGATTCTTCTATGCTCACTGACTTTCTACTTTTCTAAATTCCTATTTTTTAGACCTCCCTCACTGACTTCATGATCTGTGATTACTCTGGAACACCCCCTTTATTAAATTCTTTCCCTTCCCAGTTTTTACAAAGGGATTCCTTGGGTTTTCTTGTATTCCTCTGAGCCTTTCATTGTTCTTATTTTTTGGATCCTTTTTCTGCTTCCATTCCTGGAATGTGATCGTATACTAAATGTGCCTTGCATCTCTGTACAACCCACTTGTAATATGATCCTGCTACAATTTCAATTCTCACCCTGCTGTGGATAATTTCCAAATCTACTCCTTCAGCCCCACCCAACATAGGACAAGGCCTCAAACTGCTTATATTCTGCAAAAGAAAGGCTACCTCCAGGAGGAAGGAATTGTTATAGTCATGAGTTATTAGAAATTAAGAACCATGGGGACAGGAAAGTGTCATATTCCCAGTGTTTAGAATAGAACTCCATATGAGCAATGCGTATTTGTTAAATAGAAAAAAAGTGAATGAATGTCCCCTGAAATGCAGAATAAGCAAAGCTTGTGTAAACAACTTTTAAACTCAACTTAAGGAAAGGCTTTCTAATGGAAGATGGGCTGCAAGCTGACAATAAACATTAACTAATTAATTTGGGGAAAAAATTAAATTCCTTGCTGTATGAATTGTCTGCATACAAGCTGGATTGGCACTTGCTGGGATACGCAGGCATCATCAGTTGGGTCATTTCATAAGTATTGACTGAGCATATATTAAGTGTTGGGTTGATAAGAGGTCTGGGGAAGGATCAGGGGACAGAGTCAGGAAGAGCCTTTGAAAAGTAAAACTCAAAGAATAAATAAGAGTCTGGTGAAAGGAAGAGCAGAAAAATATTAGAAATTGAAGTAACTCATGAAAGATTGTACTAAAAGCCTTTTAAAATCCTCTAAAACTAAAGAATCTAAGGTTTTGACCTGTTGCAACCATGTTTACCACAGGCTCACACTCAGAGCTGGGACAAAGTCCTGTGATGGAACATTAAGATCTGCAAATACGTACTTCTGAATTGGCCTTGGGCAGGCTTGCTTTCTTTGTCTTTATTGTATGCAATAATTTGAACTGTGTAATTCTGGTCTGGCATAAGACCTTGAATAATTGCTTTAGTTGCAGTATTCTGGAGGTTCAATTGATTGGTTTTTCCGCCTGTAATAAAACAGAAAGATAAATCAGTTCTGGGAAATAGGTTAACTATGCATTAAGCAATGAGTTGACCAGCAATCAAGGTTTTAAAAAGTGAAGACATTAAAATATATATATTATGGGGGCTCCCGGTGGCGCAGCGGTTGAACGCTGGGTTGCGAAGCTGTCCGAGGCCTCTGCAGCGCTGGTTCAATCCCCGGCAGCCTCCAGGCGAGGGTCCACATGGCGCGCAGACCTCTCCTGCCGCCCGCTGCTCCCCTCAGCAGTGTACTTCATCGCTCTGCCTGTTCTGCTCCCTGCTCTGGCTCTGGTGAATTCTCTCACCCTCCCGCACTTCTGACTATACCCAGTGCTTGTATAAATAAATAAATAAATCTTTAAATATACATATATATATATGTATTATGGTGCATATATGGGTGGAACTTAATTGTAATATAGTTTTCATTCTCATTTTCAGTTGTACTATTTGTACTAGACAACATAAAGAGTTATTTCGATTAGATAAAAGCACATTCACAAAAATCCTTCACCACAACACACCATTGTTTGATACTCTGAGACAAACCATTGCACAAGATTAGAAGACAGAAACCCTCAAAATCAGATATACTCTTCCAGGAAAGTAATTCAGTTAAAAGTGAAGAGAAACATAGGGGCAGACTGAATGTACTCATCTATGCTGGAATTTTTTCTATGGTACCTCTAAAGTGAGTCAAAGCATCCTTGAAGCATTAAGCAACTTAATTATCCTGAATCTTACTATCTCTGGCTTGGGATGATGATGGAACCTCTCATTGCTTTGCTACTTAAAAGTTAGCTTGGTTCATGAAAAGATTTCAAAGCCCCATTATTTCTTCAGCAAATTAGAATGCTGTCTAAGGCTTCCTCAAGAATGCTGTTGATTAAATTCTCTGCTTCTGTGCAAAATTCCAAATATACTTTTCTCCTCTAATTTCTGGCAGTGACTACATCTGACAAAAGGGAAATTAATTAAGATGTCTGTCTCTCTTATAATAACAGCAAAAAGTGTCTGTAATGTGCTAATTAATCAAGCATAACACATATTACAATAAATTTTCATCATATTCTAATGAAATTAATAATGGTAGGTCTCAAATGGGATGCTGATCTCATCACACCACCTGCTACTAGAAAGTAGTGGCTAATCCTCTAGATAATACAGCTGATTATTTTTACCTGAAGTTGGAGTCACGAGAAGTTTGTATCCACCAAATTTCCCTCTTGGAGCCTTCCATGAAATCTGTACACTATCATGAGATAACACATTGTATCTTAACCGTGTAGGTGGGGCCACTGAAAAGGAAAAAAACAAAAATTGTTTAAATATGGAGACATATTTAAACTGTTAAATTGAAAAGTTAAAGTAATATCATCAAAACACATGACACTTTTTCAATCTCAAAATAAAAGCTTTCTCCAACCCCATTCATGAGTTTACCTCGCAAAATAACACAGACCCAAGAGCATGTGTTTCTTTATTAATTAGCATTTGTGACAAAGTACTGACCAAAGACTACGAGTTAGGCTTAGCATTTAATACTCTAGTCCAGTCAAATAATTGAAGTCAATCTTGTAAAATGTATGTTGCAAGAATGAATGTTTCTAATTAGAATATGTGAGCTTTTATAATCTACTCCACTAGGACCTCTGATGCCTTCAGATTTTCTCTCTAGTAATGCACTATTTTTTGCAATATGTTAATTTAAGAAGGCTGTTTACAGACATATTATAATAATAACGTCTTCATTTAAAAAAAGTATTTGAAAATGAGACTACAAAAGATCAAAATAAAAAGGTCTAAATAGAAGATAATGGTATTTTATAAATTTTGATCCCTCCTTTAAGTGTAGTTGATGTGAGAAAGTCACACAGAAAGTTACATAGCCCGGGACATGAACCATCCCTGTATACTTCATTTTCTGATAACTAACAAAAATGGGTAGATCTCTATTACTTTTCTGTCATTCAAACTTAAAAACACATTTTGGAACCCCACATCAGTGTTCCAGAGTTTCAAAAGAAATACTTTAGTACAAAGATTTTTTAATATAAAATTGTTTGTCAAAAAGAAAATTAACACAACAAAAAAGTGAGTACTTATTAGCCACCTTTGTGCCCAGCCTTTCTTTCTCACTTAACGAAACACAATGGGGAGAACTTCACTTATATAGACATGTAGCAGACTACAGGGTGGGGCCCAGACTTTGAGCCCAGTTCTGTTTTTTATTAGAAAAATAACTTAAGTAATTGATTGTTTCTCTCAAAGTCTCACCTTTAGAAATGGTGGTAATACTTTGATGACAACTTTAAGTGGGAAAATGAATATAATGCATTGTAGTAGGTGGTTAATAACTCTTTGCTCCTTTTCCCCTTGATTTCATCTATTAGGTGATCACCAACACATATCTAATCCTACAAAACACATACCTAATCTTACAAAAATGCATTGCTATCCCAGTTTATAGATAGGAGGATTAAGGAGGGGCTGAGACACTTGCCAAATTCACATACTGATGAGTGCCATTCTGTGACCCCCAAACAAGATGCTCTTTCTTTGGGGGAACAATACATATTAAAAAGTCATCCTTCATTGAACTAGATAATTGAGTGATTTATTTTTCACACACCACCCACTCATTTGAAAGCAGCAAGCACCAAAGGATTCACTCTTAATAAGTCCTCTCTTTGCAATTTACTCTCTCTCAGTAAAGAATGCTACCCCTGCCAAATAAAACATCAACTTCCCACTCTCACTTTGGCATACATAGAAAAAGGCATTTACATTTCTCTGGTATACAGGGACTCATGAATTGATCATAAAAACAGTTTTGAAAAATAAAAGAGGAAAGTGAATAAACCTATCACTTGGATGAACAGAGAAACAATTTCTATTTTGCAACTTGGGGAGAAAATTTTATTTGTAGTTAGATTTATTACTTATGGAAGAAAATAAATATATTTAATTAAATATATCAAATATATCAAATAAAAATTTCATAAAAATCAATTAGGCATTTCTGAGGCAAATCTAGTGAAGGGCTGGAAGATATCATTGGCCAAGTGTCTTGCAAAGCTTCACATGAATGAATGCAATGACGAGAGAAAGTCCAGGAACCATGAAGTGGAAAATACCACAAACCGGATGAAGGCTTTGGACTAGATAATTTCAAGAGGGTCAACCAATTCTGTCAGCATTGGCGCGTTGTCATCTCAAGGATGGCAAAGAAGTTAACATCAGGATTCCTAGATGGAAGATTAGAAGTCCATACAGCTTTTTCTCCCCCAGGCTACAGTTCTAGAAATGTGGTGAGTTTTCAGTCTGCACCATTTGTAAATGTCTAATCCCTTATTTATTTATTAAAGATTTATTTTATTTATTTATGCATATAAGAACTGGGGTGTAGGCCAGAGGTGGGGGGGTTTTAGAGGATTCACCAGACAGAGTGGGGAGCAGAACAGGTAGATCTGTGAAATACACTGCTGAGGGGAGCATCGGGCGAGATAGGAGAGGTCTGCTACGCCATGTGGGTTAGGTCTTTGGCCAGGGGTTGAACTCATGTTGCATTGGCTGGCAATAGCTTGATAGCACTGAGACTTTAACCAAAGTGCCACCAGGGAGGTCCAACAGCTAATCTTTTAAACCTCCAGCAGATAATACAGAGGATGACACTGACCATGTCCTGACACTAGGGCTCTATCAGCACAATTGGTAGCACTGGCTACCATTCAACTACACAAGGAAAGTAGTGGGAAGCAAATGCAACAACCAAATCCATCAATATCCAAGTGGCTTGACAATCTGCATATGATTCATATGGCTATAATCCCATTTCATAAGCCTGTGTAGCCATTTTCTCTTTATCAATGGACTGCATCTCTTGCCTATATATGCATAAACACTTTCACAATCATTAAAAGAAAATCTTGGTTAGAAAATTTCTTGGTTAAGAAATTCACATTTCCTTAAGACTTTAGTCTTTTGGGAGCGGGCGTGAGGAACACTGAAAAAAAGAAATGTTAGTTAAGAAATAGGGCCTGCCCGGTGGTGCAGCGGTTGAGCGCTGGGTTGTGAAGCTGCCCGCAGCCTCTGCGGTGCCGGTTCGATCCCCGGCTGCTCCCCGGCCACTGGAGGAGGGTCCCACATGGCGCACAGACCTCTCCTGCTGCCTGCTGCTCCCCTCAGCAGTGTACTTCGGTCCTTCTGCCTGTTCTGCTCCCCGCTCTGGCTCTGGTGAATTCTCTCACCCTCCCGTGCTTCTGACTGTACCCAGTGCATGTATAAAAAAATAAATAAATAAATAAATAAATAAATAAATAAATAAATAAATAAATAAAACATGCCTCTATTAAAAAAAAAAAAAAAGACTTTAAAAAAAAAGAAAAAAAAAAAAGAAAGAGGCATGAGGTCACAGTTCGGGACTTCAAAGTTAGCTCTTTTCTTCTCTGTATGGAAGACACTAGGACTCATGCCAAAGAAAGGGCAGCAAGATTGACAGAAACAATGGAAGTGCAGTGTAGAAATAATTGTTCTTATCTCATGGAACAAAAATGTGTGCATATTTCATTCCAGACCCAGGATTTTTATTTTTGCAAGCATAAAGGAGAAGCTTCTATACATAAACTTAACTTCCAGTAATAATTACAAAGGCTTGTATGAACTTGACCGGAAAGTTAATTTGTGTCAGTTAAAATCTTAACCTTTTTAAAAAGACAAAAATCGAATGTTAAGTTTGATTTCTGGCACACACCACGAAACAGGGCGAGCCAACAAACCCGTCCTTTGTGTGGTCAAGTCCAGCTTCCTTTGCAGGACAGGGTCAAGGATAACATTTGCAAACACACACAACCTTCATCACAGGGGTTTGAGAGGAAGACTGAGGTGTGGCCTTTTGTCGCCTTCCCCTCTACTGCAAGGCTATGCTTGTTACTGGAAGTATAGGGGTATTTTGTTTTATGTTGTGTTTTGTGTTGTGTTTTTTTGAAAGGGAAGATTTTCTTTACACTCAAGCATTTCATTGCAATCATTTTGTAGAAATCAAATCTCATAGTCAGTTCATACTATTCCACTGAAGTCTCACTGTTTCAGCTACTTAGGATATTTTATTTCATAATCTGACTACCTATAAAAAAATTAAATATCCTTCCTGCCTGCCTGCCTTCATCCTTTCACATCACCTCAACTCAACTGAAATCTTGCTGTTTGGGACAAGTGATAAGCTATGCAGAGATTTATCTCTAATGAAATATTCCCATTAATTTCTTGATACACCCCTTTTTACAAAGGAACTCGGAAACGGACATCTTCTGTTCTTCACTGCCCAAAATGTCCTCTTCTATCCCTTCCCGAGCAGCACCCTGGTTTTCTTCCAAGGAACGACACTCCCTCCCCACTGCATGAGGCCTTGGCTGCACCGTCAATTAGCCATCCTGCCCTGGCTAGGGGATGGGAAAATGACTCAAACCAGGTCAGACAGACTCTCCGAGAAGAATCTGAAATTTGTGTCCAGTGATGGAAAGATGGAAAAAAGCTCTGGTTGTTTCATTTCCATGACATGCCCTAAAAAAAGGCCACTCGTTCCTAGAAACTACATCCAGGGTGCCTGCAGATTCCTATCCTTGCAAAGTTTAATTACGTAACTCTTACTTTAATTACATGAGCTATTTCATAAGCTACCAGTAGATATGTTTTTTGACCAGAGAAAAATTGCCTTTACATAAAACCAAAAATCTCGAACGGATTGTGATGGAGTGGCATGGGCACAGAGAGTGTTTTCCTGTTCAAAGCATAGCTCAGCATGCTCAAATATGCTCACTTATTATATTTATTATGCAAAAGGCCTTTAAATAGCAGAAAAGTATTTGACTTATTTTTTCCAAGTGACCTTAAAAAAGTCAAAACAACATCAAAAAAATCTTAGCTTTTTTATCTGTGACTTTCAGTTAAATGTAATGCCCAAATGTTCTATAAATAAGAGAAATTAAAATTTGAGAGAAAATTATTGCAGGATATGGTAGATGATTCTTTTTATCTTGCTTCAAATCTAATATGTCTAATATGTTAAATGTTATGATCTATTATGAAGATGCTGAAAACAGCAGTAAGAAAAATGTTCTCTACTTCCAAACATGGCTGGCTACTAATAACAGTCCAAAAAAAAGTGTAAATGTGTTAACACAGAAGTCTTTATAAAATTAAATCTAGCCCCCATGCACAGTCTCCACTTTTATGTGCTTTGAGGTTTTTAAATGACAGTTACTTTACCTTCGGTGGTTCTTTCTTGCAACCACCCAAAACAAACATTGCTAGAACTAAGTACAGATTTACTGTGAAATTCTGAGAAAGTATTGGTGCCACCATTCTGTCATGCTGTGCACATTTTTCCTCTACAATCCACACATTACTTTTTCTGTGCTCCAATTCATTTAACAGCTTGTCTTTAAAAGAAGATGCAGGATTAATCCAGGTATAACAGTTACTTGAGCCAATGTGGGTTCACATTCTCTGCAGAGGGGAAGTTCTTCGTGTTACATGGAGTGACTAAGTCACAAAATGCATTCTGTTGATTAGAAATTAAGAGGGGAGAGTTAATGTTCTCTGTGCCTTCTAATGATAAGTGTATTAGTTCCCAGTGTCTGCTATAACAACAAATGATCACAAACTTAGTGGCTTAAAACAATAGAAATATATCACCTAAGAATGCTGGGGGTCAGAAATCTGAAACGGGTCTCATCTCACTAGGCTAAAGTCAAGCAGTTGAGAAGGAAAAAGAAAAATATTGGGTGGTTTCACTTATAGGAGGAATATAGGGGAACCAAATAAGATATCAGGAGGAAAAATAACAACAATACAAAACAAAAACAGACAATTATAAACCAGAGACATCCTGCAGGGGAGGAGGGAGAGGGATCAGAAGGAGGGAGGGAGCAGCACAGGAGACTGTGGTGATGGTGCCAGGGTGCCTTGGGGAAGGAAATTCTATGGGGACTACACCTGAGGACAGAAGCAAAGATTGTCTAAAATTGAACAATGATGTAAAAAATACATAAATAAAAAGAAAAAATAAAATAAAAATTAAAATAAATAAAACACAAAAATAACCAAACCATACTAGAAAATCCATTTTTTAAATAATGGATCTATATCACAAATATTCTGTTACCACATGTTTTGTATAATTAAATGTCATATGAAGTACAAATAAAGAAATAAAGTCAAACTGTTGATAGGGTTGATAGGCTTCACTACAGGACAATCCATTTTCTTGCCTTTTCCATCTGCTAGAGCTGTCCCACATTCCTTGATTTGTGGCCCCCTTCTATCCTCAAAGTCAACAATGACTGGTCAAGTTTTTCTCACATAGCATCACTCTCACACTGGTTCATCTGCTCCCTCTTCCACATGTACAGACCTTGGTGATTGGGTTCAAATTGGTAATCTCTATATTTTAAAATGAACTGATTAACAACCTTAATTGCATATGATATCTTAATTCCCCTTTGCCATATATTATAACATATTTTCAGGTTCTGGAATTTGGGATGTGAACATCTCTGTGGTCCTATTATTCGGCCTGCTCTGCTGACTTTCTTTTTTTTTTTTTCATTTATACATAAACATGACTCCAAAGATGTTTATAACAACATTGGTTTGAGAGTAATTCATGTCAATTAGCAGATCGATACACCTGCCATTAGCAAAGTACCTTATTAAATATCAAACATGTTGACATATTTATGACTTTGCTAATTAATGTCAAAACTAGCCAACTCACAGAAATTCAGTCAAATAGTGTAAGTCACATTATCTATACTTTGCTGAAAATCAATTGTGTAAGTAAATGGTGACAAGCAGACACAGATTTTGGTTCCCAAAGGCCTGGCATATTTCCTACAAACCAAAGTCAATGACAACTGAATTTTTTTTTCCCACTGGGATTTTCTCCATCCTCCTTCTTTAGAAGTTTCTGCAGCCTTCAATCTAGATCATAATATTCCCCTGACCCTTTTTATAAATGATTTTTTCCACACTTTCAATCAGTCCTCTTTCTGCCTTTATCCTGTTAACTATTGATTGACATCCTCACAGCTCTCTGGTGGACTTTAATTTCCAATTCTACCTTTTATACCTCAAAGGTACCATTTAGCAAATTCCTAAGCACAAAATAATTCTTCTGCCCTGATCTTTTTCTCCTGAGCTCCAGCCCTGACTAGACACCAGATCTAGACACCAGACTTCTCCCCCTGGATGTCCAATGGGCACATCAAGCCTCATGTATTTGTTAAAGGCTGAACTCATTCTCTTCAGTTTCAAATACATGTTTCATCTTTCACTCTCATTAATCTCTTTGAGAAATGTCTACTATGACTGAGGCATTGGTCTTCACTGGAGATAGACACTAAAGAGAAAACCACTGTCTTCTATAAGCATAAATAAACAAAGAATTACACAAAAATATAGAAACAGTAGTAACACAAGTGTTGAAATTTAAGTCCTAATCTGCTCGATTCTCTAGTAAAATGTCTCGGAATCATCTTTGATATCTCTCTCTCTCTGTGTCAGCTCCCTCCACATCAAATCAGTAAACAAGTTTTATCTCTTCTATCTCTTAAATATTTTTTTGGATTTATTGTCTTCTCTATATTCCTCTACTTACTTCAGACCTTCAATACTTATTTCCTCAACAACTTAATGTAATCTTCTAATGATCTCTCTTATTTAAGTTATTACTATCCCACAAACTCATGAATCTCAAATGCATATCACAGTTGCCTGTCTAAAAAACAGAACTGCTTAAAATTCCGCATAATCTGGCTCAAATTTATCAGTCGACCTTGAAGAAACATCCCCAAAAACTCCCCCACAAAATTTGTATTGAGATATATCTGATCAAACTTCTGTCTACTGGTGGACAATAAGCTGCTGAAAAGTTCATTAAACTTTGTATTGTAAATCTAAAACACAGAATGCACCCCACACACATTAATTTAAAACAGAATGACTAATGTGTATCTGGTGGCATTCCTGAAAGTATCCCAAAAACTTTCAGAGGATAATGAATGACAATATCTGAATCAGTACAGACTGAGACAGCAACTGACAGACTTCATCACTTGTTCCTAAGTCTTGTACCTCATCGTTGGTGGGTGAATTAACAAGGATCCCCATTATCATTTCTCCCATTACCACAGATCAAAGCACTCTTTCATTGACGTAAATAAGATAAACACAGTTGTCTCCTCCATTGATCTCTGTGTGTTAAAACACGAAGTAGCTGGAGATAGGGTCCTCACCTCCGCTATTTGAGAGTCCTCACCTCCCCAAATGAGTAACCCTGTTTAAGGTAGCAGGATGTGGTGATCCTTGTGGTTAACTTTTCTACTAAATTCAGCTGAAAACATTAGATATTAACACTCCTAAACCCATCTTTTTCTCCCATGTAGACTTCCTTGCTCAGTAGATGACTATTTCCACACCAACATTTCCACTTCTGCAGCATGTTCATGTCCAGCTGGTAATCTCACCTTGTACACTTATATACACTTCTACACCTCATGCACTTCAGAGGTTAGCACACTTTTTCCATAAAGGGCCAGATAAAAATATTTTCATCTTTGTGGGCTGCACAGTCTGTGTCATAACTACTTCACTTTGCTGGTGCAGTATGAAAGGAGTCACAGGCAACATGTAAATAAAATAAATGGCTGTTTTCCAATAAAACTTTTACAAAAATAGGTTGTGGTCCAAATTTGATCCATAGGTATTAGTTTGCCAACTCCTGACATACTTTCTAAAACTGAGTAGAAATAAATATAAGGATGGATCTCAGATTACAAGTAATAGATTTCAAGTTCAATTAAAGCAAAGATAGAAACCATTAGATATGCTTACAATAGTATACCAGCAGCCTCTGCTAGACCCATAGTAATTTACAGATTATATGCTCAGTTTTTGTTTTTATTTTTAGATTTATTTATTTATTTATACAAGCACTGGGTACAGTCAGATGCACAGGAGGGTGAAAGAATTCACCAAAGCCAGGGCGGGGACCAGAACAGACAGACTGACAAAATACACTGCTGAGGGGAGCAGTGGGCGCTGCAGGAAAGGTCTGCACTCCATGGGGCGCCCTCGCTGGTGGCCGGAGATCGAACCAGCACTGCAGAGACTACAGGCAGCTTCGCAGCCCAGCGCTCAGCTGCTGCACCATGAGGGGAGGCCCTATATGCTCAGTTTCTAAAGAAAGTAACAAAATTAAGGACCAAGTATGAAGTGATAGAAATATTTTATAGATACCATATTAAAGAGAGAAGGCATGATTTGGATACACACACAAGCATTATAGTAAAACTGATTTTGTAACATGCAAATCTGACTTTTACTGATTAAATTTGCACAGCTTTCTGAGAAGCATGCTAAGAACATGTTCAACCAATTGCCACAAAATTACTATGCTTAGTCACTGGTGGGGTCTCTTAACCCTTATCAAAGTTGTGGCCTATTTCCACAGTCTAAATAGTTGGTAAAATTGAGTAAAAGCTAGAAACAATTGAATCAAGGAAGCACTTTTAGGGTTAAGAAAGTAAAAAAGCAATAATCAGAATCAAGATGGCTAGTTCCCAAGCTCTAATGATTATCTTAAAGTTTCCATTACCTTGACTCTGGACAATGGCGCATAAATGAGCAATTGTCAAAAAAGCTGGAATCAGCCAGTACTGCATCTTGCACCAAAAAGTCTTCATTTTATGTCCTGCCCTTCACATGGGATGTAGCAGCAGTCCTGGAGACAGAGAACATGGGAACATTTTGAGAAGGTAGAAAATAAAACATATATAGTCAGCTAGGACAGGAAACAAGCCAACATGGGTTAGTATTGCCAGGAAATAATTCACTCCCTGGGATGCTTTATATTTCCCTCCAAAACACAAACTGATAAAAGATTTCTGAGAAGATGTTGTAAATGGAGAGAATAATTTTTAAATATTTAGGAGACAAATTTAGAGGAATAAATGATAACGCTTTGAATTTCCCAAGGGAAAAAAATTCCAAAAGTTTACCTGAATGGAGCATTATCATCAGACTATCACAATTTGTCAGTAACCTGCTCACCCAGCATTTATCACATAAATTTACAAGTCCTACTGCTGCTTTATAATGCCTTCAGAGTGCAGACATATAGGAAACCTTCTTTCAGTGATTAAAAAAAGAATTTTATTTTTTTTAATATTTTTTTTAATTTTTTTTTTAATAGAGGCATGTTTTTATTTATTTATTTATTTGTTTGTTTGCTTTGTATATACATGCACTGGGTACAGTCAGAAGCGCAGGAGGGTGAGAGAATCCACCAGAGCCAGAGCGGGGAGCAGAACAGGCAGAAGGACCGAAGTACACTGCTGAGGGGAGCAGCGGGCAGCAGGAGAGACCTGCGAGCCATGTGGGACCCTCCTCCCGGTGGCCGGGGAGCAGCCGGGGATCGAACCGGCGCCGCAGAGGCCGCGGGCAGCCTTGCAACCCAGCGCTCAACAGCTGCACCACCGGGGAGGCCCTAAAAAAAGAATTTTAAAAACCACTTCATGCCAATATTAAATCATTGCTCAGCTTTGATTTCACTGGGCTGAATACTCCCCAATTCTTTGTCCTTTCTATAAATCCTTTCATCCCGTATGTGTAAACCTAAAATTCTTCCAGAATTTTCTTTTTCATTAGGATATCAATGAAGGAAGAGTGAAAGAAAAAGAGAAATAAAAAGGTGAGAAGTCAAGAAGGAAAGAAAATATAATGGGAAAATTGCATTAAGTGGTCATTTTGGGAGATAAAAGTCCTACTACACTCAGATTCTGTGATACCCTGCCCTCAGAGATCTCACTAATAATTTTATTGAAAAGAAAGATTACAAGCAAATATATTCCAGAGCTAAATGAAATAAGTTTGAAGTAAAACAAAGAGGCATTTGAGCCCAAATTAATTTATTACAGGTTAGTAGATGAATGATTTGTCAGGGCACAGAGGCAATGGGAAAAAAATGGTGAATAAATTTTAATAAGTATATAAAGGAAGATCCCAAGACATCTATAGACAGCTAACCCTTCAGAGGAAAACTGACAAGAGAAATTCAAAGGGGTATTGAATAACCCTAAAGAGAGAAGGCATGAAAAGAGGGGACACAAAGTTATGAAAGCCGGTATCAATCTTCTCATAACCAATATATCTGCCATTCACCTTATAACTGTCAATTACTCCCAAAGAAAACCACAGCAGCAGAATCACTCAACTCAAATAAAATATTCTTTTGAATATTTTCTTCCCCAAACATTATAGTCCTAAATTACAACCAGGACAAGGCGAAGAGATGGAGAAGCAAGCAAACAGGCCACTTTCTGGCTTGTACTTTAAGGTCAGAAGCCTTTATCAGATATCTTATGTAACTGATATCTCATATTTAAAATCAGAGAAAAGGGTCCTGGTCAAGACACAATCCAAAAATCTTTCCTTATTCTCATCAAAGAACTATACTTCCCATGTCCAGGTGTTTTGAAGCAATAATTAAATTTCCATCATTGGAGATTAATCTGCATTTCACATGAGATAGACAAACAGACAGATAGTGCTGTCCTAGTCTTGACATTTTTGAAAATTGACTATTATTTATATGGAAAAAATTCATTGCCTATCTTTAAATTCTTCCCTTTTTGTGGTTTATTTTCAATTAGGATGAGTAATGCCATATTGGAAGAAGTGGAATTTTAGTTTTCCCAAGGTTTTCTGCCAAGTCTCCAAATTTTTGGACAGTAAAATAAGGACAAGAAAAATCCCAATTCCTATTAAAGTGCCATGAGATATTTTAATATTTACCAAAATGTCAAAGTCTAATTTGTTGAAACCCTGCCCAAAAGCTTGCATAAAATAAATAACTTTCTTATTTTGCTTCAAAAACATCATGTTAGAAATGGTTACTGAGTGCAAAGTTCAGAAGGTATATACCCAATTTGAGGAAGTGGATAACATTTAGTACAAGTTTTCTCAAAACACTGTCACAATTTTGCAATCAGTAACTTATAACTCTTCCCATAGGGCAACTTCCATCTTCCTCTAATTCATGTTTGTTTAATCTCATTTGTACAATTTAACAAGGAGCAAAGGCCGTGAGTACAAGCCAGTTATATCAAAATGCCTTGAAATATTTATTCTGAAGTTTTTGTAGATATCTCTCTCTCTCTCTCTCTCTCACACACACACACACACACACACACACATCTATAGACTTGTACACACACATACATACACACACACACACATACCCTCAAACCCTGGATGATGTTCTAGTCAATCAGTGCTGATTGACCAAAACAAAGCAAAACAAAATCCATAAACTTAAAGTTATTGCTAGTCATCTGCCATACCATAGTACTAGAACTTTCACTCCAACAGTCCCTTGCTGGAATCACACTGAATAATCAAAGTTATCTACTCAGTGCTAAAAAAAAGATTCAAAATTTCATTCTATAGAACCCCTTCCCTCAGTGATCTCGCTTACAATTTTATTGAAAGGAAAGATATAAGCGAATATATTCAAAAGCTAAATAAATGATATGAATAGAGCAAGAGTTAGCACAAAGTGGTGGTATAAATAAAAAAACTGGGAATTAGGAAGACAGCTCTGCCAATAATTTGCAAGGGATTCTTAAGTGATGTAACTACTCCATGATTTCCAAATCAATAAAATGTACAAGATAAGATTTACCACATAGGAGGATTAGAATCATGGAAATAATATACCTAAAAAATCAATGGTTCTCAACAAGTTGTCATTAGTATCATGTAAGCAGCAGGTTGAAAGAACACAAAGGAAGAGGGAATGATAACAATGAATTTGCTACGTGGGAGACGCTAAAGGGGGAAGATGAATCAAGCAGTCTTTATATCCCCAACATATTAAAGTGTAGTGTTGGATAGAGCTTCCATATGATCCAGCAATTCCACTCCTAGGTATTTACCCAAAGGACACAGAAACATCAATTCCAAAGAACACCTGCACCCCTATGTTTATAGCAGCACTGTTTACAATAGCTAAGCTTTGGAAACAGCCCAAATGCCCAAAAATAGATGAGTGGATCAAGAAGATGTGGTGCATATACACCATGGAATATTACTCAGCATTCAAAAAAGATAAACACATGCAATTTGCAGCAACATGGATGGCGCTGGAAGGGATCATGCTCAGCGAAATAAGCCAGAAAGAAAAAGAAAAATACCGGATGGTCTCACTCATAGCAGGAATCTAGAAAACTTAAATAAGGGACCAGGAAAATGAATAACTACAAGAAAGTGAAAATCAAAATCAACAAAAAACTATGAACCAGAGACACTTTTTGTGGGGTGGGGAGCGGGAGGGGAGGGATTGGGGTCAGAATGGGGGGTTTGCAATTGTATGGGGGAATATAAAAATAAAATTTATTATTTAAAAAAAAAGAAAATATACTGGCATATTACATGTCATATTAAAAATTTAAAAAATAATAATAAAAAAAAATAAAGTGTAGTGTTGGGACCTCCCTGGTGGCACAAGGGCTTAAGGCTCAGCAATATGAAGCTATTGGCAGCCACTGCAGTATGAGTTCAATCCCCAGCCATGGAGCTACCCACATGGCACAGCAGACCTCCCTGTCTCACCTACTGCTCCCCTCAGGAGTGTATTTTAGTCAGTCAGCTTGTTCTGCTCCTCACTATGTTTTTGTTGAATCCTTCCACACACACACACACACAATTCTAGCCTACACCCCAGCTCTTCTATGCATAAGTAAATAAAATAAATCTTTTAAAATATTTTAAAAATAAAGTATAGTGTTAATTTTCAAAACAATTTAAGGCAAAACTGAAGATTCAGATAATAACAGAGGCAACGATTATTTGCATAGGTGAACCGCCTTTGACTTCAAAATGTGTTCATATCCGTTTTTACCATTTTCAGTTCTCTGCAGTTTCAAAATAATCAACCATATGAAGGAGCAGAAGATTTGACTTAAGAGTAATTCAAAGACTTAGAAAAAAATCTTAGTTCTAGTTGACAAGTTCATGCAAAGAAAATTTGAAAGAAAGGGGATGTTTAAGCATGTTTTAAGCATAAAAAAAATAAAATCAGAGGTACACAATATATGTCTTCAAATATTTGAAGTGCTTTCATGTGGAAGATAAAACAAGATTATACTATGCAGCTCAAGTTTAAGATTTTTTTATTTATTTAATTATATATTTATACAAGCACTGGGTACAGTCAGAAGCGCGGGAGGGTGAGAGAATTCACCAGAGCCAGAGCGGGGAGCAGAGCAGGCAGAAGGACCGAAGCACACTGCTGAGGGGAGCAGCGGGCGGCAGGGGAGGTCTGTGCGCCATGCAGGACCCGCCTCTGGTGGCCGGGGAGCAGCCGGGGATTGAACTGGCGCTGTGGAAGCTTGGGGCAGCTTCGCAACCCAGCGCTCAACCGCTGCGCCACCGGGGAGGCCCCTGCAAACAAAACTTGAATCACTAAACTGATCCTTGGAGATGACAATTTGGACATAAAAATTCTCAGTTAGAACAGGTTCTCCTCTTTTACTCAGTTCTAAAGCAAAAAAAGCTGGTTAAATTTGCCCATAAGAGAATCTGTGGGCAAAGGAACTAAACAAAAGATGCCTTCCACTCTACCTTGTTAATATTTGATTTTATAAAAAGAGAATTTCAGTCAATTGCTGATCTATGTTATACAGGTTTGTAGGTCAAAATGGAAGGCCTAATGCATCAACT